TTATTAAAATAAAGGTTTTCCGAGTTATTTCAACACTTGTTTAATTTAAACTCCATGGAAAAGATACTTTAATTTCGTCCCAAAACGCCATTTCGATAGTTCGACTTTACACAAATAGATTTCATATTTGGTCCAGTGTCATTCGCGAATTTATGATTCTGATTGATTCGTCCTAGTTTCGGGAAATTCGTCTCATGTGGAGATTGGCGTTGAATTGAAAAAAAAAATGAATTCATTTTTGATCATTCATTTTAATGCTTCGCTCATTCAATTTCGTTGGTGGAAAACTGAAACGTTACTGTATATGTTTCAAATTATATCTTCGACTTTTTGTTGGTAAATGACAGTAGATTTTGTGAAATAATGTCCACACTTGCTTCCTTTATTAATTATTAGGCGCCCATATCCCCACCTTCAACTGTGTTTTTTTTTTCTCCCCCCCCCAAAAGCGCCTGATCGTTCGATGAAATTTATTTCTTTTTGGGTAAAATGAAACTCTATTGTTAATTTCGTAACCACTAAAAAAAGTGTGAAATTATGTTTAGTCCAATGGTACGGACTGCTGACTCTAAATCTGAAGGTTGCGGGTTCAAATCCAGGCTGGGAACTTGAGATTTTAAAATTTTATTGCTTTTGGGGTAAATTGAAACTTTATAGTTAATTTCGTAACCACTAAAAAGTGTGAAATTATGCTCAGTCCAATGGTACGGACTGCTGACTGTAAATCTGAAGGTTGGGGGTTCAAATCCTGGCTGGGAATTTGAGATTTTAAAATTTTATTTCTTTTGGGGTAAATTGAAACTTTATAGTTAATTTCGTAACCACTAAAAAGTGTGAAATTATGTTTAGTCCAATGGTACGGACTGCCGACTCTTAATCTGAAGGTTGCGGGTTCAAATCCATGGTGGGGATTTTAGATTTACAATTTTATTTCTTTTTTTGTGAATTGAAACTTTATAATTAATTTCGTGGTACGGACTGCTGACTCTAATTTCGGAGGTTGCAGGTTCAATGCCACAGTGGAAAATTTAGATTTAAAATTTTTATTACTTTTTAGGTCAATGGTTTTGATGCCGTGTTTTATAAATAGCGCCCTCTGTAGTGAACGCGCCCAGCCAGGCCTGTGCGATGCCGGCCCCGAAGCCAGAGTACTCTCATACATATCATTTCTTTTAAAAGCAGTCTCAATAATGTTTGGAAATTCCATAGCTGTAAATTCACCCCAAAAATGTTAATTTACTAATTTCTTATTACCTCATCAACTTCTACTCTCTTCTCGTAGAGAGGTTGTCTTTTCATCTGTTTTTTTTAAACAAAAATGTGGCCCTTTACTTTACTAAGGATTGTTTTCTCCAATTTACCTAACGTGTGCGAACAATGCAGATAGAACTATTACATCTAAAAGTTGCAAACAATATTTGTATTAAGGGCCACTTATGGAAAGCTCGACAGTTTTCTTTTATTTCGACAAAAAAGACAGCTGACAAGCAGACTTATGCCGGGATGGGTATATCTCGACCCCCGTAACCCCAAGCCTCAAAAACAAAACAAGTCAACAACCATAAAAGGTCTGGATTTATATTTTTTTATATAGCTCATGCATGCAGAGAAAATGGTCAATATCTGTTTGACCTAATTTGGTGATTTTATTCTCTTACAAAGAGTTTACATTTTTTTTTCTCTGTCTAATTTGTGGTTGTGTACAGGAAACAAGTCTGAGAACCAAAACTCTATAAAACGGACGTGCCTTGAATTTCATGCTTTCGGCCAAATATTTTTGTCAGTAACTTAAAAAATAAAAACCACCTGTTGTTCAAATAGGCAAACGTTTCAGCGACAGAAATATTGCCTCCTTTATTAAAATAAAGGTTTTCCGAGTTACTTCAACACTTGTTTAATTTAAACTCCATGGAAAAGATACTTTAATTTCGTCCCAAAACGCCCTTTAATTTCGTCCCCAAACGACTTTACACAAATACATTTCATATTTGGTCCAGTGTCATTCGCGAATTTATGATTCTGATTGATTCGTCCTAGTTTCGGGAAATTCGTTTCATGTGGAGATTGGCGTTGAATTGAAAAAAAAAGGAATTCATTTTTGATCATTCATTCAATTTCGTTGGTGGAAAACTGAAACGTTACTGTATATGTTTCAAATTATATCTTCGACTTTTTGTTGGTAAATGACAGTAGATTTTGTGAAATAATGTCCACACTTGCTTCCTTTATTAATTACTAGGCGCCCATATCCCCACCTTCAACTTTGTTTTTCTTCCCCCCCCCCCCAAAAAAAAGACTTGAAAGCGCCTCAGTGATCGTCCGATGAAATTCTTCGAAATGGCGGTAGCATGTACGCGTGATAGATTTCCGGGTAAAGTACTTGAGCAGACATGTCAGCAGGGGGCTATAGTGCCATTCCCTACCAGCCCTACGGAGGACACGAGTGAATCACCCGTCGGAAACTTCGACGACACAGGGCCACTCGGTTTTGTGACGTCCAATGCCGGAACTATTTTTCATTCACCTGTCTCACACTTGGCCATTTCTAAAATCTCGGATTCGCTTTGGCTCCGTCTTCAGGGATCAGACGGGACAACGACTTTAGTTTCTCGTCTTCGGAGAATAAAGGCATAGTTTATGCTACCAGAACATCAAATTTCAACTTTTGTATCTTTTCCTTTGGTTCAGAGCCTTCAAAATGGTCGAGAGCTTGAGATGACTTAACCGAAGCAAAACAATTCAAGCCCAAAGTTTGAAATCCCCCCCCCCCCCCAGAAGTTTGGGCACTATCGGAAGAATCCTGCAGGACTATTCTGAGGCTACGATATGCCCCTCGCCTCCGCCGTAAATCAAAATGAAAGGTCACTGGGGAGGAGTTTCTTTAGCGCGGAAATTGAGGAAAGTAGTAGCAAGTACGACCGGAAAGAGGGATGGGAACTGCAGTGGGCAATCCGTGCCTGGAACTTCCTTCCACGTGACGCTAAACATAATATAGCAGGTCCGAAGGGGGGGGGGGGGGGTTGAGTGTGGAGGAGGTCCGGTTGGTATGTGCAAAATAATAACACGTTCATATATTTATTTTTAGCCAGGAAAACCTGGTACTGCATGGTCTCGGAATCACGGCTAAGGCGCGGAAACATTACTAGACAACTGAGTTCACTGTACTGTACGTCCGGGTTCAAGTTCTCGATTTTAAAAATATTTACCCTTTCCCCAATTGTCATTTTTTAGCAATACAAAAGTTATTCACTTTCGAATGAGACATTGAACAAAGGAAATAGCCCAAGTTACGGATTTGTGTGTGCGTCAAAGACATAAATGAAACCCACTTGAAGATGCTATACATTTTTGTTCTGTTTTTTTTAAAATAAAAACACAAACTGAAAATCCTGTATTGAAGAGCACGGGGAGTTATTTTGAAAAGTGAAGCACGTATGCCCACTGACAAAAAAAAAAGTTTTTATTTGTTGAAAAATTTTTTTTTCAAGTTTTGTGAGAACTGAAAAGAAAAACCCTAACAGGTCCAATAATCGAGAAAAGAATGCGAAATTATATCGTCCAACGTTGATAGCTCATTTAAAAGATGTAGGCCTACTCCGAGTGCTATTTTCGAGTTTCATCCCGAAAAATAGATCTTTTTCTAAATTGCTATTTTAGCAACACAAAATACATTCACATTTGAATGAGATCGAAACAAATCAGCCCATGTGAAGTTATTGAAATATTACTTTACAACTTCGAATTATATTGGCTACAAGACAATTCCCGTTCTCGCGGGGTAGGCTGGTTCCTGCCCTCAATCAGTATCGATGATTTACGGTCCGGGAGCCAGTCTGCTCGCAAAGTGGATCTGGTTTTTTTTGACCAAAACCAAAATCCTTCCCCAGAAGTTTGTAGACGTCTCACTTGAAAAGGGGGAGGGGTAGAGAATGTTTCTGTTGGAATAAAACACACAAGCATGTTGAAAATGTAGTGATATTTATTGCTGAAGAGCAAGGGGAACGCAACTTTAATTAAATTAATAAACTTTGGTTGGATATGATAATGGTTGCACATTGGTGCATGCGCACCAATTGCAAAAAAGGACTTTTGTTTGGGGTGGGGTTCAGAATAAGAAATTTGTTTGAAGAAATAAACTCAAATAGTCGAACAGCAATGCCAACTTTATTGTACTTCGTGTAATTTTTTCAGACGAAAAAAAATCACAAGGGGAAAATGCGAGATTTTTTTCGTCTTGGATTTCGCTTGTCGTATGCACTCTTTGATATTAGAAAGCCACTAACAGCCAGAAGGGGATACCTCCATGAGTAAATTAACTAAAAAGATTATGTTAAGGCAGAATCATCTTATCTTAGAAGATTTTGCTACATGATATTATTAACAGCCCATCACTTTGACGAGACGTCCTTCGTCATGCTTAGACAATAGGCACTAAAGTAAAAGACGGAAACTTGGGATTTGTTAATCAAAATGTAACCAAAAAATCCACACGTAGGGCCTACTGAACATTCCTCTATACACGACATTGAATTGGAAACCTCTTTGAAACTTGACATCGATGTCGTTTGTTTATACAATAATTACTATTCAAATGTTTAGGCAGTGATTATCTGCTACTATATTAGATTATGTGAACCTATTTCTCTTAAATCTGAACGAAACTGATTTCCTAGAAAATCAGTGGCACTCAGTCCCTGCCGTATCATAGCAAAGCCGTGTCGTCTGCATTGTTTGCATTTCGGCTTACGATACAGGGAATTTTAAATATTCATCCGATCATGGGACATCTTTCTTTTCCAAGCTTAATCCACAGCTAATTTAATGTACAATGTAGTTCAATCATTTTATATTTATTGTGTGTAGTCATCTCTTTGAAAGAAATATATAATTTACTTGATTCTACTCTTTTGACTGTGAAGATAGTTCCCGCGGCCGCGGAAGGATTCAATGATTTCTAGGTCAACATTGCGGTTTAAAGGTCAACAGCTGTTGACAGGGATCGAATCACAGGATCGCCGCGTACGTACGTACATGTACGTGTATGCTGTACACGTGTTTTCTGTATAGATATAGAGAACCCCATATAAAAGCACCGTGCAACTTGCCACGGACCATTGGCACAGAAAGTGGTTTGTGGGGAGTTGCTCGAAACTTTGAAAATCAATTTCCTTGGATGCTGTAGGTTTTTCTCGGTTCTAAAACTGCAGTAAACTTGCAAGGATGAGGGGTGCCTTTGCAGCAGCGCTTACGGTGCTGTTGTTGAGCTTTGCTGCGGGGCAGGAAGATCTCGCACCGCTCCCTCCCGACGGTCCCGAAGTACCGGGACGAGAGCCGTCCACTGACGGGGAACCGACGGCCGAACCCATCATGTAAGCACGCTAACTTTGTTAATGTTATTACATGTTAACCAAGAACGTGTAGAACCAGAACTAAGTGGGCAGTTTATATTGACATCATGTGATAAAGTAAAGATTTGGCATGTTACTTAGCGGAGAGTTTTTAATGTTTTTAATGCCTGTAGTGTTAATGTTAATGTTGTATATTTGCAAAGGGTGTCGGACGCTTCGCCCCATTTCCACGTCGCCCCATGTCACTTCGCCCCTAACCACTTCGCCCCATTCCCACTTCGCCCCATCCCCACTTCGCCCCATCCCCACTACGCCCCATCCCCACTTCGCCCCATCCCCGCTTCGCCCCATTCCCACTTCGCCCCATCCCCACTTCGCCCCATGTATGAAAAATGTGAAGGCTAGGGGTGCAGACCAGTAAATAAACTGCCAAAGACCCCGATAATAAATGCTCCCAATTCTGGAAACTCAGGAAAAAATACAAACTCTCTGATGAGCTGCTCGAGACACAGGGACCCACATCAACTTTTTGCTTATTTCATCAACCTTCAAGCTGATTGAAGTTGGTACAAAGCGGGCGTGCTACTTGGAGAGGATGCCGACTGGAGAATGATTATCCATTTAAAAACGGAGAAGCTGCATGGATATATGCGTGACTGCACCTCCCTTTAGACTCATCATCGGCAATGCGTTTCATTTTCTAAGTGCAGCCGACGAGCCATATCGATAGTATTTTTAATGATGCTTGGTTTGACGAGAATAAGCATTACAAAATAATGGAGCCCAATAGTCTTAAATTAGCAACTTTTCAGACGGATTTAATATAGTATTTTTTTTGCAGCTACAGCGAGCTAGCTCAGCTCCACGTACGTTGACAGTCAGTCTGTTGCCGTTTCACACGTATAGCTCACCCTGATCGTCCACATTATTATCATGACACCAACTGCAGATATCAGTCAATGTTTTTTGCTGCAGCAAGAAGTGAATCTTTTGGAATTGTTTTTAAGCCAATAAAATGCCCTAGATGAGATTTTTTGTTTACATGTAACGGCTGGGGCGAAGTGGGGATGGGGCGAAGTGGATTTGGGGCGAAGTGGGAATGGGGCGATGTGGGGATGGGGCGAAGTTGGAATGGGGCGATGTGGGGATGGGGCGAAGTGGGGATGGGGCGATGTGGTTAGGGGCGAAGTGACATGGGGCGACGTGGAAATGGGGCGAAGTGTCCGACATTCATTTGCAAATGTACAAGATTATTTTCGAACTTTTTGTTTACAAGTTTCCAATCGGCACACCAACAATAAACATATTTTATTCAAGGCCTAGTTTCTGCCCATATTTCAAGTATTAATGTGTAGTTTTGAGTTGAATGGCTTGCTTTTCCCTGATGAAAAGTTTCCTGGAAAAAATGTTGCAACTTGACGCCACTTTTTTCTTCATATATCATCTCAATGAAGGTCAGTCATTGCAAAAATTATGATTAAGACATGAATCTGGGATTGAGATACATTTCCAATTTTGTTAGGAAATACTTACAAAATTGTCTTGACTCTCCATGACTTTGTACACAACCGTTGAAGTGGCGTCAGGTTGCAACATTTTTTTCCAGTATCCTACCTCAATGGTCACACTGTGTTTTGTTTTGCTAACAAGTTTGATTACTCACATGACTCAGAAGCTTCAGTTGATTGCCTGGGAAACTAAATCCCAGGTTATTATATTTTTTTTTTATGTTTGATACCAAAACTGATTTAGGAGGCCCCTTGCAGGTTGCTCCCTCAGTGAGGGCAATTTTTTTGGTCACAACATTCAGTGACGATAAAAGTGTCTACTCGTGCGTATCACAATGGAACAAATGCCTGTACTCTAGCTGTGTAGGGGTCCACTTTAATTGTCAGGTTTTCCTCTATGGTACAATGAATTGCATGACGTACATGTACATAGGTGCAAGCATGATGGTGTGTTTATAGCTCCATGGTGCAAGTGAATCCCTACGAATCGAATGTAGAATGGATTCTTTGTTATCGTCCGAGCTTCTTGCTGCAGGTTAATGCATTTCTTGGTAACTGAAAGCAGCTGAAATTGTGCTTGAGGTTCAGCCAATTCTGTTCCTTCCATGGAGGAGAAGGAAAACAGATTTGAAATACAAGGGCAGATCCAGAGAGGTTGTGGGGGGGGGGGGGGTGGAGAGGGCTGGAGGGGGGGGGGGGGGCTGGGGGAGGGGGCTTGGGCGGGGATGGAGGACATCCAGGTGGGCATACTTATTAAAAGTAGAGGAGTGGGCAAATGTGTTCAGCAAAATGAGGTTAGAAACAAGTTTGACTAAGTTCATTCTTTAATGAATAGGACCTTAGATGTCATTAATTAATGTGTCTAGCTCTCCTTCCAAAATTGCTAAGTACATGTATTCCCTTTCCAATGTACCTGCCTGGAAACACAATGATATTGAGATATAGTACACGCAGGTAATCAGCTTTAAATCTTCTTTATGGGGAGGGTTTACAAACGTCTTGGCAGTGGGATTTTCCCAGATGTTTTGCTTGGACAAGTTGTTACATAATCTTCACAGCAAGGGTTGGTTTACAAAAGCACCATTGAGAGCATTGAAAGGCTTTCGCTTTCTTGCAAATGTTTTTGTCCCTGTTCATTGTATGGTAATTTCAAGGATAATTTTATGGTAATTCCAAGGGTAATCAGGTGCTGGGTTCACTACTGAGGGGCCTTGTACTTGTAGCTCTGAATAGTGTCCTTTGGAATCAAGTTATCAATTAACCAATCAATTAATTGACAAATTGAAAAGTTTAAAAGGTTTTCTGCAAATTTAATCCTTCCAGAATCTTTTAAAAAGGCTTTTGAGAAAGATCAAGGATTGAAATATTAGGCCTGCTGATCTAGGCATTCTGTTCTAGACCCTATAAAATGTTGCAGGTACATACCGGTATATTCCAGATGGTGGTCTTTGTTATTTTAATCAGGCCCCCCCCCAAAAAAAAATTAGTCCGCTTCCGATTACATGGCATTTGAAAATAGGGTAGGTAGGTAGAGAAATTTGTTTTGGCAATTCTTTTTGTGTATGATCATATGGAGGTGTAAGGTGTCTCAGTCTCTCTCCCCCCCCCCCCCAAAAAAATAAATTATGGTAGGGCTGTCAAAATAGGGTAGACCGGTAACGGAAGCAGAACTACTATTTTTTGGGCCTGTTTAGAGCGGGCTAGCAGGCCAATTATTGATTTGAATGTAAATGATTGACTTTGAGAGCTCCATCTTGCATATGGAGGGTAGTTGATAATCTACATTAGGTAGGAGAGACCCACGAATGAAATATCTACCTTTTGAACCCTTCACCTCAATTTGATGCCCAATTGATTCCCAAGTTTACACTAGCCTCAGTGTAGTTAACCCCCAGTTTAACCTTAGCATTCTTTGAGGGAGAAAATGGATGAAGGGTCCTGCATTACTAAACAAGGCGTTCAGGCACTGTAAATTGACCCAGCATTTACTTGGTTTATTACAAAGAACATAAAAGCAGTGGTGAAAAGTATTCTTGGAAGAATAATAGAGGCATAAAAAATCTAGACTTAAAAAAAAATATATACATACATACATGTATTGCAACAATTAAGTTCAAACACAAGACAAATTGTATGTTCAAAACACAAATAGCAATTTATGTCTCTCTTTAAGCCGTAGGCAAACTTTCAGCAAAGAAGTTCACAAAAAGCTTGATTTTTGAACTGTTAGCTGAAATTGTTGTTAAAGTCAGTGTTTGAAATTGATACAGTGCATTTTTTTTCCCACAGCTATTGCCAATAAATATTCTTGACAAGTGTTGGAAAATATCTTAACAACAATGGGCTTTTTCAAATGTTGGGTTTTTTTTTTTAACAATTTGTTAGGCCAAATAACTAAATAATAATGCTGTGTTTCTTGTAACCTTACTGACCCTAAAAATCTTGGTGTGGATTTTGAAAAAACATAGGTTAAGATTTGAAAGTTTATTTATGGTTTTGTAAAGATAAAATACACCAAATACAAGTCTGAAATACTCATCAGTATCCCTAAGTCCCTGCTGAATCCAACAAGATCCAACTATATATACCTGTTGGAGATGGTTGGATTATGCAGTACATGTACATATTCAGAGTCGGATCCAGAAGACAACTAAAAATGAGGCACAGTTGGATTCTGTTGGATTGAGCAGGAAGAAACCGTTGGACTCTGTTGGATTTAGCAGGGTATTTCTGAGGAACCCTTCGGGGGTTACGGTTTTAAAGCACTTTTTTTTCAAGTGTCCACTCCCTAGTTATCCTGCCTTCCTACCGACCCTTCTTATTTTCGACAAAGTGAATGTAATTTATTTTTTTAAATTTATTTTTTGGCTTTATCAATAAAGAACCCCTTTTAACATCTTTCTAAGGAGTATGTAGCTTCGGGATTTTTAACAAAAATGAGAGGATGTATCAAACATTAATTACAATTTTGATGCGGAAACCATGTTGGGGATTGACCCGGATGCCACATCCATTTTAGATAGTGTGATAGGTTTTAATAAAATACAACTGCTATTGACTTAATGCATTTTCCCCCTTGTTCTTTTGAAGATTTGACATAGGTTATCTGATCATGGCCCCCAAGGTGATGACAGCGGGAACCATGGAGACAGTCTGTATCCGTCTGCTCAACATGACGGGACCCATCACCCTCACCATCAGCCTCCTAGAGAGCTCCGAGACTGCCGAGGTCCTAACTGCCTTGCAGCCTTACTTCATGGAGTTTCCTTTTGCCTGTCTGAAATTGGAGGTCAGTTTCTGGACTAGGACCACAAGCTTTAACTTGAAGCAGTTTACTGAAATCAACAACATTATATTGCTTTATTTTAGGAACGAAAATGTGGCTTTTTTTCCAAGTAATATGCATTTAATTTGTATTGGTTTGAATTGTACGGGGTTGTGTTGTTAGCCATCTGCCTAATTCCACATATGCAAAAAAGTTGAATGAGAGACTGCACTGGCAAGGTTTAGCCACTCGTGTGCGTTCTCACGTCATGGTTTAGCAATCGTGACACAAACAAGTCTTTGTATTGCAACTTTTTGCAAGTGTGGACTCGGTTTTGTTCCACTGCAGCCATTCTGTGCAAGGAATGAATGACGTTTCTATCTGATGTTGAGCTCTCAACAACTTTTTTCATGGAAGAATTTGAATTTTTGTGTGCAAAATATTGTGTGTGCCAAAGTTTGTACGAGAAGAGGTATTTTCATGGATAGGAATCCACCGTCCACCAGTCCTTCTATAATGTTATTATAACTTCAAGCACGTCGCCAAAGCTTAGACAGAAATCACTAGGAACGATTCTTATCTGGTATAGTTTTGGATAGATGAGCATTTTGCCCATGTATTGAAAGATAACAGTTAAAGGGACCTTCTATGCGTACACTAAAACGGGGAATGATTACACTGTTAGACGAGATTGCACAAGGGATATTATCTTCAAGCAAACTTGAATCCTCGATCCTGATTGGTCAATCCATGTCAACAACAGTGTGATATTATACCTGATAGCACGGTCCATATCGTACTCTGCGTGTCATGCTATTCCAAGATGTGCACGCCGTTCCTTCTGTACGCACACGTAATACCTGATAGGTTAACCACTGAAAAGTTCGTGTACAGCGTGCATGCTCCATCTTTACTGTGCATCAAGTTAGCTTGAAGATAAATTCGTTATCCCACTCGCGCTCGTGGAACTCAGAAAATGTAGTGCGTCTACGTCCCACATACCACTCACGGACATGGACACTCGACATTATTCTGTGTTCTACTCGCACTCGTGGGATAAGTAATAGCGTAGTTTTTGTTTTGTCCTCACTGGTTTATAAATACATGAAATTTTCATTTGATTTATTGACTTTTTAAAATTTTATTTTGAAATACAGGTTCCAGAGATTGAGGGAGAACAACTGGAAACAGTGTTTCAGGTGGAGGGACAAGCAGAACTGGACCCCGCCCAAACTTTCATTTCGAGCAAGAGGATTTGGGTTAAGGGGAACAACTGGGAGAGTTTCATTCAGACAGACAAGTCCATCTACAAACCAGGACAAACTGGTAAGTGTTCCGACAGTCACCTTTAATTAATCTTAAAAAGTTAAGCCAGAAGTCAAAAGTTGAAAAAATCAGACCTGCTCCCAGGAATCCCAGACAAAGTTGCAAGAGTTGTTTGCACACATTGTGAAGTCATTTCGGAGTGTTCCTGACCAGTAATTTTCAGGTTTTGAGATTTTCTGAATCAGTAACTATAAATTTACAACCTCCCAAAATATGAATATAATCCATCAAGCAGAAGTGTGTGTTTTTTGCGTCGATTTAGAGGAAACAAATGTATATATTTATACAAAAAGCATTTCAATACACATTTTATCTCATAATTGGGTTGTAAGTCTTTGACCACTTCTCCCGGGGGTGACAGGATCATGGTACCTATGAAAATCATATATCATTTTAAAGCTGAAAATATTAGGAATTTGAAAATGCCTAATGCTAAAAAAATGACATTTGTTGACTTTGTCCGGGTTTCGTGGGAGCACGTCGCATTTAGTACTTTAAATTCAAGATTCATGAAATAAAAAGTCTCAGTATGTTATGCACGGCTAATCAGTACAGAACATACATGTAGAATGAACTGGAGCTTTCCATCTCTCCTGTGCAAACATACATTCTGTGCAAAATTGTCCTTTCAGTCAAAATCAATCAAGTGACTGTTTTCAACAGTTCGGAGCTCCCAGTCTACATAAAGCAGGATCGACTGGCTGTGACTGTTTATGTGACTTGATACAGCTATGCTTTGACTGTAGGTGATTGATAAGCCAGCTGTGCCTACCACTTTTGTCTGTTGACTGAATTTGACTAGTCAGAGTGCTTGCTGGAAATGTGATCTAGCTGTTGGTGACTAGCCTGTGTAAAAGACATGGCAGGGGAAAGGATTGATTTATTTTTTTGACTGTTTGTGACTGTTAAGACAGCAGGAGGGTTAGGGGAAAAATACAAGAGACGAGATAATTTTTTGTTCGCTGAAAAAAGTTTGTTTTATTTTGTTTGGACATGCTGGGAAACTCAGATACCCAGTAATGCTCTATCAGCAGAAACTATTTATAGGCCCATAAACTGTTACTAAGACCAAACAAACAGTCAATCCTTTTAAAGAAACAAACATTGGAGCGACAAACTGGCACATACATGTAACCTAACATACAAACCACAAAAGTACAACACCCGAGTCCTTGCTGAAGTACAAGGTTAGAATTTAACAAAGGTTATGATGGCATAATGTTGTTTGCATGTATCGTATGGCCATCGTGTCAGTCAGTACATGCGCGTGCTTTGAGTATTGATTGTAACATCTGGCTCCACAATTTGGTGACCAAATTGTGTAATTTTTAACATTCACCCGCCCTGCTTTCAAAATCTTGTTGTGTAAACGAAGACAAAAATCACACCGCTCCAATCAGTTTAAATCAGTGTGCTTTTTTTTAGTTTTACCAGCAACAATTAGATTTTGTTTGAATGAACCGATATTTTTTTCCGGTGATACAAATGTATTTTTGAATGAGACATAAGTGGAAATTTTGGCCCATGTTTGGTTATGGAATAATTACCTTTCAAATTTCTGGCTGACAGCTGTTCAGTTTTCCCAGGGTAGACTGGTTCCGGCCCCCTTTTACATTTGATAATGTGGGAACTGGGAACCAGCCTACTCACAGTGCGGATCTGTTTGCGCAAATGCAACCCAAAAATAACCAGGTTGCAGAAGCCCATAACAGATAAAAAGGCAGTTTTTGTTTTAAATAAAACATTCATTGGTCAAAATTCATAAAAAGAAAAAAAGCAAGGTAAGGCAAGTATAGTTAAGTTCATCCCAGAGCACGTAAAATTCTTTTCAACTGATTCTGAGTTGCTATTGGTGTACACAATGGGCAGGATTTAGCCTCTAGAAGGGGTAATCCTATACAATAACACTACCAGGCTCTTTTCACCAGCCAACGACAAGGCTAAATCAAAAGTGACAGTCACTCAATAAGTCAGTCAGTCAGGCATAAAGAGGACTATAGGCTGGCCCCTCTCAGGGAGCAGCCAAAAAAAATTTTGAATTTTTGAAGTATACAGACAGTACATCTTTAATGCAATCAAGTTTTCAAAACTGTAGTTTCCCAAGCCAGACCACGCTGTAATAATTATTACAAACTCTGTCAGCCGAGTTCTGTGGGATTTGCGGTCAGAGGCTAACAAGGTAATGGTTTGGTGCCTGTCTCCAAGGAGTACGAAGGCTCCGGTTTCGACCCAGGCTGACATTGACACTCCACATTGGCAAGTCACGATCACGCAAACTTGCACAACTTAAAGTGCACACAATTAGATTTTTTTTCTAGCAATACAATAGTTGTCTATTTTTGAATGAGACATCAATGGGGGAAAAAAGTCAGTCAGTCAGGTACAAAGAAGACTATTAGGCTTGCCCTCTGGGACCAGCAAAAGAATTGAATTTTTGAAGGACACAGACTGTACATCTTGAAGCAAGCGTTCAAAACTACTTTCCCAAGCCGACCCACGTAATATTACAAGCTGTCAGCTGTGTTCTGTGGGATTTGCGGTCAGAGGCCAATAGGTAATGGTTTGGTGCCTGTCCCCAAAAAGTACGAACCGCTCTGGTTTCAACTCTGGCTGACATTGACACTTGACATTGGCAAGTCACGATCACGCAAACTTGCGCCACATTGTGTTTGATATTTTTATTTAAGGTTCATCGACTTCATTCATCCGCGCTTGCAAAATTGATTTCTCGGAAACTAGGTGGCGAGACAGAGTGTTTTGTTATTCTTTTGGATTTCCCAAGAGACCAGTTGATGAGATGTTGGACTTTCCAGTTTCTGATCTGTAGTAATTTTTAAAACCCTTGCTAGTTTGTATTATTATAAACATTCTAGTTTGCAAGAAGATGAACATTTTCTCTCTCATTGTGCTAGGCAACATTCAACATAAAATTATTTACAGTTTAGCCTTGGAACTGCACTAAAACTTGAAGAAAGTTTTTTTTTAAAGGGAAAGGTACATTTTTTTATGTGCCAAAATAAGATTTCTAAACCAATTGTCATTTTGTTTCCCCCCCCCAAAAAAAAAAATAGTAATGAAATAGAATATACAATACACCAGAAACTGTCATTGTAAGTTTTTAGGTAGATGAGGGAGAAAAAAAAAGTTAATGGCACTGATTGATTTCCTCTTGATAGTACAGGTCAACCAACTGTTATTTTTACCCCTTTTTTCCACAGTGAAATTCCGCATGCTGACAATCGACCAGAATTTCAGACCAGACCTGAGTCAGGTAAAATGAAATGAATTGTTTGTTTCATATTTAATGAGTATTTGAGCACTGAAAATCTCTTCCCTTGATCAAAACTTGCAGAATGGAGAATTGATAATGATAAAATTATTTTTTTTTAAATTAATGACAATCCCTCTCAAACCTACGGCACTGACGTTTTTGGTATTACACCATGTGTTGAACTTGGATTAATCAAGCCAAACTTTTCTCATGCACAAAATCTCTTTTGTGAGTTTGTGGGGTTCTGAAGAAAAAAAACTGGGGAAAGTGTTGAACATTTTGGACATTATGCTCTGCTGGTCGTCAGGAGATATCTCCCGACAAGGGGCAAAGCATGCTCCCAGAAACATTTGAGCTCCCCCCCTCCCCTTCTTTCCAGAACCTGACAAACTCACTTCAGAGATTTGTTACATGGTGAGTCTCCTGACGACGGGAATGATTGATCACTGCCATTTCAATGTTGAAATTTCCAGGCTAGTGAAAAGTTGTATGTAGCTTACAAAAAATGGTATGTACATGTATGTCATTGAAGTGGTCCAGTGGGATACAAATATGCATGAGCTAAGCGTGAGAATTGAATGAGCATACATTGTATGAGAGTTCAGCCAGTTTCGGTTCTGGTTTTACTTAAGCTGTGGGTCCCAAGTGGTCACATTTGCTGGGGTTTTAGATTATGTCCAAATCTCATTGGTAAAACGTCATTTTTCTTCATCAAGATTCCACTTATCAAAAAGTTTCACAACTTTGGCTTCGAAAGTGAAAGCTAAATAACACAGTGCAGAAGGCAAGAATTTGAATCCTGAACAACAGGCATTTTAATTTCGTTGACCAAATCGCCAAATATTTTTTTCCCAGTCATCTGATGTGAAGAGAAATTAGTTGTTGAAAAACTCAGATCTCAAGCAAGGCATTAACTTAATCATCAGGCTCTCTCTGAATTAGAATAAACAACAGCTTGGACATAATGAAAGAGCACAACCAATTTTGAGCAATCGCATCAAAGAGTCCAATTATTTCACTAATTTAGAAAGCGCTTTAGTACTAAACTCGACTGGACACATCTGAACAAGTGTTCCGTATGACAAATTGTCAAAAACAGTGGCTGTTGTTTGACCATAATTTTACCCATTACATTTCAGGTGTCCAAAATGTGGGTGGAGGCACCCAGTGGTATCCACATGGCCCAGTGGCTGGATGTAGAGACCGAGACCAACGACGGCATCGTCGACCTGGAGTTGCCCATGACCTCTGACCCGCCCCTCGGTGAATGGAAGATAAAAGCTGTGCATCGGGGCAAGGATGTTACGCAGACTTTCACCGTGGATGAATATGGTGAGTCGCGGTGTGGCAATGGATATTTGTTGAGTTGTAATGGAGTCGGTCACATGTCTATCACATGTCTATCACATGTCAGTAAAATGTCCAATCACAGATCGGGATGCAAGTAACAGGGGATGAACAATCTGCATTTGCCACTGTTCAATTTGAATACATCCTTTGCATGGCAGTCATATTTGTGAGGCGTTCTAGCAAAATCAGACAGAACTGGGCAGAGGTCGAAATGAGGGCTTGTTGGTATTAGGAAAGAGAATAACATTCTCCATGCAATACTGTTTGTTGCACTTCAATCAAACAATTCGTTGACAAGTTATGGCTGTTTAAAATGTGTGTTAATCAACATGTCAAAACAGAAAAATACCGAGAAAAAAAGTTTTTTATTTGTGAAAATGAAATTTCACAAAGTTATTCCACGATTTTATACTATTTTTTCAAAATATGTAAAGTAGACATACATGTATAAGAGATTACAAATATCAATAAATCTGAAAATCAAAAAAGAAATCAGCCCTGTTTTTTGGGGTTTTTTTTTCATTTTTCTCCACTACGGCCTGTGCCCAGTTCCGTCGCATTTTGCCAGAACGCCTCACATGGTCCATGCATTTGTTTCTGAGGGAAATGCCCTAGTAGATCTCTTTGTGTATTAATTGTCAGTGAATTAACATTAAAAAAAAACACCTCCAATATGGCAGCTGAATGCAAGGGGTCTATGGCTGGTGATTCGAATTGAGACTGGATGACTTGTGATGAGTTGATTACAACAATTTCTTCAAATTAATTTCAGGTAAAGTAAAACAATCAAGGCGATGATGTCTTTCAAGAATAACTCTATAAGAATTAAAGTGATGGACATCTGGGATGTATTATTTACAGATTATGGATAAATTATTTATCCATAACATTTTTTTTTGCATCCACAGATGCAAGTGTTCTGTTGAAGCTTTTAACCGAAAAAAAAAAAGAAAACAAGAAATAGGTTTTGATTTATATGGTTTGTTATACTTTTTCGTTTATATTCCGGAGTCTTTTTTATTGTTATTCTCTGTAGTTCTGCCAAAGTTTGAGATTGACATCCAAGCACCTTCTTACATTTTAGTCAACGAATCCAGACTGGAAGCCAAGATTTGTGCCAAGTAAGTTGCAGCTGTGAATGTTTGTATGTTTGTATTTTGTGGAGTAAATTGGTCCAGTGGTTGCTGTGGCAGACCCGTGTGTGACAAGGGCGGATCCAGGGGGGCCAAAGGGGGCCATGGCCCCCCCCCCCAAAACGAAACCAATTTTTTTTTTTTTTATGTGACAACGCAATAAAGGCAGGCAATGAGTACACCACCATCTTTTCCTCAAAAAAACATTGGTTAAAGTGGTCAGAAATTGCCTCAGATCGCACCACAGAGCATCTAGAATCCAAAAAAATTTCGGGGCCCTTAAGTGGGCCCCGAACCCCACGCCGTAATTTTTTGGACCCACTTTTTGGGGGGACCAAAAAAATTTTTGGCCCCCTCCAAAATTGTGTTCTGGATCCGCCCTTGGTGTGTGATGGTACATGTACGTGGGTCCTGACCCTTCCAGGAAAAACTTGGTGTTTGTGTTCTTGGGCAAGATATTTACTACGATTGCGGTTATGAATTGGTACCTATAAGGGTTGCGATTAGATTGTGCTGATCTCGAGCTACTGCATCAAAGTGGTACATCAGCATAAAGCATGTAATAAGTACTACATGAGATTCTCACTTTGTGACAGTTGTAAGTTTTGCATTTTATTTGGTAAAATCCGGCTGTGGCTGCTACCCACAGAAAATACCATTGTTCCCAAATTTCTGGCTAAGATTTAGGTCATCCCCAGTGTTTGTTTGCTTGGCCAGTGGTCATTGTATTATGTGCCAGATAACTAGAGCAAATAATTTTTAAAGGACATATATGCTTGTGAGTCCTAGAGGATAAATTTACACAGGCTGCAGGCCTAGCTAAGCGATTGTTGTATTCTGGACAAAATTGCCTCCATATAATCTGATATATTTACTTTTGGGCTATTATGCCCTTGGTGATAGTGCCTTGTAGGCAGATAGTGTTGACAGCTAGGCATACAGGTAGGACATAAACCAAGATTTGTGAATTGTTTAAAGGGCAGTGTGCAATGATAAATCCAACTCCGAGGAAATTAATAGGAGACTATAAAGATGGAGCGATATTGTGCCGATGATCAAATATAAGATGATTTAAGAATCTAGAATGTCGCATATGTAAGACCTTTGAATTGAATTTTCAAGAGTTTGATAATCAGAAGTTGCCGACTTGAATTGGTGATATAGTTAGCTATTTAGTTTAAGTTGTGCGTCATTTAGTGTAGGGTGATGTAGTAGGTGTGGGAGAATTGTAGGGAAGTGTCATTATTTTCGATTTTTAAGATTTCTGGTCAAACATTCAACAAAATGAAGTTACATGAAGTCTTAATATATTTTCCTTCTTCCAAAAAAAAAATTGTTATCTGAAGGTAGACATCAAGAAACATGTTTTAAAAGTAGCTTATAATATGCCAGTAATTTTCAGTTATTTTCTCTTAAACAATTATGTGCTTGAATGATACAACAATGATAGTTCTGTGCTGTTACTAAGAATAACAATCTTCCATTGAAGTAGGCTATAGTGATACAAAAAAGGAGTGCATTAAAATTACAACATACGCACACAAAAATACAGCTAGATGGTGCTTTTAGCTTTTACGAAAAACGAAAAATTATATTTAGGCGCTTTGAAATGAAATAAACTTGAACATTGTTTTTGGACCTTGAAATGACCATCACGTTATTTTGATTAGGCTTGACTATAATGAGCTTCCCTAGAAATTCAGGGATTTGGCCAACAACAATCACAGTATGGGGTGATTTCAAGGGGACTTGATGTTTACTCTCCAGTCATTATGGCAAACAACGGTTACGTAACCAGCCCTCTGATTTCTTGGTTACAATAGTTCTGTAGTCTCTGTAGTTGTGCAGTTTGTTGATATTGTTTATATCATTGTACACTGGAGAATTGAGATATCTAAAATGGTGCTGTAATTATAAAAGATGTCATTGAGAATTTTTTTCCCGGGAATTACATTGTCATTTGTATGTTAATCAGCATTCACAGCTCTGCCACTTTCAACTTAAGTATTTTTGTCTGAAATGTTAAAATTGACAGGCTAATTTTTTTTTATTAACTAATCTTAACTCCCTAGTCCCTACTGTCTTTTACTAAGTACTGGACCAAGTCTGTCAAAATCCATTAATCACACTGCGTACGATGCATGCTTTGCTTCAGGCCTCCAGGCCCAAGTCCATCATACTCCATTGATATTTAGTCAAACCAGGCCTGCAGGATAGGACCAACAAGTCCCCCAAGTTCTACTAAAATGGGGGGATGGATTTTGATGGAGTTGGGGAGATCAGGGTTAATACAGAACCGATCCCAACCAAGAATTATTTTGTTACAATTAGCCTTTCTAGTAAGTTAAAACAAGAAGGTGCCCCTGTTTAAGCGTGATTTCCATGAAAATACACAAATCTTTCTGGAGAATTAAATTTGCGTCAAGTAAACACCTTCTGTTTGCACACATTCTACATTGATACTGTCAAGTGATTTGCGTTTAAGTTCCCATAATTTCAGATTTTGACGCTGGTCATGTGAAATCTTATGTCTTTCTTGACAAAAAAATAGTGGTGGGATTAAGAGCCGGATTTTTTTTAATTCGGTTTAAATTCCACTATTGGGTTTGGATTCTGGAAACCGGATATTCGAAAGCAACTTTAAAAAAAAATAAGCCTTCCATTTTTTGTGACACAAGCTCAAGAAATAGCTGGAACATCTCCCAATTTGCTGCATGGTCTCTGATTGTAACCACACTGACTCACTAGTGGTCTTCTTGGTTCTTGAATAGCCTGCCCATTCGACTGATCAGAGAGTTACTATCCATTTTCCTCACCATGTCATTGTCAACTTTCGAGTGTTTTCGTAAAAGCAAAGTGGTCAATGAATCTTGCAAACTTGACCCAATTAATGGGAACTTCCTGTGAAATCAGATAACCATTACTCGGTTTGAAAAAAACATTTGGATAACCGGATTTTGAAATCTCCAATTTCTCCCACCATTATTATTAAATTCCAGATTCTGTCTCATTCGTACTCAACGCGACAGCGTGTGCATATGCAACTTTGTAACGTCATAACAAATATTCACGTTGCCATTTTGCAAAATTTGTGCCCATTTCAACCCCAGAGAATTTCGCAGTAGATCGTCCATGACCTAAAACTCACTTCACATTTGCATTCGCGTGAAGTATGAACTGGCCTTAAAACAAGTCTTACTTCTCTGATTGACTTGTTTGACAACAGGTACACATACGGCCAACCAGTGAGAGGGTCCCTCAAGGCTGTTTTCTCCATCGCCAATGACGGCTGGAGTGCAAGACCAAGGGCCACTATCAAGTACAATATTGAGGTAAAAAAAGGCAAATTTGGTAAACGTAAGCAACTATGCTTAGCTGAACATTTATTCGGATAGCCTCAAATGAAATGATTATTGTGTTGGGCTACCTTACAAAATTGTTGCTTAACAAGTTTACCTCAACTACAAATTTTAATTTTAATTTGTAATTTTAATTAACCCTAACAGAACTCAACCCATCAAACCCCAAAAGCATGTATTGTTGGAATTTGTCTGGATGGGTACAGTACCCCTAAACTGGCAGTTTTTTTACATTGGGTTGGCACACCTCCAGAACAAAGTCAGAAATATGTGTGTACAGTTTCCCATATGGTGTTGGAATTTGCCAGGATGGGTATGGTTCCTAGTAAATCATGCTAGGGAGTTAGGGTTAAGCAAATTTGCTAAGCTGAAAAGTTATTCTAATTGGCTGAAATCAATTTAACCCTAACTCCCTAGCATAATTTACTAGGAATCGTAACCATTCAGGCAAATTCCAACATCCACATGGGAAATCGTACACACACACTGTTGGACTTAGTTTCTGGAGGTATGCCAAACCCAATGTAAAAGACCATCTGTTTAGGGGTACTGTATCTATCCCAACAGATTTAAACAAAACCTGCTGTTGGGCTTTGATGGGTTGAGTGCGGTTAGGGTTAATATAAGTTCTTGTGCTTCTTTATGAATAGTGCAACTTAGCAAGTTTACCTCAAGTGAAAATCTGTTTGTATTTTTGACTATCGAGTACAACTTAGAGGTAAAAGGTTGAATCTTGTCAACCAAAGAACATTTTCCGAAAAGCTGAAAAGCTATTCCGATGGCCTGGAATCACTTTGTAATTGTTATTCCTTTGGGCCATGTTACAAATTAAGTATTTCTTAGCAAATTTACCTCGAGTACAGTACAGACCTTTTTTGACAATTTGTGTGTGTGTTGGTTGGCTCATTTTAAATGTTTGTAAAAGTGTATTATTCCACACTGTTCCTTCTTTGTAGAAGTCTGTTGTTTAACATTGTTGAAGAATGTACTCAGAAATGAACTGTCAATTACAAATCTGAATAAGCTGTAACACCTTATGCCAACCCACCCAACACACATACCTCTGTTTCAGAACTGTTTTCTCTGTTGAATTTTTAGTTTATCTTGCTTCAAGTGATTTTTGTATCAAGTCTGTAAATTTTTGGCAATGATTCAAAATGTCTGGCTCTCAAAAAGTTGGCTCGTCAACATAGACAACCATATCCTTCTGGTTTTTGGTAGACAGTTTTGCTCATAACGCACGAGTTCTTACTGGTGGTTTTCCTGATGGCACGTCGTTTGCTCGATGTAAATGATACAATTATGAATTTAAATGCCAATAAAAAGTTTCTTTCCTTCCCGGATACAGGATACCGGTAAAGACGGCTGCCAGGATATCGTGGTGGAAGTCTTCCGACTGGAACTGAACAGCACCGACTTTGGGCTGTGGAACGCCAGGGTCAACGTCGCTGTGGATTTCACTGAGCGGGCAACCGGTATGAAAATTCCCCAAAAAAGTTGGGAAAAAAAATCAATTTTAATTCAATTCAAGGGTTTAATTATCGATTCCTCGCAGCCCAAAGGCTGAATTGTGAATGATTTACAATAAAGTACAAGTATAACAAAACATTTGAATTACTCCATACATGAATAAAATTGAGTAGAAACTGCAGGTAAAACCTGGGTTTCCACACCAAAAAAGGCTCATAGTGTTGGTCTAGAGCACATTCCTCTTCAAATTGTGAAGAAATTGTGTCAAATTTCAGTTGCTTAATGCCAGAATTTTGACTTTAAACAGAAATGCCTGCAAAAGCGACCGCAAGGCGCTGCACAGACTCTTTGTGGGAATCGGTCCTAAGACCCGCCCACAGTTCCTGTGACTGAATTTGACCACGCCACCTTGGTCACCTGACCAAATGCAGTGTTCTTATTGGTCACTGCACGAAGTTTATTTTAACAGGAAGGTCCATGATAGGACTCAAGAAACAGTGTAGGGTCTGGACTGGGATATTGGGCATCCATCTTCCTCTTCTAAAAGACTTTGGACATTTTTACCGTTTCAAAATTTGGGCAGAGTTCTTTTTATGATTACTGCCTTATCTACAGGTAGTTAGCTTGTAGTTCAGGCAGAGTGATATTTACTTTTTAAAGGAAACATTCTCTGATGCATAAAAGAAGAGCATATATTTTGCATAAAATGAAGAATGACTCAAAATATCAGAGGTGGTCTGTTTTGCAAATACTAAAGCCTTACTTTTTTATATTATTCCCGAAATAACGTTGACAGCTGCATTGGGGCATGGAGTTAAACTTTAGACAACTGTAAATTAATATTTACTTCATGTATAGCCTACAGGTATGCATTTCTCTCTTTAAAATATTGTTGTTTTGGTCACTAGTATTCAGTGCAAAATTACGCTTGTTCATTTAGGTAGTTGTGAAGTTGATAGTACTATTGCTTAAAAAAAAATCAACAAAATTCTGCTTTTTGCTGGGTAATATCTGTGTTTTTTTGTTTGTTTTTGTTTTAACTAAAATCACATCTTTTTGAACAACTTTACTTCAGGTGTTACATTGTCTGAAGTGAAGGATGTCACTAAGGTGGCAACAGAGGCACTAACATTGGTGTTCCAGGGACCACAGACATTCAAACCTGGTGTGCCATACTACGGAAAGGCAAGTTGCGTTCAAAGAACCCATTTTGAAAGTCTAAGGGGGACGAACGTGTGTTCACAGGAACGTAGTGCGCATCTCTCTTTCGAGCTGATTGGGCCAGACTCGAGTCCATGAAATGCTGCTGTGGGGGGGAGGGATCGCCACACCTTCTTCCACAGCAAGTCTGTTACCTTCCCAGCATTGAATAATGCTGGTACCCAGTTAACACCTGGGTTGAGAGGAGTAATTGAGGTAAAGCGCCTTACTCAAGGGCACAACACACATGGCCACGGCAGGACTCGAACCCACAATCTCACGATCATGAATCCTATGCCCTACCGCTAGACCACATAACCAAAGTGTGAAAGTCTAAGACTACATTTCAAAGCTGCCATTCCAAAAAAAAATATGTATACCATACTTTAACAATGCTTTGCTGAGCTCAGAAAAAGAAATGGTAGGAGTTACTGATTATTCAAAGGTACAAGACGAAAGACATTGGTTTCAAAGTAGAAATTGAAATATTGTGCCTACACCACTGTATTACTTAATTACTATCAATCAGATTAATACATTTATTGATCCATAAATTTATCTATTGATTGTTTGAGCTATTGATTCATCCATTTATCCATTGATTGATCCATATATTGATCAATTGATTGATTTATCCATTGATTGATCCATCAGTTGATCCAATGAACAATCTGTTCAGTGGTCGATCAAACTATCGATCTATTGATCCATTGATCTTTAAATTGTTTGATCCATTGATTGATCCATCAATTGATCCAACGATCAATCCATGAATTTATCCAATGATTGATCCCTTCATTGATTGATCAAATGATTGATCCATTGCTCTATCAATTGTTTTATCCATTGATTGATCCTTCAATTGATTCATCAATTGATCCATGAATTGATTCATTGATTGACCCATCGATTGACCCATTGATTGATCAGTATTTTTGCATAGATCGCACCGATCATGAACCGGCCTTTATGCCAACTTAGGAAATGATATCCTGTGCTCCAGATTGAGTGGCGAGTAAATCTTCTCCAAGTATTCAAATATATTGTTATCCACAAAACCTCTGACTAAAAGTCATCTTTGACCGTGCAAAGCTCTCAAAATCATACCTCCTTGGCAACTGGTACCTCCTTAGGTGACCATGGGCTTTGCCAAGGGTTCATCATCGATCGATTGATCAACTGAATCAATCATTGATAGTCAATCCACACCAATTTGGTTTCAGATTATCGTCACGTTTCCCGACGGCACACCAGCTGGGGGCAGGACAATCCACCTGACAGCCGACACCAACGAGGGACGCGTCTTTGACGAGATGCTGACCTCTCCGCCAAACGGCATCATCGATGTCGCGGCCAAGAACATCTCAATCCAGTCCTCCACCCTAAGTCTTTATGTGAGTGTTGATGGTTTAAACCCTCATATTGATTGATCAGTCACGGACAGTCAAACATTTCTTCCACCTCCCCTGCCGTGCATTTGTATACAGACCAGTAAAACACACTCGGATCACATTCGTGTAAACACTCTGACTAGTCGAATTCCATCAGCCGACAAAAGAGTTAACTGGTGGGTACAGCTGTCAAAGCATGGCTGTATCAACTTAACTGTTAAAAACAGTCACTTGATTGATTTGGACTGCTGTGATGGCGGAGCTGAATTCGTCGGCCAGAGATTGCAAATATTGCTTTACAAATTAAAATTGCTTAGAAAAACATAATGAGAACTAGTCACAAACAGCAGAAATCACTTGACATTTTGACTGGTAACCCGTTTTTGCTTAGATATTCTTTGAGGAAGGTTAGGGTTAACATTGAGGTGTATGCGTATTTAAAGCTATAGTCCATCATTTGTAATTTGTGCATTTTGTTCGTTTGAAGCAACAAAAGAGTTCAAAATCTAATGAAGGATACTGAGCAACTAACCTGATGAAATTTCAGCTAAGCTTCAGCTGTACATTCCGAGAAAAAAACAGCATTCTAAGATCTCAATTTCAAATCAAAAGTTACTGAATCATGTTTTGAATTGTTTTGAATTGCAGCTATACGCGACGTCGCGCACTGATCCGACGAATTATAACAACCGCGCGCGCGTGTGCGTCGTTCCAATTCTTGTGCGCGCTGCGCTGAGTAACAAAACGAACTACTAATTTATATTTTCCTACGGTGCTTCTTAAGAATCACCGTTGGAAATGCCTTCTTTCGTTGATTACTTCAAAATGACAGCTTGCCAGAAAAAATAATTTCACAGGGAGTATAGTTCCCTTACTATCTTACAACCAAGTTTGTTTTTCAACAATAATTACACCAGTTACTTTTCGGATGGCTGCAAATGATGGACTCTAGCTTTAAAGGTAATTACCCAGGAATGGCCCTACCAATTTAGTGAGAAAAACCAAGCACAAGGTGAAGATATGGGCTGATCCCATAACACCCTGTGAAATTATTCTGCATGCACTGGCATTGTGCGGAAGAAAACAATCCGTGATTGAAGGTGGCTTTGAAAAGTGTGCCCGTGGGCACACTTTTTAAAGTACATTAGCAATGGAATCCAAAAATTGTACATATAATTTCTCAAAATGTATCGGATGCACTGAAGTAGATCTTTTACAGATTAGTTGGTATGCACCCTATTTTTTGTTGCTTTAAACAGAATAAATGCACACAAAGTAGATGATCCATATCTTTAAGTAACCCTATTAGCCCAAGGAGTGCTTGCATATGAGTGTTTGAGCCCGATATTACCTCACTATAGGTTCAAATCAAATTGCCAATTTTATGAACAGATGTTTTTGCTCCCCTTGAAACCTTTCCTCAACAGGCCCAGGCACCAGGCTACAAAAACTCCCCCGACAACTATGACTACCGCGACCGCATCCGTTACATGTACGACCCCTCGGTGTCCTTTGGTGCGCAGCCGCAGTTCTCGCCGTCCGGTAGCTTCATCCAGGTCGCGCCGATCCTTGAGACGGTGGAAATTGGCTCGGTGCAAACCTTGACCGTTGACTTCACAGCCCGAGACGCAGAGAAAGACAGCATTGAATTCAGCTTTCTGGTAAGGAAAAAGTTAAATTTAACTTACAGTTGCGTTCCATGTGTAATTTTTTAGTTTCATCCCCCGAAAAAATAGATTCCCTTTTCTAAATTACTAGATTTCTAGCAATACAAACATTGTTCACTTTTTAATGAGACAGAGACCGAAAAAAATCAGACCAGGTTAGTTACTGAATTATTTCCTTACAGTTTCAAACTATTGGCTGCCTGAAAATAATTCTGTTCCTGCGGGGTGGACTGGTTCCCGCCCCAAGATCAGTATTGATAATGTTTGGACCGGGAGCCAGTCTGCTCGCAAAGGGGATCTGTTTGTGTCCAAAACAAAACGTTGTTTTCAGAGGGTTGCAGCATCCAAAAAAGGGGGAAAAAATGAGGCGTTTCGGTTGAAATAAAACATTCAAGTTGGAACTTTATTAATAGAAAACATTGAACTTGTTAAAGAGCACGAGGGAATGCCATATTAAACTTGCATGAAGTAAGGAATATAACAAAGATAATAAAATAGCAAATATAAAGTAATCCAAAATTTAAAAATACATATTTTGGTCGTGCGCATGCAATCTTTGAATTAAAAAAAAGTTTCAGTTTTTGCCATCCGGTGGACTGGTGTACCTGCTGCTAATTGGGATTTCATAAGAAATTTTTGTAGAATTTTTTTTATCCTATCAACTTGATTGAACAGTGAGTTAAGGCAACACACGTTGATTTAATTACTACTCCATTTTTTTTGGGTAACTCATAGTTTATGTCTAGGGGAAACATCCTTCCAGTCGATATCAACGGCCTTAAGCCTACAGAATCGAAGCGTGAGCGCACTGCCCGACAGGCACCAGAAGTAGATCCTGTGGCACCAGAAATAGATCCTGTTGGACCAGAAATAGATCCTGTTGGACCAGAAATAGATCCTGTTGGACCAGAAATAGATCCTGTTGGACCAGAAATAGATCCTTTTGGACCAGAAATAGATCCGGTGGCATCAGAAGGAGATTCGGGGTCAATGGAAGTAGAGCCGTCAGAAGTAGGGCTATCCAGCGACGTAGGTAAGATTGTCAAATTCAAATCGTACCATCTATTTTGTTTTCGAGTTTCACCACCAAACAATATTTTTCTTTTGATTGCCAATTTCTGTTAGCAATCCAAAACTTTGAATATGTGTGAGGTATAGTAAAACATATAACATGTTGTTTTTTTTGGGTGGTCAGTCGATATTAGCTCCCCTCGGTATTGGGAGTTGACAAATTAAACTTCCAGTACCTCGTGGAGCGAATATCGACTGTCCACCCTCAAACCATGTTATATTTGTGTACTGACATGCATTTTCCAAGTTCACGCTTTTTATTAATTAAAGGAACAATCCAAGTTGTAGAGCTCTTAAAGAAAGAAAAAAAATCACAATGATGTGAAAGAAACAGCTTATTTATTTAAAAAAAAAGAAGAGTTTTAGGGTAGCAGTCATGGCCTTTCCTTGTCTGTTTCTTTTCCTGTCTTTTAAAATCACAAGTCCAGACACAACTAACAGGTGATGAGCAAAACAAAAGAACAAAGGAATGATTTTGTCACAGTTTATTTGAATAGCGTCTGGCTTGACTTGAGACTAGGAGAAGCTGTGAGGACTCATTGACATCAATTTACAACACTGATTGAAAACAAATTCACACAAATTTCCCATACTAGAGTCCAGCTACACTTTCAGCTACATCAAACCCCCCGTAAGCCCGGATCCCCCCATCGTCATTGTCAAGCCTGGGGAGCTGAACACCCTCCAGGCCCTGGTCACTGTCACCCCGGAGATGATGCCGGTAACCCGCGTCCTGGTGTACTACATCAGGAAGGACGGCGAGGTGGTAACCGACAGCATGACCTTCAAAGTACAAGAGGTGTTTGACAATGAGGTAGGTTGTTGATTTATTTCTGGTAAACATGTCTTCGTCACATTTTACGTATAAGATGGTTTGACTTCATTTACAACATGGAAGTTAATCAGCGAAGAGAGTTTGGAAGTACCTGTATTGTTTTAGATATCTCTTGGGAGGCAACATTCCTGTTTTGGGCGTGTGTGGCACCTCCAAACTCCGGCTCTGCTAGACTTGCTTTGGATGTTGCAGTCCACTTTCATCATGGTCGTCGGCCCGCTGACTGCCAGTTAGCGGACTGATGTAACTGGAAAAGACCTTGTGGTCGTCCCAGCTTACCTGGCTCAAAGCAGGTAGCTAATAATGTCCAGTTGCTCCCAAGCGATTGTTGGTCCCTTGCATCTGATTGGGGAGGTTGGAGGTCACTCCGATGGTCTTGTGCAGCAGAGTAATGAAACCAAGGACTCCTCAAAAGTGCCCTAGGCAATTTTAGAAAGAAGACAATTAAGAAATTGAAGTTTGAGAGGTGGGACGAAAACCCAAGAAGACTATTGTGGGGGAAACCCACGGACTCAGGTAAGGACTGGAAACCCAATCCACATGTGGACCAGGGCAGGAATTAAACCTGGACCATAGAGGAGGAAGGCGAGGGAAGAACCACTGCGCCAACCTGACTACCCAAATTCTGATGATGGAACAAAACTTACAAAACCTTTCAGATCACCGTGAGGGTCACAAATTTGCATAGATCACATTTGCTTTTGCACCAATGCTTCAGAGTGGCGAGTAAACCTTCTAAGTATTCAAGCATATTGTTATCCACAAAACCTCTGACTAAAAGTCATTTTTGACCATGCAAAGCTCTCAAAAAATCATACCTCCTTGGCAACTGTAACCTCCTTAGGTGACCATGGGCTTTGCCAAGGATGAGGCAGCCCCTGGAGAGACGACGAAGCTTACGATTCAGGCAGCCCCCGGTTCCCTCTGCGGCGTCGGAGTTGTGGACAAGAGCGTCCAACTCCTAGGCGGAGACAACCAACTTAAGAAGAGCAAGGTAAAATTTGTTTGCAATGTGTAAATATTCAATGATATATCTCCTAAGCACAAAACAAATTTAGTTCAGCAAATGTCAGTAGAAAACCTGTCACAGGCAATGTACATCATATGGCTTTTTTGGTCGGTAACTGAGAACCAATTTCACAGAGATGATCAGATTTCATGGAATTTTGTGTTTTAAAGCAAAAAAAAAAGTGATATTCAATTTATTTTGTGCTAAGCAACTTTTGATGTTTATCAGGCTTTCAAGTATTCCTACTTTCCTACTTTTGTATTTTTTTTTAACTGTGCTCCTATTTTCCTACTTTTTTCTTGAAATTCCTACTTTTTCCTACAGTTTTGTCCCACAACTCAGAAAAAAAGAAATGTCATTGAATATTTTTCTTAACATTGTAACACACTGTCATAAGTAAATCACATAATGAGGGGCTTGGGCGCAGGAGGTCTGCAACTGTACTTCCAAGAGCTTAGTTGAGGATGGAGCACAGAAGTGTTGTGAATACAGAACATGTCAAATGATGCTTATGATGCTGTTGACATGTGTGAGTATCAGGGAAAACTACACCTGAAATCCTGCAAAAGTCCTACTTTTATCCAGTTTTGTTTTTAATTCTGATCCTATTTTCTACTTTTTCACCTGGGTCTGCTTGAAAGCCTGCGTTTTAGCTTTTGGAAGAAATTTGGCTCATGTCATAACCAACCTACTTCTCTCTCCTTTGTATCTTAAGTCTTCTTATCCCTAACGAAGCAAATTTTGTTTGTGCTTTTCGAATGTTGTTGCTTAGCATTTCTGGGTAACCAACTATCTCGCCTCTCTTTTTTTCGTCTTAAAGGTCTTCTCTTCCTTGGAGAAGCATCAGCTGTCGGACCGCGACGGTGAACTGGATACCAGCAAGCACTGCCCCGAGGCCCTGCCCTGGTGGTTCGGTGCCATCGATCGCAGGAGGAGAAAGCGTACAGTCATCTACAACCCCCATCAGACCTACAAGGATGCTTCCCTGGCATTCCAGGTAAGTCAGGGAGGGGGTTTGTTCCAGTCGTGTGAATGTCCCCGCTTTCATTAGCTTAGTCCCAGCGAATGTGCCAACTGCAAATGAAACGATCATGTCATTGGAAAACTGTTCTCAAAATGGCGGCGCCCTGTATGCTGATCCTAAAAGTGTCACTGTTTTGAAAGCAGCTTTTAAAATCTTCCAAAAATGTATTGTGACTGGAAGGGAAATGTTGCCATTGATATATGAACTGATTGAGAGTATAGAAAATGGAAAGTACTGCTGCGAAAGGATCGTTACGTTCTTTGCGTGTCTTGGACATTTTGGAAAATACAGCGAAAGACTCAGGAAGACTGTTAGCCTTTGTTGCTATTAAACATTGGCCACTGTTGATGGCACATGATGACTCGGAGTGAGTTGTGAGTGACTGGATTACTCTCTCTTGCTAAATCCTCTAATACCCCTCATGGATTTTGTTGCAGGGTGTCAGCGGGTCCTTAAACAGTCTTAAATTGAATTATCTAAATTTCAGGCCTTAAAAAGCATTAAAAAATACTAAATTTAGTTCTCAAAGGTCTAAACAAAATGGACAAAGCGAGTAATGAGGTTTCCTTACAGCTCATAAATAACGATCACACAGCGCGTAAAAGAATCGGCTAATAAAGTATTGAAGGAAAATAAAGTGTTACTCGATAAGGGACAAGGGCTAATACGCTCTGCATCGCGGTTGCCAGCCAACAAAGTTTTGGTGACATGTGTTTTGTGACGAAGTTTGTGTCATCACAGGGGGTCTAGTGGCCCGTGATCTTTTCATTACTGCTCTTGCTGGATAGCGCGAAGCAGTGTAGGCCTATACTGCATGCAGCGTATTGTTTCACCACGTGGCACAATGCATGTCATGTATGCGAAGAACGGGCGTGGAGTCGGTCTACTGTATTCAGAGTAGGTTCCCACTTCGTATCGACAACACGGAAAACAATAATTTTAAACCATTTCTGATGCCCAAAGATTGTTGACAAACATTTTTCCGACGGACGGAATCGACTGTTTGAATATATTTTTTTGTCACTGTGTTTTGGGCGACTTAAAAGTGAAATAAAGAATTTGAGATGGTCGGGACTACGAAAAAAAATGTGCTCACCATGCTGATAAATTTGTCAGTTGGTATGTACATTAGTTTCATGGACGGTTGGGCTACCAAAATTCCTGTGGGCCCGTCAAAATATGTCAATAAGTATCAATAAGGGGTTACTAATAATAGTTCCAAGAGCTTCATCAGATATAGCAGTTTTCCCCTGTTTAAAGCGCTTATTTTTGTCTTAAATTTTGTTCAGGGTAGCATTTAAGGGTCTTATTAAAAAATTTGACTTTCTGAAATTCATGCATATACCCTGTGTTGGATCAGAGAGATTTAGGGTTTACACTTTTTCGTTCATTTTCTCCCTCACAGCAAATGGGCCTGGTCTTCCTAACAAACATCCAGGTTGAGACACGACCCTGCCGAAGCAGAGAATTTTACTGGCGGGGAAGAGGTAATTATTGGAAATATTTAGTCCCCTCATCTACAGAATCTTTTCTTAATTGACCAAGAGACTTTGCAATGGTGGCTAGGAACCGCTCTGGGTACACTGAGAAAAAGTGTTGTCTTTGAATCAAAGTCAAGCTATTGTGTCTAATCATGTGCATATAATTGATCCTATACCAGCCTCACATGATTGTTCATCAATAAGCCATTTCAGTATTAGTCTTGGTCAAATGTCATTCGGGATAAAATCACCGACATGATGTTATGCGATGTCACGCAAACGCCCGCCCGTTCTGCTTGTAATTAACAAGCAAGCATCGTGCACCCGTCTCCCTGCGCGTTCATGCGCCTTCGATGCGCGTTTGATTATCTCGAATGACCCGTGACCCCAGTGGCGTAGCCATGGGGGGGCGACAGCCCCCCCCCCATGAAACCTTGTCGCCCCCCCCCCCCCAGTCGTCCCCCCACTGAGATTTTGAGTTTCTAAAAAAATTATCATTGATCTACATGTCGCCCCCCATGAAATGTTCCAGCGCCCCCCCACTGAAAAATTCCTGGCTACGCCACTGCTTGACCCATAGCATGCGCTCGAGACAATAGAACCCCTGGCTGGGAAAAATTCTTCCTGTATTTATAGCAAACAATAGTAAATATTACATTTATATTTTTTTCTCGCTAATTTTATTTCCAACGTGTATCATTGTTATTTTTTTAAGTCCAATCCTCCTAACAAACAATTCTCCCTATTACACTTTTGCTTATTATATTCTGTGTAGTTCTGCATGTTCAAAAGTAAGATAATGGCATCTAAACTTTGTATTGAATAACCCGTATTTTTGATCTATCGCCACTACGAATTTCCACTGTCCATACCCCAAGACACCATATTTACAAACAAACATTATTTTGCAGTGTTGTAAAGGCACCTGACTTTTCCGTGCCTAGTTAAAATGTGAAAAATCTTTGAATATGCAAATGATCCAGTACCAGGGTGGGAGAGCAGGTAGTGGGAGCGTACTGCTCGGTGCCACGGGAACAAGGTTGGCATCTGCCCTTTTCGTTACGTTTCATTGCCATCTTTTGATCTGGTGTTTAACAAAGGTGTTGAGGATGAAAGAGGACCCCTTGCCCTCCCTGTGCTCTTTGATGCAGAGCCAGAGCCAGTGTTTGAGAAAGAGGCCGTTGCGAATCTTGCGCCTGAAGATCTACCAGAGGAACAAGCCCCTGTCACTGTGCGGACGTACTTCCCCGAAACCTGGCTGTGGGATCTTGTAAGACTTGGGTGAGTTCATAGCGCCAACAAATATAAAGTAGCCGTTTCTGGTAACATTAGAGAGGTTTCGCATCCGAACAGATGCATGTATGTGTACGCATGCGTTTAGCTGTCCCTAACCATTGTTGACCATTCAGTTGTTTGGCATTGTACATGCGTAGGCATATGCTTAGTTACTGGAACTGTTACCAACATAAGCAGCCATCCAAAATGGCAACCTCTGATGGAAGCCTCGTATATGCAGGTATAAATCTTGCTTTGAAACCCAGACAATTCACACATATTTTTTTTGGAAACTTTTTTTTTCACCTTGGAGAAACATACATGTTTATAAATAAAATTGAAAAATTATCATTTTTGAAATTAAAATCCAAAACCCAACTTCTGACCTTATGTGTCAACTATTAAATTTAAAAAAAGTCAACTGCCTATTCTACTTTTTTGGGGAATGCCCACTTAAAAATATTCCTTTGGTCCTCGCATCCTCAAATTAAAAAAGGTGGTGCTTCTATCCTCACACCGTGTCGATTTTAATCATGCGCGTCAATCCTTTTTTTCCCCAAAAATGTTCCGCGGTAGCTCCAACAGAAGCCTCTATTGCCGCACCTCCTCAAATTTTTGTACCAAGGAGCACCAAGGAATGGGAAATTGCACCAAGGCACATGATCTAGGGCATCAAGGCAAATTATGGAGGACACCAATGTACATGAGGACACCACAAAATGCAAAAATAGCACCCCACCTTGTCTGTACAATCCAAGCTTGAAAAAAAAAAAAGCAAAAAAAAAAAAAAGCTGTGTCACCGCATCAATTCCGGAACTTTGGTCTGACCAGAGACCGAGTAATTTTTTTGGGGCCTAAGCATTGCGATATCTATTTATATTCAATTAGCTCCGAGTCTAGTGAAGCGGAAGTGGAAGTCGAGGTACCAGACACCATCACGGACTGGGTTGGCAGTAGTTTCTGCATGTCTACCGTGCAGGGCCTTGGCGTATCCAGCCCCGTCAGCCTGCGGGCCTTCCAACCCTTCTTCGCTTCATACAACCTGCCGTATTCAGTCATTCGCGGCGAGGAGGTGCCCATATCTGTCACAGTCTTCAACTATCTCTCAGAGTGCCTGGTGGTGAGTACCTTTCCAACCAATTTTTTTTTCTAAGTCAATTAACCCTTTCCTTACCACATTGTTTATTGACTTGGCTCTCCCCAGGACCAAATTGTTTGCTCAGTCATGCAGAAATCACTGGAGCGTGAAAAAAATGACCACAAGTTGAAAACTCACTTTTTTCGACCCAGATTTTCACTGCCAAGGAGTGATTAAAATCATGGGTGTTGTGTAAAGTTTGTTCCTTGAACCTTACTTTTTTATGTGATGTAAAAATGAAGTCCATATGTGCAAATATAAGAAAGTTATGCCTTTTTGTTCATCCGGTCCCATTTATCAAACTGCAAGCAATTTCACCACATGACCAAATGGCACTCCATAGCTCAAATTGTGCGTGGATACTTCTGAAGCACTTTTCTCATTTTTTTTGTAACGGTAACACTAGGAATAAACTACATCATTAGAACGTTCTGAAAACACTCTTTCAGCTGGTATATAGTTGATGTATGGGCAGCCATACATATTAACATGCCACCTTTCTGAAAAGTAGTAAATATATCTGTGTTGAGGTTGTTTTGTGTGTGGTTTCCTGGTCGACTATAAGTCGCCCATGGGAATCAGCAGGGGGGTACTTCTTGTTGACAAAAGTTGCCCATGGTAAGGAAAGGGTTAAACCAGAGCGACGGTTTAATATTCTAACTACTAGATTTTGGATTTGTTTTGGATGGATATTGATGCTTTGCTTCCACTGAAGAGTCTAGACTTTGCCTTAAATTTAACAAGGGAATAAACGTGCGCTTGGGCGGTTTCAATCACTCTGTTTAAGACCGCTTGGAGTCTGGGTGCTGATGATTACCCGAGCCAAAGTAACCATGCTTTTAGGAATTTCAAGGAATTGATTTCGGATAATGTACTCCAAAATGCAACACACAAGAACAACATACCCGAACCAGAAGTGTGTTTTTCTGTGAGTATGGTGGTTAAAAAACGTCACTGCAAAAATCATCTGCAGCGCCTATATGCAACATGTTTGCATAAACTTGCACAGAACAAAATGAAATGCTCCTTAATGTGCGTTTTGGTTTTGGGTGTATCAGCGTCGATAACGCACTGGTATAGAATACAAACGCAGATACAAATAGCCGTACGAAAGCTGTACTAACTTTCAAGTTAGGCTTCACTTTGTACAGCGTATAGGACTCAAGTAATTTAATATTAGCTCTATGCTTTTTGCTGATCAAATGTTTTCAGCACGTAGCAAATCAAGCTCAATGAAATTTGCTTCAGATCCTTGAAATGCTGAATTGCTAGATTATGCAATTCCTTTTTTTTTTCCTTCAACTTGTCTGACCTTATAGATTGAGCTGACGCTACAGGATTCGGCAGATTTTGCCCTGAAGGGGGCCGAGCGCTCACAGCGTCTGTGCGTCTGCGGCTCCGAGTCCAAGACGGCCGTCTTCAATGTCGTCTTCTCAAGCTTGGGAATGATCCCGATTGAAGGTGAGATCACAATGAGAACAAAATAGGGAGAAAAGCACAGGGTGTTCATAGGGGTAGGAGTGGGATGGGGAGTTAAGGTTGGACTGAAGGTTGGTTGGAGGGAGGTGGCGGTTTGGTTGGGTGTTGGACAAGGGATGGAGAGGTCGGGGGTCAGGGGTGAGGGGATGGGTGGGGGGTTGAGGGTTAGTGGACAGGGGGTTTCAAAACATCAGATTTTCCCCTAGCTTGGGCTTCAGACAATTTTGGTCAAATGGGGGACTTGGCCCGTTATGGGTCCATTCTCTGCTTCAGGAACATCACATGTTGTCATATTCTGACAAAGTTTTGAGTCGTTTGTTTAGATATTAGCCTGTATACTGCCCAAAATAACCCTACCTTGTTACTCTATACTGCACCAAACCACCTTGGCACTGTATGACTTTATGGATTCCTCATGGAGTTAATACAGTGTAGTACAATGTAACACTGATGCTAAACATTTTTAGAGGCTTCTAAATGATACTGAAGCCAGAGGTGTAGCCAAAGTCTGGTACGAAGCCAGGTTTTCAAAAACGCCCACAAAGAGTGCTGGCCGTTTTTTACTTAATGCGAATTTCAGTTTACTTACTGTGAATTCGTTAACGTATCAGGGAACGTCATACTGAAACTTCTGTTGTTGATGTCATGAAATCCCCTTTACTTTCGCTGGCCTTAATTTTAATGATTTGAGTGCAGTTTTGAAAGCAAACGTTGGCATTTAGTGATAAAGTTTGGCACCGAGGGTTAACAATACAGAAGCCTGTTTTACCCATGTCATAGTAGGAAAAGTAATATTCATTTTTCAGTGGAACAGAAGAACTCATAAGTTTGTACTTTGGTTATATCTTCTGCTCACAGTGCACGCCATTGCTGTTGAGGACACTACCTCCCTGTGCGGTAATGAACTGGTCAGCGCTTCCAACACTGGGTTCAGTGATGGCGTACGCAGGGAACTCTTAGTTGAGGTACTGCCATTGCATGTGTATTTTCCATTTTAAAGGTAATATACAACATATGCTTTTGCTGTAATTTTCAGAAATGGATGGATTTGGGGGTTAGTATTTTGTAGCAAATATTGTCACACATGATTAATGCTGGGAAAACCAAGGGAAACAAATGCTATTCTTGTAGCCTGGTTCCCTGACCCTACTTCAGACAAAACAGAGCAATTTATAGACATCGGGGAATTGTCGGGTCAGGGAACCAGACTAGCTGGCTTGCACCCTCTTCACGGATGTGTAACCGATTGTAAATAAAATGTGGACCCAATTAAATTTGGTAATTTGGGGGCAGTATTTGACAAGAGTCCTTTTTATCCAACGATGGTCGGCCAACCATCGTTGGAAATTGATACCGAAATTTCCACCGCTTGAAAATGACAACACACCAGGTGCCATGATTTCACAGGATGCTTGGGACTATTATTCACTTACAGTCAAGCAAGGTATTTCATAATAATTTGGTAGTTTTGTTTTTTGATGTTCGCAAATGTTGTATATAGCCTTTAAGGAGAATGTTTTTGTTTTAATTTACCATACCCAACTTGGCCTTGAGCCCCGCCTGTCTTTGGTTTGTGTGCATATCTCACAGCCATTGTGACCAAGTTGGACTGAACAACCATGGTCACCTGACCACAGGTCACAATCCTATTGGTCGATATACACAGTTTGATTGACAGGCAGGAAACAGACTTGTAAAAAAGCATAAAGCGTGGAAGATTTCTCATTTTTTTCCCCCGGTTTTTTTTTTTTTTTTTAACTCCACAGCCTGAAGGAGTTGAGGAAGAATACACCATTAACTCTTACTTCTGCCCAGAAGGTAAAGTATTTCCTACTTTCTTAAAATGCTTAAATTTGAGGAAAAAAAGGTGAAGTAAATAGCCAAAAGTTGTGACAGAAATTTTGACCCCAAAAGTCTGAACTCCAATTTCATAGAGCTACCTAAGCACAAAAATGTGCTGAGCACACAAAATATTTGCTTAGCAAGGACGGGTTACTAGTCAAAATATCATGGCATGTTTATTGCCTGTCACTGGTTCTTGGTTTATATCTGCTTATCGGCTTATATCTGCTTAGCACATATTTTAGCTGGACATTTTTTTATTCTGTTCGGGGGCTTCGTGAAATTGGGCCCTGCATACTGATTAGCAAAAGCGTTGGATTTTGTTTTTTTCCTTTTCAGAAACTGGTGGTGTCTTCACGTCCATCAACAAACTTGCCCTGCCAGTCAATGTGGTCAAGGATTCCCAGAAGGCCAAGATCACCGTCACAGGTATGCTATGGCCTTTGACCTTATATACCCAATTGAGGATTTATGCCCAGTTGAGGATTTCAGCACGTCACAAAGCAAAATGTAACTGTATCAGCATATTTGGATATTGGTCGCAGGTATACTTAGTGTTAATAACAATTAAATAAATAAATTGCAATGCTTATATAGCGCTTTCCATTGTATCAACAATCTCAAAGCACTTTACAAATAACGCTCATCAAGACACGAGACCACATGGCAGCCGATATAAGCGCACATTCGGTCCTCTACCCTCACAGGTACCCATGTATACTCCTGGGTGGAGAGAGGCAATTGTAGTTAAGTGTCTTGCCCAAGGGCACAGACACCATATTCCTGGCAGGGTTCGAACCCACGCACCACCGTTCATGTGTCAAACACCGTAACCACCGGACCATGGCATTCTACAATTAATCAATGACATAAAGATTCATGCGACATGACACTTAAACATTCATTAGTATTCATGAATATTCATAAATATATATGAATATTGATCACAGGTGACCTGATGGGACCCACCCTGTCCAACCTGGACAGTTTGCTGCGCGTGCCCACGGGTTGCGGAGAGCAGAACATGCTGGGTCTGGTGCCCAACATCTTCGTCATGCAGTACCTGGAGAGCACTGAGCAAATCACCCCGGCCACCGCTGACAAGGTAGGCGCAGACTAAATCTGGCAACCACAGCTGCAAGATATGATTGAGGTGGTGCCATGCATACGTGCGTTGTGGCTACCTTGTTGATTAAATAGCAAATTAGGACTGCAAAGGAGGTTAAGTTACGTTCAATATTGTTACAAATTTAACAAATTTATATTGTTACAGTTTCCAGTGTGCAAAGTTTCAATTTCTTTATATTTCAACTTTCCATTCCTAGTTAAAAGACTCGCCCATATTGTGTCATTTTTTTAGAGCACATATCAATGAGTGGTTTAATTTTAAAACTTTGTGTTTCAAACTTTTTTGTGTTTTCATTGTGTATAGCTGAAGACAATTTTTGTATAGTAATTGAAAAATTCTGTTTTTTGAAATATGAAAATTGCACAGGATTTTGCAAAGAAAGTCAAGGGAAAAGGCTCAGTATAAATGTTAAAAAATGTTTTCCTAAGGACAGTTACACATTTATGAATTTATGTATTTGTGGTTGATTTTAGGCAAAAGCGAACATGAAGATCGGTTACCAGCGTGAGCTGAACTACCGCCGCGATGACAACTCCTACTCGGCGTTTGGCATGAGTGACCCGGAGGGCAGTACCTGGCTGACGGCCTTTGTGGTCCGCTCCTTCGCCCAGGCCAGCGAGTATATCTACATTGACCAGGCGGATCTGGATCGGAGCATTGTATGGTTGAGGGAACGGCAGAATGAGACGGGCTGCTTCCAGTCCATGGGCAAGCTGTGCCACAAGGCTATGTCGGTAAGTTTGGGGGTGGACTTGGTGTAATGAACTCTTTGGTTGTGTTGTCCGTACCTTTAAAGCCAGAGTCCATCATTTGCAGCTATCGAAAAAGTAACTGATATAGTAAGGGCACTAAACTCCCTGTGAAATTATTCTTTCTGGCAAGCTGTCATTTTGAAGAAATCAACAAAAGAAGGCCTTTGAAGTTCAAATTAGTAGTTTGTTTTATTATTCGGCGAAGCGCGCAAGTATTGGCACGACGCACACGCGCGCGCGGTTGCTATAATTCGTCAGATCAGTGCGCTACATCGCGTAGCTGCAATCGGCTCAGTGAGAACGTGTTTCGGACGCTGAATTCAGGCCCAATTTAAAACATGATTCAGCAACTTTTGATTTGAAATCGAGATCCTAGAATGTTGTTTTTGTCGAAATATAAAGCTAAAGCCAAAGTGAACCCAAAAATGTGCTCATTGAAAACATTTGTGAGAAAACTTTGCTCATTGGCTTACTGCCATGAATTGACACAACAACAAATCACCCCAAAAAAATTAATTACGACAGCAACATTTCAAAAATTCCAGCAACATTTGGTGCTGAAATGGTTGTAACATTGAGGTTTCTGCCTGAAATGTTTCTGCCTCAAAACAAAAAGGCACTAAAATACCCTTCAAAATGGCACAATGATAAAAAGGTTAAATAGGACAAGGAAGGTCATGATATTTTCAAGGATTGCATTAAACAAATTACATTGCATGGGCCCTTTTAAGTGGACAGAAAGCAAGTGAGATGTCTAGTGTGGAGATGAGAGTCTATGTAAGGTATACGAGTCCAAATTTGATATGACGGGAATAATAAATGGCTCTGTTTCAGTTTGGCCTACTCACGCAAGATCCATTGTGTGCATTCGTGAACTTGCTTGCACCAATTTTCATCATCTAACACCCGTTCGGACTTGCGTTCCTGAGTCGCACCAAATTGAATTGCTCCCTTGATTTGAATTATAAAGTACATGAAAATGTTGATGTTTGAAAAAACTTGGGGGAGATTACGTTGAAAGATGGACTCTTGCAGCTTGTTATTTTTTATTGCAGGGCGGAGTCAACAATGAGCTGACACTGACTGCGTACATTGTCATTACCATGCTTGAGGCGGGACTACCGCAATCTGTAAGTATCCACTCACCGAATGCAACAAAGTTAAATTCTAGTCAAATAGGTTTCTTATTTCACAGGCAAGCTAAGCATTTTGACTTGTGAACATGTGACATCCCATAAGGAATGATTCTGTGCTCACTGTTAGCGTAGAACATTTATGCTTAACCTGTAATCGGTGGAATGTTTGTTCTCAACGTGCAAGCACTAAGTACTGATCCTGGTCCCTAGAGCCATGAAATTGCGCCCTAAACTACCCTGTAATCTTTCTGTAGACAAATCCAGGAACATGATCACTGTACACTAATGAGGCCCCTTTAAATGGCTGAAGCATTGTGCAAGCTATAGTGCAAAGCTACTGCCCCATGACGGATAATCTAAACAATAGCCAACACAATGCTTTTGCCATTGAAGGGGGCCTTCAAGATAAAAGTGAAAGTGTGCCTGGATCGGCACATATGTAGACTTTTGATACATACAGTTATTATAGAATGTTGGCCAGTAGTGATGAATGGTAAAGTTCTATTACTGGATGACATTTTTAGTGATGGATACCATAGCTGTAAAACGGAATTTTCTGCTAAAGTTAGCAAATATTCCTTGCTTAGTAATAATCAGAGCCATGGAATGGACCGATCCAGTAAGCACCGCCCCATGGTGTTCTGACCAATCACAGCCGTGATTTATGTCCGACGTGCGTGCACTAAAGTCTGACATGCGTGCACGCGCGTATAATGCGTGCGGAAGGAAAATGCAGCTTGGCATTGGAGAGGAGCACGTGCTAATTTGCCCACGTGCGCACTGGGCGGAGCTTACTGGATCGGTCCATTGTGCCTTGGTGAAATGAGACATCTAATCGTTGTTTATCTAGGATCCTGCTGTGGCTGGTGGTCTGCGTTGCTTGGTCGACGGCATCCCCAGTCTGACTGACACCTACACCACCACCCAGATGGCATACGCCTTGGCCCTAGCCTCAAGTCCGGAACTCCCTACAGTCATGCAGAAACTGGAAGAAGCAGCTACAGAAGAAGGTAACCCTTCAAACTCTAACTTAAAGGGAAAATACAACATTTGCAAACATCAAAAATTAAAACTACCAAATCATTTTGAAATACCTTGCTGGACTGTTAGTGAATGACAGTGTAAAGCATCCTGTAAAATCATGGCACCTGGTATACTGTCATTTTCAAGAAAAGTGGTATTTTTGTATCAATTTCCAACGCTGATCGGCCGATCAGCGTTGGAAAACACTGGCTTTTTTTCAAATACTGGCCCCAATTGACCATCGCACTTGTTTGCAATCAATTACAAACCTATGAACGGGTACGAGCCAGCTAGACTGGTTCCCTGACCTTACAATTCCCCACTGTATGTAAACTGCTCTGTTTCTTCTTATATGGAGTCAGGGAACCAGACTACAGGAAAATGATTGTTTTTCTTGGTTTTTATATCATTTTCGAACCCAAAACCTCAAAAAAGTCAGTGTAACCATATTTGCTATATATTTCCAACCCCCCAATTCCATCCATTTCTGAAAATTGCAGCAAAAGCAAATGATGTATATTCCCTTTAAGTAAATCCTGTTTCAGACAGGCTGTTCAGGGTCAAGCGGCGACTCTTTGCTGAATATCAGACGACTATTTACTGTATGGTTGCATAAATACATATAACAGTCTCCGTGTTTCATGAAAGCAGGCACTGATCTCTTACTCGACAACAAGACTTTAGCTAGTGCTCGCCATCTGAATCAATTTGTGATCATCTTTGATTCTACATGATGCATGTCTAATATTCATACAGTGAAACCAGAAAAAAAATAGAAACAAAATTAGAGACAAAGTTGCAACGTATATTTGCAGCTTGCTTATATTATCTCAACAATATGTGATGCGATCAAGCTACATGAGTCGTTTGTCTGGAATTTTCATTTGGAGATACAGGCCAAAATAGGGCCACTTCATCACATCACTTCATCACATCTCTTGGTGTTCCGACTTCCATAATTTTTTAACTAAAGATGGTATCAGCATGCAGTTTTCACAGAAGTAATGCTGAGATTGTGCTCTTTTCAAATCTGTAATAAAAAAAATTTTGATCGGGGTCGACAAACAACTCATTTAGCTTGATCGCATCACATATTGGAAAGAATTTAAATTTGCCATGTATAACACATCTGGCTGGGATGTGGTAATCAATTTCAACTTCAAGTGTCGGTAATTTTAAACCATCAGATTTTTTTTGGCACTTTTTGGGAATGTACACTTATATTTCCTTGCCCAATATTTCCTTCAGACGGCACAAAGTACTGGAAATCCAACCGGCCCCAGTCCTCGGACAGCTACGGTTACTACGGCGTACCGGCCCAGGACATTGAGATGACAGGCTACGCACTGCTGGCCTACATGCAGCAGATGGAGGGCGGCGACGCTCTGATTGCCGGCAACCCCATCGCTCGCTGGATCGTCTCGCAGAGGAACTCGCAAGGAGGCTTCTCATCAACACAGGTACAGTATACTGTTAGTTATCCCACGAGCGCTAGTGGAAAACGGAATAATGTAGTGGCTTGTGTCCCACATGCCAGGAGGCCGAAGGCTGCGTAGTATGTGGGGGGGGGGGGGGGGTGGGTAGACACACTACATTTTCCGTGTTCAATGAGCGCAAGTGGGATATTAACAAATTTATCCTCAAACAAACTTGACGCACAGTAAAATTGGAGAGAGCAAATTGAAACGAGAAACCAAGCCTATTTTTGGTGTGCAGCGCGACAGTAATTACTTAGGGGTGCGCCCCAGTGTTTCTGGCAGTGGCTGCAGAAACACCGCAGCACCTTGTAAACCCTTATAAGGTGCTACATAATGGGTTTCATATTTCTCTTAGACTTCATTTACCCATCTTTAATAATAGACATAATTTCCAGCGCCTTGAATACCTAATTGTTGGTAGATACGTGTGCTATATAAGACTCCGCAATTATTATGTATTATTATTACTTACCCTGGTTCCCCGCTGCAGGATACCGTCATTGGCCTGCAGGCCCTGGCTTCCTACGCCGACTTGGCTTACACCGGCGGCGTCTCCATCCACCTGAAGGTCCGCACCCACCCCCAGCGAGTCAAGAACAGTTTCCGCGTCACCCCGCCCAACCGGCTGATCTTGCAGGAGATGACGCTGGACTCCAAGAACGTGCCGACCCGGATCAGCTTTGAGGGCAGGGGAATCGGGTGTGCCTTGTTGCAGGTGGGTTGAACCGATAGCAGGAATATGACTCATCCGATGTTGAAGTTCAGTTGTTTTCCCAAGTCCTTACAAAATACACTGAAATGTGGGCTTTGGTGCTGGTTTAGTACTTGAATGAGTAGCAACATCAGGGTTTGACATACATGGATATGCGAGAAATGTAGGGGTGTGCATTCAAGTGTAGTACAGGAACCGGCTACCAGATTGAAGAAAAAAACAAACACATGTACCGGGATACTCGTTCAAGAAACCCAGCCTAATATATGTATATAAATCTCAGAAGTAGCTGTTCAGATTGTTTATAAAGGTCCGCACGATAACACCACCACATGGGTGTGTCAATACAGCAAGATACAAGTCTGAACAGTGAGCTTTATAGCTTTACGGCGGAAACTGCAACTCTCGCGAGCGTCATAAACATGACTTATGTTTTGTTTTCCCATGTAGCCTGGTTTTCATTTGTTAAACCCCCACATAAATGAAATTTGAAACCTTCTTCTCCAAATACTTTGATTCTTACCCAAAAGCCCAAGTATTCCAACCCCTCTGTCAATATTGATGGTGTTTGATTCCCACTGTACATACTTGGGTCATTCTACAAATGGGGTCCACCTTTTCCTGTTCCTGTTAATGTACGATTTTTGTAAATTCTGGATACCAAAAATTACACTCGTGATGCAATACAATTAGACGAAATCAGAAAATCAAATACAAATAAATGCAATATGTTTTGTGTCTGGTTCTTGTGATGGTCATGACTACAAAACTGTATTGGACACAATTCATTGAGAGTAGGTTTAATATTTTTAAAGCATGTCTACCCTAACGTAAGAAAAGGACAAGAAAAGTGCTCTCATGTTCATTTGATTTTCTTAACGTCAGACTGCCGTGAGCTACAATGTGATTCCCAAGAAGCCAACAACGCCAGCCTTTACCATCTCCCATGAAGTGCGCGAAATCCAGAAAGCCAAGCGGTGCAGCCAGTATTCCATGCAAGTTTGCACAAGGTAAGCCTCAGAGTAAATGTGTACAATGAACAGTGTGGAGCGCTGTGGTGCAGTGATTGTGGGAAACATGGTGCTTGTGTTCTTGGGCTAGACACTTTACTGCATTTGCCTGTCTCCAACCCGGAGTGAAAATGAGCACCGTGAAACATGGCGCTTGTGTTCTTGGGCTAGACACTTTACTGCAGTTGCCTCTCTCCACCCAAGAATATCAGTGGGCACCTGTGAGGGTTTAAGAGACCAGATTTCTCTGATCTCGACATGCTGCAGAAAACTTGTCTCATGGCCAGATGAGCAGGGGTAATAATTGTGACACATTTTGAGACTACAAATAAAAATGAAGTTTGACTTGGGTATTTCTTTGTCATTCTTAATCCCCTACAAAACAACGATAAGAACAAATCATCCAATTTTTTCTCCAGCTATACTGGTGATGATGAAGTTTCCAACATGGCCCTCTTGAGAGTCAAGTTGCAGACCGGATTTATTCCAGTGAAATCCACCCTGACACCCGGCGGACTGAAGCGCCAGACCGAGGCCTTCAGAAGGGTGGAGGTGGACGGAAAGATGCTCAACTTCTACTTTGATGAGGTGAGTGTGGTCTGGTACCCTGTCTTCTGTAGCTATTATACAAAAGCAACATGGTTTGGGGGAAGTAGTTAGAAGTTACTGGTGTTAGTTGAAAAGTTTTGAAAGTTGGGGGGGGGGAGCATCAAAGGAAAAGTGGGGGAGGGGCAGGGGTTGTGGGAGGGGGGGGGCCTGGACCGCATTTGTTGCTGCGGGCACCCTTTCCCCTGTTTTTCTTTCGGGTGAATGTAAAACCAAACCATTGTGATCAAGAGATCAGTAGACCAGTTAGACATTTTTGTTAGATCATCCCTTTGATTTCCAGACACTCAATAATTGTTCTGCATTTTAGCTGACGGCTGAGGAGACCTGCATTGTGTTCAGCATTGAGAAGAGCATTGACGTGAAGGACATCAAGGATGGAGCAGTCACCATTATGGACTACTATGAGCAAAGTGAGCATTGTATTCAGAAATTTCCCTTCATATTAAAGGGAAAATACAACATTTGCTAACATCAAAAAACGAAATGATCAAATTATCACGAAAATACCTTACTGGATTGTTAGGAATGACAGTCTAAAGCATCCTGTAAAATAGTGGCTCCTGGTGTACTGACATTTTCAAGAAATATAGTATTTTTCTAACGCTGGTCAGCCGACCAGCGTTGGAGAAAACTGGCTTTTTTTTCAAAAACTGCTCCTAAATCTGCATATTTAGTTATTCCGCATTTTCTTTGCAATTGATTACACACCTGTGAAGACTACAAGCCTGCTTAACTGATTCTCTGACCTTACAATTCCCAAAGTCTATAGATTGCTCTGTTTCATCTTAAGTGGGGTCAGGGAACCAGACTACAAAAACATGATTGGTTTTCTTGGTTTTTCCAGCATCTACAAGCCCAAAACGTAAAACAAGTCAGTTTAAGAATACCTGCTATAGCATACTAATCCTTCAAATCCATTTATTTCTGAAAATTGCAGGGAAAGTAAATGTTGTACTTTCCCTTTAAAAGTCCAGTTTTGCGTTATCCATCCGGTGCCAGTATTGTAATACAGACCTTTCCTAGACTTCACACATTCTTAGTAATCAAACATTTTCAGAGAGAAAACATTTTGAAAATGTGATGCGATCAAGCTGAATGAGTCATTTGTCGACCCTGGTCAAGTTTTTTTGTACAGATTTGAAAAGAGCACAATTTCAGCATTACTGTTGTGAAAACCGCATGCTGATACCATCTTTAGTTCAAAAGTTAAGGAAGTCGGAACACCAAGAGATGTGATGAAGTGGCCCTATTTTTGGCCTGAATCTCCAAATGAAAATTCCCAACAAACGACTCATTTAGCTTGATCTCATCACAAATGTTGAGATCAACATTGAAGTTCAGAAAGTGGCAAAATTTGCAAACATCAAAAAACAAAACTACCAAGTTATCATGAAATACCTTACTGGATTGTTAGTGACTGCCAGTAGCTTCCTGTAAAAATCGTGGCATCTGGGGTGCTGACATTTTCAAGAAAAGTGGTATTTTGGTTTCAATTTCCAGGAAAAAAACCTGTCTTTTTACAAATACTGCTCCCAATTTATCATACTTAGTCCGCATTTTATTTGCAAGCGATTACACACCTATGAATGGGTACAAGCCAGCTAGACTGGTTCTCTGACCTTACAATTCCCCGACGTCTATAAACTGCTCTGTTTCATCTTAAAGCGGGGTCAGGCAACCAGACTACAAGAACATAATTATTTTTCTAAGTTTCTCCAGCATCTGCGAACCAAAAAATTCAAACAAGTCAGTGTAACATTTTTGCTATAAAATGCTAAACCCTAACTAAACCCATCCAGTTCTGAAAATTACAGCAAAAGCAAATGTTGTATATTCCCTTTAATTCAGAATTGTTCTTGTTTTGTCCTTGTCTAGTCTTGAATGTATTCTATTGTCGGCCTTGTAATGTTATGCTTATACAGACAGTAGCCTAGGCTTGAATGTTGTTTCAATCTTTGTTTTAATAAAGTTTCATTATTATTTAAAAAATGAACTTCTCCATGCTCATGATTTTCTATTTTCTTCTCCCTTTCCAAATGTCCACTTAGGTCTGTCCTTATCCGAGATGGTGAAACTACCCTGCCCCAAAGACCCCCTCTATCTGGACCCCACCTTTCAGGATGAGGACCCCCTGGAGCCCAAGGAACCCCAATACTCCTTGACCCCAGGAGACCATTCCAGCCCGAGCCCTTGGGTCCCTTCAGGGAAGGGAGCCCCCTGGGTCTGGGTGAAGGTGGCCCCATAGTCCCTGACGTGGAACTCGTTGTCAATCTGGATATCTCTAGTAAGTCTTTTTTTTATTTATTAAATTTTGGGGTTTTTCTTTTAACAAGCATTTGTCTGCCGCAGTGGTGTCTTAGGCCAAAAAAAAAAAGTCTCCGGTTTCTGGTATGCGCGCGCGTCGCCGTAGCCATGCGCGTCGGCAAAATGAAAAAGTTTTTTTTCAATGAAAGATGATGTCTCAAAACTGCCAAACTCACTGGTTTGACTGGAATTCTGCTGCTGCGCAATTTCAACGTGTTTTTAGATGGGGTTATGATCGAGAATAAGCTTTATGTGGCCTCTCTGGACTCTCATATATTTGCACTAAGTTTAGTCGGGCACCATTTGCAGTCATCAGCCGACATTTGAAGCAAAAAAGTCGGGTAAAAAAAAAAAAAAAGCCGCGTCGCCGCACCACTTTTTGGACAAGCTCCATACCAGAAACCGGAGACTTTTTTGGGGGGCCTTAGCTTTTAAGGTTTACAAAATCCTGGCTTGAGCTTCATGTCTGTTTTGCAGTTATTGCAGTCATTATTTGTATATTTGATACATGTGTCTTTTTGTTACCCTGCAGGTTTTAATCAATGCCCTGAGGGTCGAGTCTTTGCTGATGGTGTTAAGAAATGTATCAGTGAGTTAAATAGACTTGTCTCTTTTCCCCCCCCCCCCCCCTTGATTTTAAGATGTATTTATTAGGCTTCTGCACAATATGTGTTCACTGTTGTTTATTGTTAGAGCCAGTGGATATATTTTGTGTACACTTTGCATGTTAGGTTTATGAGAAGTACGCTCACTGGTAAAATTAAAGTAGATCTTGCTTTACTGTTTGCGTAGAACAGGCATCCAAGGAAAAATGTGAGATTGAAAACGTATAAAACCGCTGCATACTGCTTACTGACTGGATTGACCTGCAGTATACAGGGGTGTGAAATCTCAGCTTTAAAGCTGATTTCAGCTTTTTTTTGTTTTGGATTTCAGATTTTTTTCAGCTTTTTCCCTCACTTGCTGTGTACAACAGTATAGGACATTTCCAAAGTTCAGCTTCTTTACATCTTTTTTCAGCTATTTTTAGCTATTTGTATAAGTGGTCACTCACACCCCTGAGTATACAAAACCAAAAAATTAGATGGCCTGAAGTTTCGATCCTGGCAGGATTATTGATCAGAGAAATTGTTTTGGTAGTGAATTGAACTTGGCTCTTAAAACTGCTCAGAAATTACACTGGAGCCTACATTCAGAGCTACAGGTGTGTCCAATATGCATACTCTATAGACCAAAGCCACAATTCGCTCTTTTCACGCTCCGCCATTGGGCATGCACAGCCTCTATCTGGCAAATTTATACAATAAAAATAGCCGGTTCAGTGATCTGAACCCCGACACGGGAATCACTGAACCGGCTATAGTTATTGTGTATAGTTGCCAGATCGAGGCTCTGCATGCCCATGGCGGAAGTGTGAAAAGAGCGAATGATGTCATGCTTTGTTTACATGTACGCTTTGTTATGAAAGCCAGTTGGGAACGAGATCCGCCAAGTTCCCATTAGGAAAGCGCACAAAGCGCGACGTCATTATATCTTGGGTGTATTGGTCATAGCCCTTAAAGTTTCTGGCAACTTTATTTTAACTAACAGCTCCTGTTGGCGATGCATGCCAAGACGGCACAAGGTGCGATGAGGGATACACTTGTGTTGACACCGACGCAGGAACCCAGTGTGTCGGTATGTATATTTGTGACAAGGAACATGGTTAAGTTTCTGAACTAGGTGGCCGTTAAAATTGCAACACATGAGGGGAAATGTGAAACCATTGCAAAAGTATTACAAAACGGATTTTAAATCCTATCCATCACAAGCCATTCACCAGTCTGTCATAAGTCAAGTGACTGGGGGGGGGGGGGGGGAGGGGGGTAGCGATGACAACAAGAGTACCTTTTTGACGGTTTTGTTTGTGTAGCCTGATGCTGAAGGACTTGTTTTTGACTAGTGATGACTTATAATTGCTCAATTAAAAATCTGTTATGAAAAACTGAGAAACAGATGTATGTGCTGATACAGTACTCATTAGCCTAACCCTCCTATGGAAACATGCATTGTGAGCCTGGTTATTACTTGGGTCAATATTGGTCAAGACCCCCATTGGTTTGTACACAGTCGGCCAGGAGGTGAGGAAGAAAATTTTGACCATTGGTGACCTCTTAAGCAAGAGGAGGATTAGTGTATGTGCTGATACCGTACTCGCGAGTAAATATTGACTTATGAGTGCTGAATTCCTGTGTACAGTTTTCATGACATAGAATTTGCATATAACTATTTGCAAATTTACCTCTCTTGAAAAACATTCTCTTGGAAAGACAGTACAGCAGACATGTTACTTTCCAGAATTTTAATTGATTCACTACTCAATCATGAGTCAATCACGAGTCAATCACGAGTCAATCATGAGTCGGTCATCAGTCAATCACGAGTCAATCATGAGTCAATGAGTCAATCATGAGTCACAAGTGTCACAGGTCAAATCACGGATCTCATAAGTCAATCATAATTCAATCATCGGTCACTTTTAAGTCAATCACAAGTCAATAATAAGCCAATAATAATACTCTGAAGTCAATCATAAGTCATTCAAGTCAATCACAAGTTAATCACAAGTCATCACATATCAGTCATAATCATAAGTCAATCAGTCAATCACAAGTCAACCATGAGTCAACTACGAGTCAATCATGAGTCAACCACGAGTCAATCATGAGTCAATCACGAGTCAATCATGAGTCAATCACGAGTCTATTACGAGTCAACCACGAGTCAACCACGAGTCAATTACGAGTCAATCACAAGTCTATCAAGAGTCATTTACAAGTCAATCACCAGCCAATCACATGTCTATCACAAGTCAACTATGAGTCAGCCACGAGTCAATCATGAGTCAATCACGAGTCAATCACAAGTCAATCACGAGCCAACCATGATTCAATCACGAGTCAGTCACGAGTCGTTCACAAGTCAATCACCAGCCAATCACAATTCCATCACAAGTCCGTCACCAGTCAATCATAAGCCAATCACTAGCCAATAACAAGTGACCTAGTTTGTCACATGACACAACAGTAGATGACTTGCGATTAAAAGCTGTGATCACAGCACTGAAGTTTCATTATTGGTGTTTTAAACCAAAGCATTTGAATATTTTCCTTTTCTAATTTAGTGATTTACAATGCATTGAAACAAATTCTGTTACCACTGCAGATTTGGATGAATGTGCCAAGTATCGCGATATCTGCAAGGGAGATTTAATCTGTACCAACATGGACGGGAGCTACATCTGTGCTCAGTTGGTTTGCCTAGAAGGCTACAAAATCTCTGCCGACGGACACTGTGAAGGTAAAGGGTTCTGCTGCATGTAAAATAAATAAACACCATTCCAAATCTTTCTGCAGTTTCAGTAGATGGTGCTTTTTAATCACTTCCGACAGCCCTTTAGGGAGGGACACACCATATGCGTAGTGGTTCGTGCGCGTATTGCGCAAAGTACACATGATTTTTTTTATATTCTGAATGTGCCCAGACCTGTTGCGTCTACGCGGGAGTGCTGGGCGCCTTCGACAATGTGTTCGAATGTCCCTCCCAGTGCTTTCCCCAACTCCCTCTTTGTCACCATTGAGGGGGTACTTGTGCACAGCTTCCAGAGACTATTTCGGATTTCGGATTTAGTCTCGTCCACGCCACACCATGGGGGACAACATGTGCATAACGACTGTGATTGGTCAAGGCATTATAGGGCATCAATTGCAGCCCTTGGGGAAGCGTGCTTGGTGAATATATTGTGCAGCGTTTGTCTTTATGTCTAGGGTAGTTGTTTGAATTTTTTTTTCTTCAAAACTTGGTCCTGTTTGGCTTTGGCCTGTCTTAATTCATATCTGGGACCACTTCTGGACAAGTTACAAGTAAAATCATTCACTGTTTTCCCGAAAAAAGCACTGCATCTGTCCTGGACATGTTCCGTGGAATTCTGGGGTTTTTTTTAGCAACTGCCTGACTCGCTGATACTGATAACTTAATTGCGGGCAGATTGCAAGGAAGTTGTTCAGGATCCTGCAACTTATACACGACACCATGTCCGCAACTTGTCCGGAAATTGTCCCGGATGTCAATGGAGATGGACCATTGAAGACACTGGGACTTCTGGCTTGATTTCAAGTCAAAATTTGAAACAAAAATTCCCATGTTATCGGTAGATCTGAACGAGTGCGACACGCCGGATATCTGCGGCCCGTTTGGCGCTTGCGCCAACACCGAGGGGAGCTTTACTTGCCTGAGGTTGCAAGTGGAATGTATCGATGGCTTTAGGATGACTCCAGACTTGCAATGTGAAGGTGCGTAAAACTAATCACAGACCGGGAGCAAGTTCTAACAAAGACCATTGCTTGACTACTGATCTGTGATGTAACTAATGCCTGAGGAATAAGAGTAACATGCGAGCATCTCCCGTCAAATGATGGTGAAAACGTTGTCCTGAAACAATAATAATATAAAATCACTTTTATAACAACAACAATCCTTTTTTTTCTTCAAAATTTGAGAATTTTTTTTTTCTTCAAAATTTAAGAATACTTTTTGTTTCAAAATTTAAGAATACTTTTTTTTCTTCAAAATGCCCCCCCCCCCCCCGTACTGCCCACATGGAGACATCCAAAAAGTTGTTTTATTTTTTGTGCATGTACACCGGGCAAATATCTTTACATCTTCAAAAAAGCTGGACTTATTCTATTTTGAGGGGGTGGGCCAGGACAGTTGGCACAGAATGACTCTTCTATACACTTGTGATAACTACGTGTACTCTACAAACTTATTCATGAAAGCCAGATTTTGGAGGAAAAAAACCTTCCAAGACCGATTTCCATTGCTGTTGCCAAATTATTCAATTGTATACCCATGTTGTCTTGCCAACAGATATAGATGAGTGCGCTGAAAACCCAGACATCTGCGGACCTGGTAACTTATGTGCTAACAGCATGGGCAGCTACGCCTGCGTTATTGTCGACTGTGGCGTCGGCTACTTCAAAGATGTGGACGGAAGCTGTGGCGGTAAGATTGCCCACTTAAAGCTATAGTCCATCATTTGCAGCCATCCGAAAAGTAACTGGCGTAATTATTGTTGAAAAACAAACTTGGTTGAAAGATAGTAAGGGAACTAAACTCCCTGTGAAATTATTCTTTCTGGGAAGCTGTCATTTTGAAGTAATCAACGAAAGAAGGTATTTCCAACGGTGATTCTTAAGAAGCACCGTAGGAAAATTTAAATTAGTAGTTCGTTTTGTTATTCAGCGTAGCGCGCACAAGTATTGGAACGACGCACACGCGCGGGCGGTTGTTGTAATTCGTCGGATCAGTGCGCGACGTCGCGTATAGCTGCAATTCAAAACAATTCAAAACATGATTCAGTAACTTTTGATTTGAAATTGAGATCTTAGAATGCTGTTTTTCTCGGAATGTACAGCTGAAGCTTAGCTGAAACTTCATCAGGTTAGTTGCTCAGTATCCTTCATTAGATTTTGAACTCTTTTGTTGCTTCAAACGAACAAAATGCACAAATTACAAATGATGGACTGTAGCTTTAAACCCTAACGTCCTAAGGGCTCGTTGGGGGTCAAGGACCAAAATACTACAGAATGCAACATGTGTTGTGCCCACTTGTGTGGAAAGAAATGCATACTACAGGTTACTGATCAGTAGTATTTTGTAGCCTTAGGTGAGGCTAGAGTTAAGATACGGGCAATTGCGTAAAATACACCATGTTACCACATGGCGTATACGTACCAGGTCATTATTAAAGGTTGTGGTGTACCTTCGTTTGGTCTGTGACTGTTTTCTTCTCAATAGACATCAAATATTAGCGATGTATTACATTCGGTTTCCTACAGCAGCTCAATATAGTGTCTGACATGTACGTCCGAATTTACGGAATTGCCCATATAAGAATGAATTGCTAACACTTTTAGTTCTCATGTAAAGTGATTCCTTCCTGCATTTGGATGAGAAAAATATAAAATTCAAAAAATTCCCTTTGTTCCTTATGTACGTTTTTGTCAATGAACTGGTCATATTTCCTTAAAAAAAAAGCAAAATGCAGAAAAGAAAATAGACAATGCAATTTTTATTTAGAGATCCAAGATGCAGAAACACAATTTGAGAGGTGGTGTCGTATGTTAAAATCTTAAGAAATGTCCATAAAATGTGTCATTGTCACTGTTGAAGTTGAAAGACCTTAAAAATAAGACTGAAGATTTTCATTTCCATTTAAAATTGTAATTTTCCTTTTCTTTTTGCTCTTTTGTTACTAATGCTAATTTTAGTGCGAACATTGAAGTCGGGATGACATCATTGTGCATCGCAAAATTAGACGCTCCTTTTTCGTATTCAAATACTTAGAAAACTACATGTCTGATTGTGCTGAAACTTTGTACTTGTAAAGATGATGTTATGACAATGCTTAATTTGAAGGATCATGATGATGACAAAGTCGTGATCCTTAAATATTGGACTGTGCAAAATATTTTTGGAATAGCCAGAGAATGATAACTGTTTTTTTTTACCAGATGTGAACGAATGCGAGGAGGTGGATACCTGTGAAGAGGGAGAAACGTGTCTCAACACGCCTGGGGGCTATTCCTGTAGATCTGAGGTCTGTGATGAAGGCTTCGAGGCTGTGCTGTCCCCAGAGGGGGGCCTTTCATGCATAGGTAAGGCATTTACCTCCCTCCTCAGAGAGAATGGCAGAGAATATGTCTGGAACCCATTTCAGGAGTGTTTTTGGCAAATTTTGATTTTATTGTTCAGAGGGTTGATGACACTGGTGGCAGAACTGTGGGGCCATTGGGCCCCCCCCCACTTTTTCCACTGGGGCATTGTGCCCCCCCCCCCACTCTTGGTAGGCCCCACAATAGCGAAGTCTTGGAATAGGGCGCCCCCTGTTGCTGAATGAGGTTTCAATGCACTGATACTTGTAGCTAGCACTGTGCGCCGCCATTTTGACAACAGATTTACCGATGGTATTTTTCGTCCCACTTGGGACTCGCAAATGTTCAAACTAGTGTTCCAGTGAGGGAACGCACCCCTGATGTCTGACGTTATTATATTTTATGTTCGAACAGACATTGACGAGTGCAGTGAGACTCCCGACATTTGCGGTCTCGGTAATTTGTGCGAAAATGTGGATGGCACGTATTATTGTGCTATCGTCGACTGTGCATTCGGCTTCTCCAAAGATGAGAGTGGAAATTGTGTCGGTAAGAATTTATTTTGTGCCAATGTGAAATCAGTTAATAGAAAAGATTTGTTTATTATTTTTTTTTTAAATAGCACACTGCACTAATGATGTCAATTTTGCTCCGCGCCGTACGCGTGCATACCCCGGAAGATCAACAAACTTTTGAACAATCATGCACGCACATGCGCGCACATCTGGCCGCATACATATTCGCATAGAAACGGTGTTGCAAGCGAGCGCGTAATTTTCACACGAGAAGTTCGTACAACATGCTTGTCTGAGATCTGTGTACTTGCTTCTATACTTAACATTAGTGTGGAGTGATATTGATTTCCATTGAAGCGTTTTTTTTATAGACCATTGTATATCTGTACACTCACGAGGCCCCCTGCAATGGCGATGGCTTTGTGCATGCTATTGTACACGGCAACTGCCCCATAATGGATTATCGTCACAATCGCTAGCACAATGCTTTTGTCGTGGAAGCGCACCTCTGTCAGTGTTCAATGATAACATGCTCAGAATTCTCTGTAAAACAAACGCAACTAACTCTTGTTATTCTGTTTATAGAGTCACTCTCTCCATGATGATTCGGCTATCAAATGCAAACAAATCAGATTTTTGGAAAAGACTATTTTAGTCATAATAAGAATTTGTTTTGCGATTTAATTGACTCTAAACATGGTAGACATCCTGCGAACTTTTAAATATGCATAGTTTGGACTGTAAATCAGAACGAATAGTGGAAACACGAAATTACACAAAAAGGAGAAACCTCAAAAACTTTTTTTGGGGTGTTTTTTTTTAAATTATGTATCCCCACCATAAACAAGACCCGGGAAGACCGTTCCAGAGGATAAATAAAAAAAGGGAATTTAGATCTGTTTTTTTCTTAACTCGTACATGTGTTGTCTTAAGATTTGATATCTTGCCATAATGATTTCCCAAAACCTAAACTGCTGTTCTTCAATCAAACGTGTCAGCTTTATATTTCCTGTAGGTTTTTTTTTTATAAGTGAAATGTTTTGCAAGGATTAAGAAGTTAATTTTTTTACCAATATGAAAGCAAGTGATATTGCAGAAGTTGGAACAAATCTCATATTGTTTGCTACTGATGCAAGTCTCGGTCTCAGTCACAATCTCGGCCTCGGGATTCTGAAGTCTTGGTCTCGGAGGTGTAGGTCTTGGTCTCGGAAGTGAAAGTCTCAGTCTCAGTCTTGGTCTTAGAAGTAAGGGTCTTGGTCTTGGCCTTGGTCTTAGAGTTGTCAGTTTTTAGGATTTCATGGTTGGTGTTTTTTGTACATTTCATTTTAAAAATGAAATTTTCAAATTGTTCGTATTTTTCATATGATTTCTTTTTTTTATATTCCCGTGCGCCTTTGAATTTTCTTTTTTTCCCCTAACTACAATTTGTTTTTCTATATTCAAAAGGAAATTATTATTTTTTTTTTTTTTTGCAGCAACGGTGGAGATTCCAGAAATCTTAGTGCACCTAGGTAAGAAAAATTGCCAAGTGGCGTATTAAGGAGGATGGGGCATAGTAATTTATGTACTTATTTAATCGAAACTAATCACCACACAAACTGCACATAGAGGTAACCATGTTGCCATTTTGCAATAGGTTGGTTCTGCGTTATGTTTTGCAAACCCGACCCGACCCGAAGTCGGTTTCGAGTTTTGCATTGTCGGGTCGGGTCGGGTCGGTTAAGCCATTTTGGAAAAACCCGAAATAAACCGAAACAAACCGAAATAAATCGAAGCAGAAGGGAAATTCAAATTGTGCACTTGTTAGTGCAGAGTCACTGCGCGCGTGCGACTAAAAATGGTTTACGGTCTGTCTCGATTGGTCTATAACATATAGGATCACCAGTAGGTCATGTTGTGAGTGCCGCATGGCATGATTCACTGAATGAAAGCCGACATTCTTTTACGTGAAACGGGGTAGTTTAGGCGGCATAAGTGGACACATTTGCCGAAGCCAGGTATTCGGGATCTTTTTCGAGTCAGTTCGGTTTCAGGTCGATTCGGGTCGGTTTTCTTTGAATTGTTGTTGGGTCGGGTCGAGTTGGGTCGCTCTTAGGTAGTCCAATTCGGTTTCGGTTCAGATTCGGTTTATGCACATCACTAGTTCCGCGCTTACATTATTGTTGTGATTATATATACAGTGGCCAGGAATCAGACAGAGACTAATTTACATGCCTGTGGACTGGTTCCTTCTCCCACCGTATGGGTCCGAAGGACAGTGGAGGGACCAGGAACATGTCTAGTCCTGCATATAATTTGCGTACATTAGGATGAAAGCTTATGTAAGTGTCTTGTGGACTAAAGTCACCCATGCTAAGAAAAGGGTTCAATTATTTTGATATACAGATCGCTGCAGATTGCCACTACAGACTGGCAAATGCCGAGGCATGTTCCCCAAATATGGCTACAACTTCCGCACCAGTGCATGCGAGGAGTTCATCTACGGCGGTTGCGAAGGCAACGACAACAGGTTTGAAACCCTCGAGGCTTGCGAGGAGGCTTGCATAGAGCAACCCCAAACAGGCGTCGATCCCGCGATCGGACCGGGCGAACCACTGGAGCCAATCGTCGACACCTCTGAACCAGGTACAGTTCGAAAATCCCACTGTTGTGATTAAAGTCCTACATGTGCGCATGAAAGTCCACGACTGCAACATGCAGTGTGGCGTTGTGTCTTACCACTTGACCACTGAGTTTGCCAGGGTCGGCCGGCCGGTTTGAATCAGTAAGACATCTCTCCTGACGATGACTAAAGCAGGCTAGTCAAAACGTTGAGACTAAAAACAAGTTCTTTTAGAACTAAGCAGGACTGTTCTTATCAGAACTAAAACTACTTGGCGAAAGTTGATACTAAGGCAGGACAGGTTGTTATCAGAACTAAATATGATACTGAGCAACAGTAGTTATTATCACATGGTGTTACCGCAAACCAAAACGATCCGTCTGCACTAGTAGGAGGTTGTGGGTTCGAGTCCCACCCGAGTAAGCTTGTTCATTGTTTTTCTTGCAAGTCTTAGCACAACACTGAGTATACTGCATTTATAAAAATCACAATCAGTGAAGGGGCAAAACCCAAGATTAAATTTACATCTTCCCAATGAGAAATTCCATCATATAAATAGTGTTCTGAAGAATTGATAGTTTCATTGATTACTTTTGAATGTTTCAGATATCTGCGGACTGCCTTTGGAAACTGGTCCGTGTCGCGCCAGCTACCCCAAGTTTGGCTACGTGCCAGAATCCAAGACCTGCCAGCAGTTCGTATACGGCGGCTGCCCTGGTAACGCAAACAACTTTGACACCATGGAAGAGTGCATGCAGCGATGCGGGGAACCAGTTCCCGTGGTGATTACAGAGGAAGTGCCTTTACCAGGTAATACGATTTGTAAATGTGGTGGTGTTTCTTTAAAGCCGGAGTCCATCATTTGCAGCTATCCAAAAAAGTAACTGGCGTAATTATTGTTGAAAAACATACTGGTTGAAAGATAGTAAGGGGACTAAACTCCCTTTGAAATTATTCTTTCTGGCATGCTCTCATTTTGGAGAAATCAACAAAACAAGGCATTTCCAACTGTGCGTCTTAAGAAGCACCGTAGGAAAATTTAAATTAGTAGTTTGTTTTGTTATTTGGCGCAGCGTGCGCAAGCATTGGCACGACACACAGGCGCGTGCAGTTGCTATAATTCGTCGGATCAGTGCACGACATCACGTAAAGCTGCAATTCAAAACAATTCAAGACATGATTTAGCAACTTTTGATTAGAAAATGAGATCCTAGAATGCTGTTTTTCTCGGAATATACAGCTGAAGCTGAGCTGAAACTTCATTAGGTTAGTTGTTCAGAATCCTTCATTAGATTTTGAACACTTTTGTTGCTTCAAACGAACAAAATGCACAAATTACAAATGATGGACTATATCTTTAAGAGAACACTTGTGGTGGTAATGCTGAAATGTTAAAAGTGCAGGCCTGCAGCCCCACCTACACAGAAGTGCGGTAACTGAAAGCGGTAATGTAATGAAGCATATAAAGGCGTTTGAGCATTGACACATATTCTAAATATTGATTAAGTTAAGACTCAATTTGGCCAGTGCCACACACGATCACAGACAGGTGGGGTTTAACCCATTGAGTGATTTGACACGGAATGGCCCAGATATCATTCGTACTACTTCTAGATATCATCAAAACTGCCTCAAGATCTTAACAGTGATTTTTTGACGATCTTGGAGGATTTTTACGTGGTGGCAATTAGGATGCATCCTACCAAAACAGGCCTAGGCAGTCTCAATTGGTTACTATTGGGATAAATGCAAATGATCCTGTTTGCCTTTAAAGGGAAAATACATCATTTGCAAACATCAAAAAATAAAACTACCAAATCATTTTGAAATACCTTGCTGGACTGTTAGTGAATGACAGTGTAAAGCATCCTGTAAAATCATGGCACCTGGTATACTGTCATTTTCAAGAAAAGTGGTATTTTTGTATCAATTTCCAAAGCTGATCGGCCGACCAGCGTTGGAAAAAACTGGCTTTTTTTCAAATACTGGCCCCAGTTGACCATCGCACTTGTTTGCAATCGATTACACACCTATGAACGGGTACAAGCCAGCTAGACTGGTTCCCTGACCTTACAATTCCCCAATGTATGTAAACTGCTCTGTTTCTTCTTAAATGTAGTCAGGGAACCAGACTACAGGAAAATGATTGTTTTTCTTGGTTTTTATAGCATTTTCGAACCCAAAACCTCAAAAAGGTTAGTGTAACTATATTTGCTATATATTTCCAACCCCCCAATTCCATTCATTTCTGAAAATTACAGCAAAAGCAAATGATGTATATTCCCTTTAAACATGTCCATTCTATCTTCTCTGTGCCCAGAGCTCTGCAAGTTGCCACTAGTGTCTGGTCTGTGTGAGGCCTTAAGCTTCCCATACGGCTACAATCTAGAATCGGGAGAGTGCGAGAAGTTTCGATACGGGGGCTGCGGTGGCAACGTCAACCGATTCGCGACAGTCGCAGAGTGCACTGACACCTGCGGATCCGTCCCGCGTGGCGTCCCTCCAACCAGTCCCAAGAAATACACAGGTAAGGCTCAGAGAACCCTTTAGAACCAAAAGTGTAATGGATGAGGTGGTGCTGAGCAGAACCAGAAGAGGAATGCAAACAGGGCCCTGTGCTAACAGCCGTGCAACAACACCATCACCAACTGTTCCCCAAAGGCTACCATTTTAAACTCTATGTTCTTGTCGTTCTATCAGACGCGAAGATGGGCCAGTGCTTGCCATACATCGATGACAATGGCCCCTGTGAGCGAGAATGCCTCGGTGATGATGCTGAGTGCCCTGGTAATCTGATCTGCTGCTTCAATGGCTGCGGCTACCAGTGTACGCCGTTCACCCTTGAGAACCCACCAGGTATTGAAAATTTGAACCTTTTTGATCGGTAACAGTCCAATTGGTGAAGCACCATCATAGTACCACTAAATTGTCCCTTAGAGGGCTCAAAGGAAAGAACGCACTGTTTTTTGGGGAAAAGTTGACATCGCTCGATCCTGTTACATAGCGATCACGCACTGTTCTAAAGCATCGCACCTTGTCCATGTTTTCACAACCAAATCTTGCAATTCCCCCTGCTGGTCACGACATGGGATGCCACTATCATTCTAAAATGTCTTCAGTCCGTTGACTCGCATTGATCTCACCCGCTGTATGTCCGCCATCTTCAAAGCACGGTAGCCAGAAACACATCGCTTAGTTACCAATGTTGACCCGCAAGCCAGAAATAGATCTTTTTAAGGATAAAAGTTGGGGGAGCATTGTATTGTATGTTTTCGTGGTTTACTGGAGCACAAACTCTCTTTTTTTTAAAAACCTAACATTTTGAATCTTAAATTTAGAGAAGTTTTTTTTTTCAGAATTTTTTTTAGTTTTAATTTTGTTTTCTTCCGGATGTTTTATAAAATTTTAGAGCCTAAGGCAGGTATGTGCGAACCGCAACTCCCAGGAGCAGCACTCAACTGCAACAACGATGAGATAGTGAACGAGTGTTACTATGACTACAACTGCGAAGGGGACATGAAGTGTTGTCAAGATGGCTGCAACTCGGTGTGCACGCCGCCATTTGAAGTGGATCCTGTCCTGCCGCCAAGTGAGTCTAACGGTCCCCATTGTTTACTGGTCCCAGTGGGCCAGCCTAATGTACCCTGTTTCCTTATCTGATGGACTGACTGGCTCACTCACAGACTTACTGTTAATTGTGAATTTGCCCGGTTGCGAATTTTTTTTCTTCCAAACCACATCCACATATGGGTGTACGCTATGGCGTTTTGGACTTAACTTTTATAAAAACATGAGAAGAAAATATAAAATTAGAAAAAAAAGTGAATTTGAACGATATGAAATTCGGACTTTATTTCCCTTTTAAAAAAAATCCTCCAAAGCCTCAGGTTAGGAAAAGAAAAAATTCGGATGCAAAACCGAGATTCGAACCCGCAACCTCGCGGAGCAAAATCCTAACCTCTATCGACTGAGCTGTCGCACTGCTCGACAAATCGTGGCGAAACAAATAATTATATACCTGCGTGCGTATCATAAAAGTATCGTAGAGGGCGCTAAACAACCATATATGCAGATGTCGTTTGGGAGAAAAAAATTTGCTGCCCGGTTACCTATTTCACTGACTGACTGTCACTTGTGACGAATAGCATTGTTGTAGTCGGGACCGGATAGTCCGAGACCGAGACCAAGACCTTCAAGAGAGACCGAGACCGAGATGGTCCGAAACCGCAGATAGTACATAGAATAATTGTAAATAATAATTATAAATTAACAAATAAAAAGTTCATTACATGTCTAGACAATTATTTGAACTTGTATCCTTTCTGTTTTTGCTGGAACTGAAGCGTCGGCCTACTGTCCCTGTTGTCCTCTGACCAACTGACGGACTGACGGACTGACGGACTGACTGACCGAGTCGCTCAGTATAAATAATGTTGTAAACTGGTACAGCTTGACTACACAAACAGAGTCTTGTTTCTTTAACCCCTTAAGGACGGGAAGCGGTCATGGCCGCGGCCGCTAATCCTCATTGGAATGCAGTTGCCAGCTGTGGTATACCGTGGCACACGGCTAGTGGGTAGTTCCACAGCTGCTGCTTTTGTGCAGTCCCGCTACCACACAAAGGCTATGCAGTCATGTGGGCTACTTGCTCTATGTGTGGAGGAATGTCCCCATTACACCCCGTCCTTAAGGGTTAATAGTGCTCTTCATTGATTGGCTATACCCAGACCCTACTTGTACATTTAATCCTTGTTCATACATTGTATCCAGATCGACCCAAGGCAGGCCTGTGTCCCAGCGTGGACATGACAGGAATGGCTGGTGCTTGTACTGACGAGTGCTTTGATGACTACGCCTGCCCTGATGATCAGAAATGTTGCAGTAACGGCTGCGGACGTAGATGTATGCCTGCTTACGACCCCAATGGTAGGTGTCTCAACTTTTGGTCTAGGAGTCTGGAAGGTAAATATATAGAATTGTCACAAGCCATCGCAGGTCATCACAGATTGGTACCGGTCTTCACAAGTCATCACAAGTTAATGACAAGTCTATTACTGGTTGATAACAAGTCAATGACAAGTTGGCGACAAGTCGCCGACAAGTCGGCGACAAGTCGGCGACAAGTTGGCAGCAAGTCGGTCACAGGTCAGTCACAGGTCGGTCACAAGTCGGTCACAAGTCGATCGCAAGTCGATCACAAGTCATTAACTAGCATAAGTCGTCATAATTCAATCACAAGTCAAAATCAGGTCAACAAGTCAAAGACAAGTCATTTCAACAGCCTTCTCGCCAGCTCCGGACATTTTTTTGGGGGCCACAGTACAAACTAGGAAGAACACCACAAGAAAAAACACTCTTATATATCACGTTTGTGCTTATGGTTTTTGCCGAGGGGGGGCCAGTTGCTCGTCGGGGGGGGGGGGGGGGGGAATGGTGGCCCCCCCTCCCTTGGCGATTGGCCTGCATTACAAGACATCACAAGTCGATCACAAGTCAAACACAATTCATCATTAATCATAACAAGTCATCACAAGGCATCACAAGGCAATCAAAAGTCATTCAGTCTCAAGTGAAGTGACAAGCTATTCAAATGATCTGTGACAAAGACATTCCATTTTTGTTGTCCATCCCCTGTTACTCGGATCTTTCTTATGAGTTGGATCTTTTTTATGATTAAACCAGAATCATCTTTGTGTGAGCAAATTGTTTCAGAATCCCACCCAACTCTCTCTGTGTAATAGTTGAAGGGGGGGGTACTTGTGCCTTGAGTCCATACTGACTTGTTAGATTTGTTTGTCTCTGCAGTGCATACTGGGTATGGTGAATGCCTGCCCATGATGGAAACTGGAATCTGCCCTGAAGAATGCACGGTGGACTCCGACTGCGAAAGCGGCAACATCTGTTGTTACACTGGCTGTGGTCGCGCCTGTATATATCCCGTCCTCGTGGAACCTCTACGTAAGTCACGTAGTTTCCTTAGACAATCCAGGCACGTGATCACTGTACACGCACGTGGCCCCCTTCAATGGAGAAACCATTGTGCATGCTATTGTACAAAGCAACTGCCCCGTGACTCATTATCTGAACAATAGCTAGCACAATGCTTTCACCATTGAAGGGGGCCTTTGTGATAGAATTGACGGCGTGTCTGGATCAGTCTATACACAATAGGCACCTTTTTTTTTATTTCAAAATGAGAATGAATTAAAAAATTAACTGTTAAAGGGAATATACATCATTGGCTTTTGCTGTAATTTTCAGAAATGAAATATTTGAGGGGTTAGTATAATAGATCAAATATTGTTACACTCACATGTTTGAAGTTTTGTGTTCGAAAATGCTGGAAAAACCAAGAAAAACAAAACTGTTCAAGTAGTCTGGTTCCCTGACTCCACTAAATATAAAATGGATCAATTTACAGATGCCGGAAAATTGTAAGGTAAGGGTACCAGTCTAGCTGGCCTGCACCCGTTCATGAACATGTAACCAATAGCAAACAAAATTTGGACTGAATTAATAGTAAATTTGGAGCAGTAGTTGAAAAATAGTTAGGTTTTTCCAACGGTGGTCGGCCGACCACCGCTGGAAATTTTTACAAAAATACCATTTTCTTGAAAATGACTTCACACCAGGTGCCATAATTTTACAGGATGCTTTAGACTGTCATTTACCAACATCCTATTAAGGTATTTCGCAAAAACTTGGTAGTTTTATTTTTCGATGTTTGCAAATGTTGTATATTCCCTTTAATTGTCAGCGCATTGTTTGAAATCATTTTTTTTTATAGGTTTTTTTTTACCACTTGGTTATATTATTATCATTTCCTAATGTCCATGAGACAGGAGTGGAAACAATTCCCAAAACATTTCCAATTTTCATTACCCGGACAGCGGCTAGGCTTGGCCAGTGCCCGGTATTACCCGAGATAGCCGTGGGACCCTGCGCCAACTTCTGCGAGTACGACTATGGCTGCGCTGAGGGGGAGAAGTGTTGTAGCAACGGCTGTGGCTTTGAGTGCATGGCGGCCACAGATGCTGGGCCAGTACTACCCCTGGTACCAAACCCATGTAAGAATAGCCTTTTATAAACAAAAAATTCAAGAATAGCCATATCAGCCTGGCAGTGTTGTAGTACTCGTACTTTGTACTCACACTTGAGTACTTTTTTGGAATACTCGTACTCGCACTTGTACTCAACATACGGGGACTTGAATTCACAATACTCTTACTTGGGTACCTGTACTTGGGTACCTGTACTTGGGTACCTGTACTCATTCTCAAGGGTCAAAGTACTCGGACGCAAGTGGTACCCGACTGCTTGGTACTCGACAGTATTTTGCACCCTGATAAAATTACTCGACTACAACACTGCAGACTGGTATCCAGAGTTACATGAAACCAAATTAGGAGCAGCAGGTCAACTTAGATGCATTTTGTTTCCGACAAACTTTATTTATTAAATTGGTTGGTTTTTATTTCTATGAAATTTTCTCACCATAATTCTTAAAGACACATGAAATGGTAGCTACAACAAGACAGATCATCATGAAATTAAAGAAAAAAGCGTGACTCAAAGTTTGTGCCTCATAATGTGAAACAAATGAATGTTAACTTGTTTTGATTGTACTGATGATAATGAAGGTATTCTCCCCCTTTTAACTTGATGTTGTGCCGTGCTGCAAACTAATGCCTTTCTGCATGTATAGATGAACCCAAAGCCGGCGAATGCCCATCTCCGGAAGCAGGCATCATTGCGATATGCATAGACCAGTGCGACAATGACCAGAGCTGCCTTGGAAGTCAGAAGTGCTGCTCCAATGGCTGCGGGTTGCAGTGCATGGAGGCGCTGATTCGTACGTTGCTTCGTTGCTGAACTTCCGTCAACTAAACTTGTCAACATTTGTCATATTGTATCCCACACATTTGAATCATGGATTTTGGGGCTCAGCCAAGCTTTGTATCATGACTTACTCCCTCTGTGTTGTTGGTGTTGTTAATACCACTAAAAAAATCACCAGTCTGTGTTCTGTGTGTGACAAAAGAGTCAACAAATCATTTGAAATCACTTGCTCCCTCTGTATTCGTGTCAGTCATTCCATTCAGAAGTTGAAGATCCTGTTTTGTGTTTGATAAACAGTCAGCAGATCCTGTGTTACCACTTACTCCCTTTGAGTTGCCTGTGTTACCGACTCCATTGAGAAGTTTAAGATTCTGTGTTCTGTATTTCATAAGCAGTCAGCAGATCCTGTGTTGTCACCTACTCCCCCTGTGTTACCTGGGTTACTGATTCAAACGATAACTCAGTGATCATGTGTTCTGTGGTTGATAAACAGGCAGCAGATCCCGTGTCATCTCTTACTCCCTCTGTGTTGTTCATGTTTGATGCTGTGTAATCGAGTTCTTTCGTTTGCGTTGCTGTGTTTCAACAATTAACAGATCTTATCCAGTGTCACCAAGGGCAGCACTGTCATTATTAATTTTATTATCTAAACATCATTTTCTTCTAACTGTTCATCACTTGTTTAACCAATATTTAACTAGAGGTCTTTACATGCTTAGATTTTTTGAAACTCGCACCGAAACCTTCACAGATTCTACTGTGCTTTTGCAAATAACCACCAGACCTCAATTTCATGGATCTGCTAAGCACAGAAAATATTTTCCTAGCAAAAACAGGTAACCAGCCAAAATGTCAAAAGATTTACATTGTTTGTGACTGGTGTCCATCTGAATATAGCTTAGCACATAAATTTGCTAAGCAATATATTTTCCGCTTAGCAGCTTCATGAAAATGAGCCTAGCAGCTGAACTAATGTCGCATCTGAATAACATGGCTACGACTTACAATCACACACGCGCTTATGGGAAGCGGCTACGGCCACTTCCCATAGACGCGTGCATTACTTCTTGCCGTAGCCAAGTTGTTTGAACAAAGCTTAATTCTCTATGCAGCTCCTGCCAAGCCTGGCCAATGCCCAGTCCCCGAGCCTAGCCCGGCCTGTCTCTCCTTAGCCATAGTCACTGAATGCAGGGAGGACGGTGACTGTGAGGGGCCCCAGAAGTGCTGCGATATGGCCTGCGATAGCCGCTTGTGCACAATGCCCGTAACCAGTATGTGTTAAAGTTGTTAGCGGTCTTCTTGTGATTCTAAATCAAAAACTTGCAAATAACTCAGATGGGCTATTCCAGCGTTATTAATTCGGGCGATTCACAATGCAGTGCACCACCAAGAGTTTGCCATGGAGAGTCCATTTTTCAGGTTTACGGTCGACAAAACATGGTCCATTTGAATGAGTGTCAGTAGACAACTTGAGCTAATATGTTATAGATTGGAGCATAGCGTTCTGCCGCCTTACAAAAAAAACACCATATTGATAAGAATGAGAAAAGGGCAAACAGATCCTCGAATCATATGCTTACGAAACTACTGACCAGAAAAAAAACTAACAATTTCAAATGTCCCGCGCTGCGAATTTGTCGACCATCTCCCACAATGCACTGGGAAAAATGAACTCTCCGTGGCAAACTCTTGGTGGCGCACTGCATTGTGAATCGCCCGAATTAAGGAAGTTTAATGTCTGTGACGGAACCAGTTAACCATGATATCTAGTTAATGATTCAGAGAAATGATCCAAAACTCCTAGTCTGTAATCTCCTTGACTACTACTAGATGATGGATGTATATTATTTCAAAAAGAATATTTTCAATGTAATCCCTGAACATTACATAACGCTGGAATTACCCAAATAAATATATACTAAAAATATAACTAACATCGCTTTTAAACTTGCGCACTAAACTGTCTTGCCAAGATAATCAAGCTGCCAAGTACACATATGTGCAACATCATACACAAGCAAAGTGCTTGCACAAAATTCCGAAAACTTTGGACAGCAAAATGTTTTTAGTGAATATTCAATGCTCTTACTTATGTGCATCATCTTCCAGATTGCATTGCAGATTGTATAGATCCAGTTATTATTGTCCACCATTGACATGTGTACATTTGTTTTCTGTGGTTATCCTCAAATAAAAAAGTTGCACGTCATGAAGTACTTATGCACAGATTGCTTCCCGAATGGGCTTGAATAATCTCTAAAAACTAAAAGCAAATAATTCTCTTACTTCTCTGTTAATGGGCTCCTTGGGCAATAGCACCCTTCAGTGGTGAAAACATTAAAAAAAACATGAAGACTGATAAACTGAGCTTTGCTTTGTCATTGCACGTCCGGTGGTTTATTTTGCGCTTTTTAAATTTTCTCGCCTCACAGTCACTCCCAAGCCTGGACAGTGCCCTGTTGTTGAGTCTGGTGGCTTTGGTATCTGTGTTCAAGAATGTAACGATGATAGTGGCTGTATGGGTGAACAGAAATGCTGCTCCAATGGATGTGGACGTACTTGCATGGAACCAATCAGTATGCATTTTCCCCACTGTTTTAATCTTGTACTTAATTTAATGTGTCTGGTTTTAAGTATCTTGCTGTCGCGGAGACTTCTGCACTCGCTCGTTGCAATTTACGATTTGGTAATATTATGGCTGCCTGGAGTAACGAAAAACTCATTTCAGTAACTATGATGTTAAAATAATCTTTTACAAGCTTGCCTTGCTTTGCCCTGATTTCCTGCTTGTTTACATTCTGGCCACACAGCTCCTCCTGCAGAACCCAAGCCTGGACAGTGCCCTGTTGTTGAGTCTGGTGGCTTTGGTATCTGTGTTCAAGAATGTAACGATGATAGCGGCTGTGTGGGTGATCAGAAATGCTGCTCCAATGGATGCGGACGTACTTGCATGGATCCAATCAGTATGCATAATTGTAATATATTTCATGATTTACTCGTTATGTCATGCTTTAATTGTCTTGCCACACAGGTCTAGTAACCACAAGCACAGATCTTACAAGTTTTTAAATTGGTATGATCACCACAAGTAATTCAAACTTCATTTTTCAAAAAAGTATATCTGCAATCTTTAACAAGCTTCCTTATTTCTTTGCCTCTATTGCCTTCAAACTTGAAGTAAAGTCTTCGCAAGATAATCACATGATAACTCCAAGTCAAGGATGAGCCAATCCCAAGTCAATCTTGAGTCAATCTTGAGTCAATCTCAAGACAGCCAAAGTCAGTCACAAGTCTAGTCAAGCACAAGACAGTAAACATCCAGTCTCAGTCAAGTACACAGGTATACAAAAGAACTTGCACAAAAGCACTCTTTCGTTATTTGACAAGAATTGTGATTTTCTTGTGACCGAACTTGTGATAGACTTGACTACAGTACTTATTGTCTGCTTGCTTTGCTTTGCTTTATCTTCATTTTTTTATCCTACTTGTTATATTCTGGCTACACAGCTCCTCCTGCAGAACCCAAGCCTGGACAGTGCCCTGTTGTTGAGTCTGGTGGCTTTGGTATCTGTGTTCAAGAATGTAACGATGATAGCAGCTGTGTGGATGATAAGAAATGCTGCTCCAATGGATGTGGACGTACTTGCATGGAGCCAATCAGTATGCATTTTCACCACTGTTTTAATCTTGTACTTAATTTTATGTGTCTGGCTTTAAGTATTTTGCTGTCACGGAGAATTCTGCACTCGCTTGTTGCATTTTACGATTTGGTAATATTATGGCTGCCTGGAGTATCGAACAACTCATTTCAGTAACTATGATGTTAAAATAATATATTACAAGCTTGCCTTGCTTTGCCCTGATTTCCTGCTTGTTACATTCTGGCCACACAGCTCCTCCTGCAGAACCCAAGCCTGGACAGTGCCCTGTTGTTGAGTCTGGTGGCTTTGGTATCTGTGTTCAAGAATGTAACGATGATAGCGGCTGTATGGATGATCAGAAATGCTGCTCCAATGGATGCGGACGTACTTGCATGGAGCCAATCAGTATGCATCAGTATATTCTTTTTAATTATTAATCCGATTTGTCTTGCTTTAATTGTCTTGCCACACAGGTCAAGTTATCTCAAGTTCTGTCATTCAAGGTTTTTGTGTTATCAAATTCAATCTCAGCTGGAACAGTTCTATAATTTGTTGAATGCTTGGGTTCGATTTGCCTGTATTTCCTGCAACTTGCAGTAAAGTCCTCACAGGTCTTCACAAGTCGCGTACAAAATTAGTTCCCTCGGCTTTGCTTTGGGAAGTAGTTCCTCAGCTACCAATACCTGGGGGCTCTAATACGGACCATCCACCCTCAAAACAAGGTTACATTTAAATAGTGTTTTCCAATCTATAAAGGGCCTGCAATATTCCTTGCTGCTAATTCCTGCAAACGTGGAGCAAATTCAATCACAAGTTGATCAAAATCAATAATAGCTCAAACACATGTCGGTCGCAAGTAAGTAACAAGTAAGTCACAAGTCAGTTTCAAGTCGATCACCAATAAATCACAAGTGGATCACAAGTCAGTCACATGCAAGTCATAAGTCAATCACAGACAAGTAATAGGTCACTCACATTAAACCAGTCTCAAGTTGAGTCATTATTAAGGTAGCCTAATGAAATCTGACAAAGAAATTCCTTTTCAATGTTCATCTCCTTGTACTCTGTGATTCTGTATGAGATTTTACTCACGTTTTCATTTGTGATTCACTTGTGATGTACTTGATTGCAACCCATAATTTCCTGCTTGTTATATTCTGGCCACACAGCTCCTCCTCCTGCAGAACCCAAGCCTGGACAGTGCCCTGTTGTTGAGTCTGGTGGCTTTGGTATCTGTGTTCAAGAATGTAACGATGATAGCGGCTGTGTGGGTGATCAGAAATGCTGCTCCAATGGATGCGGACGTACTTGCATGGAGCCAATCAGTATGCATTTTCCCCACTATTTTGCTTTCTTATTAATTTAATATGTCTGGCTTTAAGTATTTTTCTCTACAGGAGAATTCTGCACCCGCTCAATTAATTCCAATTTGGTAATATGGCTGCCTGGAGTATCGAACAACTCATTTCAGTAACTATGATGTTAAAATAATCTATTACAAGCTCGCCTTGCTTTGCCCTGATTTCCTGCTTGTTATATTCTGGCCACACAGCTCCTCCTGCAGAACCCAAGCCTGGACAGTGCCCTGTTGTTGAGTCTGGTGGCTTTGGTATCTGTGTTCAAGAATGTAACGATGATAGTGGCTGTATGGGTGATCAGAAATGCTGCTCCAATGGATGTGGACGTACTTGCATGGAGCCAATCAGTATGCATTTTCCCCACTATTTTGTTTTGTAATTAATTTAATACTTGTGGTTTTCAGTATTTTTCTCTACAGGAAAATTCTGCACCCGCTCAATTAATTCCAATTTGGTAATATGGCTGCCTGGAGTATCAAAAAACTCATTTCAGTAACTATGATGTTAAAATAATCTTTTACGATCTTGCCTTGCCTTTGCCCTGATTTCCTGCTTGTTATATTCTGGCCACACAGTTCCTCCTGCAGAACCCAAGCCTGGACAGTGCCCTGTTGTTGAGTCTGGTGGCTTTGGTATCTGTGTTCAAGAATGTAACGATGATAGCGGCTGTGTGGGTGAACAGAAATGCTGCTCCAATGGATGTGGACGTACTTGCATGGATCCAATCAGTAAGCTTCAGCATATTATGTTTATAATTAAGTTGGCATGTCATGTTTTAATTATTATTACCATAAGAAGTTCAAAACTCACTTTTTAGTAAAAAAAATATATTTCAGGAATTTATAAAAGCCAGCTTTTTGGCTTTGCTTCTTTTTCCTGCAGTCATCACAATCAATTTCAGCTTCTCATCTGCGAGTTTGGTTAATTAGCAAACTTCACATAAATAAAGGGCAAAACCCAGTAGTAAATTGTTATCATGGAATTTTTATTTGCTGCAGCCACCTGCGAAGGCGGTCACGGTGTGGGCGAAATGTGGGAGGACACCTGTATGACCTGCGAGTGTGACACCTCTCTAACCCCCGTCTGTATTGCCCATGAGTGTGGCGTGGCCCCGCCCCTCCCCACCCGATGCCGCTGGGCTAAGCGAACCCCCGACGAGTGCTGCCCGTCCAAAATGGTCTGCGAAGAAAGTAAGGAAGCACACACTTTGCTTTTCGAAGATGTAGACTCTCAAGGAAGGTTCTTTACATAAACCACAAAGGGAAACTGACTAGGTGTATTATGATAATTATTATTTTTAAAGTTGTACAAAAAAAATTGACCAGAACAAATAGAAACTACAACTTTTAAATACACCACAATTGGAAAATTTGTTTCCAAAAGATGAACATTTGTAATTAAAAGCCATATCCTCTCTGGGTGATGCCGTTTGCTATTTCCCAGGTTTGCAGCATTGCTAATGTTGTTTGCATCATGACTTTGGGTGTGATCCCTGGCTACATGGCATATACAGGTTTATGGCTTCTGACTAGCACCCCTTGAAAGAAGACATTGACGAATTGGGGATCTGCCAATGTAGGGCTCGCTTGCTCAGTTGGTAGAGTACCAGAATGGCAATCCCGAGGTCGCAGGTTCAAACCCCGCTCCAGTCCATTTCTTCATTCATCCATTCTATGAAGAAGACAAAGATCTCAAATCTCGGCGTCTTTAAAGGGCCCATGAAGTGAATATTTCTGAGGAACTTATTTTTTAATCTTTAGTTTTTGCGAGTTGCTCCATAAAGTGTGCCATTTTTCCAGGTTACACTTCTTTCTAATCCTCTTAAGTGTAGGAAAACTTATCGACATCCCTTTTTGGTGAATTTTACAATTTTCCATGCTTTTCAAGACAACGGAGGGGTTGTTGCGGTGATGTCATTTCAGTAAGACACTGTTCATATTTGTTTTTCTATTGAAATGGTGAACCCAAAAATTTGCTCATTGAAAACATATGTGAGACAACTTTGCTCATTGGCTTGCTGCCATGTACTGACACAAACAGCGAATCACTAAAGAAAAGAAAGTTTACGACAGCAAAATATCCAAAATTCTGGCAACTTTTTGTGCATAAACCAGTTGCAACATTGAGGTTTCTGCCTGATATGACATCACACTTTTGCTCATGAATATGGAAATTTGCATTTGCATAAAAGCCAACAAGGCACCAAAGTACCCTTGAAATGGCAAAACGAAAATTGGGAAAAAAAGGTTGAATGGGACATAAAGTTACATTTCAGGAATTGCATTAAAAAAATTACATTTCATGGGCCCTTTAAAATAATCACGTTAACTAATTTTGAGTACTTTTGAGGATATTGAGAACTTGGTCTCTGTTCTTTCTTCCAGCAATATATGACTGTCCGTTTGGGGCATCGGTGGCGTCGTCCTGCCCAGACGACCTCTGTGACACGACCTGTGAAGGTCACCCTGATGCCTACTGTCTCATCAGCAGATGTGGGGGCTGCTCTGCCAAATTCTTTGACCGAAACAACCAAACGGTGCAGTGTGAAGGCGGCACACTGCGTAAGTGATTGATCAAATGTATAAATCAAGTTTGTTTGTTTGTTTGAAGTTTGTTGTTTGTTTGTTTTTCATGCATTTCTTTTCCCAATAATAACACCACCCAAACCCCGAAGAAGAATGTTTGAAACCCAACCTGTTGAAGTTTCAGCTCAGTAGATATTACACTTTTCGAGAAAACAGTGAAAAGCCATGCATAACCTTAATAAACACATTCTGGGCAGTTGTCATGTGACCTATATGAGAAAAACCACCAGTTTATTCCACGCGCCCGTTGTACATGCAGCTGGTGATGTTTAAAACCGACAGGGGTGAGACGGCAGGGTTTTAAATTCTCAAGTAAAATTTTGGCGTAAAAACGATGATGAAGAGGTCAAAATGCAATATGAAAAATAAAGATGATGATCATCGGTACACTATGTGAAAGGCTGGTAAATGTTTATTCGGGAAATATATTTTTGTAGGAATACACTCTGCCCTCACAAACCCCCTTATGATAGACGACTATATTAATATAGAAACCCCCCACCCCACCCTCCTGACCCCTGGACAATTCACTTATGAGTTTCCCACTGCATTTGAAAACTGATTTCAGGGGTGGAACCCCAGTGCCCCACTGATGTCCCCCAGGTGACATGCTTTGCGTCGCCATGTGAGGTCGAGACATGCGAGCATCACAAGTTCCCTGATGCAGTGTGCCACGTTGACTACTGCCAGCCCTGCACTGCCGTCTTTCACTGCCCTTGCAACTTGCTGCTGGATTGCCCAGACAAAGGTAAGAAGTTTGGCAACGGAATCAAGCCAAGTTGTTCCAAATTCTTCAGTGGATTTGGTATGGCCTGGATCATCAGATCCTTGCCAATCTGATGATGTCAATGAGCTAGCAGTGCCAAGCTGTAATAAATGCTGGGAGAGCTTTTACTCGGCATTAGCTTTTCGTCGCTTTTTTTGCGTTCTATGGGTGCCGCCATCTTGGATTTTACACGGACAAAACTAGTGACGTCAAATTAATCGACATTCTGGTCTCATGAATGTTTTCATGAAACATGAATTGTTTTAATAAAATAAAACCACCCCAGACGCAAATGTGAGTTTCCTTGAAATATTTTATTGGTTTACCTGACCAAAAAAAAAGAGAAAATCAATTTGTTAATAAATTGTAAAGTTGGTTACGGTACCTGATTCCGTAATCTGGAACCAGTTCCTGACATCAACAGTCGGTTTCTAGGTCAAATGACCTTGGAGGGAGTCGGTCCTCATCATCTTTCATCTTCTGATACTTGTGACCTTATTTTTTATATATCGTGTAATTTGCAATGTGATTGACTTGTGATGCTGCTTGTGATGTAATTGATTACAACCCTGATTTCCTGCTATGATGTTAAAATAATCTTTTACAATTCTTTAAATAAACTCATCTGGATTGTTGGTAAAACATGAGTTTAGAGATTCGTTTTTTAAACACTCTAGAGATGCGTTCCGAGAGTCCTTGTACGTAGGGAATGACAACCATCCCTCTCGTACAATCAGTTTCAGTTGTAGTACTTAATGGTAGTTTTCGTGGTGACTTTCTTGACACTGATTTCGTCTTTGACTTTATCTATTGACCATTGGGGATATCCACATAAGACAAAAGAATCGTGAATGTGTTGCTCCACTTGTGGTCTGTCACTTTTTTCTGTAACCAAGGAATCACATCTATCCAAGAGGGTTCTTTTACGATCTTGCCTTGCTTTGCCCTGATTTCCTGCATGTTATATTCTGGCCACACAGCTCCTCCTGCAGAACCCAAGCCTGGACAGTGCCCTGTTGTTGAGTCTGGTGGCTTTGGTATCTGTGTTCAAGAATGTAACGATGATAGCGGCTGTATGGGTGAACAGAAATGCTGCTCCAATGGATGTGGACGTACTTGCATGGAACCCATCATTACGCATGGTATCAAAGCTTTCATGTCGTAGTTAAATTTAATAATTTCTCCATTTTTGTTTTGTCTTGCTTCATTGATCTTGCCACACAGGTTGCCTTTTGAGCAAAGAAATCACAATTTAGTCAAAGACATAAACTTCTGCTTCGAGTGTTTGGAGAATAACTACACGATTTCCTTAGTTATCTTTAATCAAATGAGATTCACCACATGATGACATTTACTGTTTGAGGTGTTGTATCGAACACAGTCGAGTAGCCTTGCTGGGGAAAAAATGTCACACTCTGATAGCATGAGATAGTTGGTCTTGCTTATTCACCGTTTGGATATTAACCCAATTAGCACCTGTACTACATTGTATTACATTGTATTACATTGTATTACATTGTATTACATTGTATTACATTGTATTACATTGTGTTTATTCACTGACGAATCAGTAAAACCATGGAGTGCTTGGGCTTTTACCAGGCATTGCAGTGACTAATGACGTAATGTCAGGTTTTTGTCCGATGCCTTTTAATGAAGTTTTGTATAGCCACAGAGCAACCATATCACATTCTATGAATACAAAACTTTTGATAGCTTCTTATCTTCACCTTCCGACAAATTAAAAAATATGTGTACTTGCAATTTGGATTCAAATTTTTAACCCCTTCTCAATGATGATTTGACCAATCACTGCACAACAGAATGCCATCATAATTCAACATGCATACATCTATGCATGGCGCGCGGCTGGAACATGCAGTGCAACATTTGGGAGACATACATGGGCAAGTTTGCGCAAGAACTATTGTTGACCATTGGTTAATCATAGTTTGACTAAAGTTAGCCCGAACTCTGTCTAGTCGATGGTGGTTGACTACACTAGTCGACTATTTGGAACCGACCTACTGGGGCTGGTTGCATCGCTGGTAACCAATAGCCGCGCGCATTTAAAATGAGCAGCAGGGAGCCAGGATCCAGAAGTTTTGGTATGACATTTTGACCAGAGTTTGACTAGAGACTTTCGCATCAGTGCGCAGGCGTAAGGTACGTCACAAATCAACCACTAGTCGACTAATGGTCCTTGCCTGAACTTGGCCCATGTTGTGCCAGTAGGCGGAGCTAATGACCAAATCCAAAATTGTCCATTGCAATTTGGGTGATTCGATTTTATAACTGGTTGTGTTTTTGTTTCTTTTGTGTTTCCATTCATGCAGATAAACCCAAGGCAGGCATGTGTCCAAGACTCACCCTGGAGACGTTTGGTGTTTGCATAGAGAGCTGTACGGATGACTTCTCCTGCCCAGACGACCAGAAATGTTGCCGCAATGGCTGCGGTCGCAGCTGCCTGCCTGCGTATGACCCAAGTGGTTAGCAGTGGTTTTTGTCATTTTCCTTCGACAAACCCCCAAATGCTTTATACTTTGCCTTGCAAAAATGTGCGCTTTGTTTTACTGCATGGACATTACTATCTAAAATCTATTTCCATGTTAGACCGGGGTAGCCAAAAATAGCTGGTAATAAAAAAATTACCTGTTTGTCATAATTCTGTTGCTGCTATGGTATATATAGATAGTATATATAGATATATTTAAGTGAAATATCATGCATGTAACTTTCATTCAAAAGCCGAACCTTTTTTTTTACAAAATGAGATGAAGTTGGCATTGGATTCGGTCCAAAATTTGAAATATATGTCAACTCAAGACAAGCTTTGTTGTCAGAAACAATAAATGTCTCATCTTCATGAATGAAATGTACATTATTTTATTCTTGACATTTTTTTTTTTTCACTTACTTTCTTTGGCGATCCGATCCTAGACTAAACTTACATCTACTGGTCCTCAAAATTGCTTGCTCTCCTTAATAATAGCACAACAAACAGTTACGAGAACCGGACAAAAACCTGACCCTTGTTCTCCTTTTTGAAAACTACATTTTCCTTTCTTTATTGATTTAGTTTTGATTTTCTGTTGCTTTCTTCACACCAGTTCATGCTGTTCCCGGAGAGTGCCCTTACGTGTCTGAGTTCGGCACCTGTGAGGATTCCTGTAGCGTAGACGCTGACTGTGGAGACGAGTTCCTGATCTGTTGCTTCAATGGCTGCGGCCGTAGCTGCGTGCCGTTTATCATCGTTGAACCCCCACGTAAGAACCTGAAAACTGTCGCCCTGTTGTGTCAACTTTTAAACAATCTGTTCTCTTCTGCACTGCCTGTATAACTCTTGAAATATGGGCAGTTTAAAAGTGTTGACATTTACTTTTATGTCGGCAAAAGAACATGAGAAAGATGCTTGGGTGTTTGCTTGCCCATCAGTTGCTTGTCTGCATGACGTCACGGGTGACGCAGGCTTTGGAGCAACTGGACCAAATCATTCTTGGATCCAGAAAAATGAGCCCATGTTTTGACTTGAAACCAGTTCATGTCAGATGAAGAGTATACACGCAAAGGTTTTGTGGTATTCAGAATGGATGAAAGATAAACACGCAACAAGCGAGGCCGGAAATATCTGTCGGCGACCCGCTCGCAGCAAGCGAGGCCGGAAATATCAGGGTGTGCCACCCGCAGATGACGGCCTGAACCGATCTGGCTTTGAGGTTCGTGAAAAAAAAACAATCCCGTGCCTGGGTCCGGTCAGGGTCAAAATAATCACGGCGCGAACTGGTTAAGACTCCCCTTCATAATTGATGACTCTAGTGGGTTTGAACCTCAGTCCTGAAGCATAGCAGTGTTGGATGCAGTCACTTCTTTTGTGCCCTTTTTGGAGATAAGATGTAATCTTGGGTTTTGCGCGTCACCAAAGTATTTTTATCAGTGCTTTATTTTGAGGGCTTGTGGGAAAGAATACACAAATAGCTTGGGTTGGACTTGAACCATCTGTGTCCTTCTTACAAGTGTACACGTTTGTACCACCAAGACTTTTCAGGATCAGTACGGTCAGTTTTCAAAAGTTCGGAAGATCTGAGCAACTTAAATTTTTCAAAATTGTAAGACATGCATCAGTAAACAAGAGGTTGTGGGTTTGAGTCCCAATCCAGTAGAATGCCGATTTTTGTTCTTCACAATCTCTCAGACATCACCGAGTGTGCAGTCCATTATAGCAAGTTTTGTCAATACCAAATATTGAAATTAGTATTCATAACTTTCATCCGCACCCCAACACTGATCTGATTTTCATTTTCAAATTGTTAGCGCCAAGTTTGGGTGAGTGCCCGCCCATCCCAGAGGGCCAGGCTGGACTGTGTGCCAACCTCTGCGATTTGGATTACGACTGCGAAGTGAACGAGCTGTGCTGCAGCAACGGGTGCGGTTACCAGTGCATGCCGTTTGTTATCGTGGAACCAATCGGTCCCGTTGAACCAGTGGAACCGGTTGGCCCAGTGGAACCGGTTGGCCCGGTGGAACCGGTTGGCCCGGTGGAACCGGTTGGCCCGGTGGAACCGGTTGGCCCGGTGGAACCGGTTGGCCCAGTGGAACCGGTTGGCCCAGTGGAACCGGTTGAACCAGTTCAACCAGTGGAACCGCAACCAGAACCCCAAGGTGAGAGCATTACTTTCCCGATAAATAAATTTGACATTTTTGCAATAAATCTATATATATATATATAATAATAAATATCTAGAGACCTAACGCTCTATATCACGCTTAGAATTCTGTAACTTTCTTTCATATAGCCTACCCCAGCATCTCATCGATAAACTCCGTCTTCAAAATGCATCAACTCATCCTGTTTCACTGTCTAGACGCTCTTTGCATATAACAACTGTATTGAAATCACTCCACTTGCTACTTATCAATGACCGCATCACTTTCAAGTTTCTCCTTGTCTTCAAAGCAATCCGTGGACCCTTACCAGATTACATGTCATATCAACTTAGACCCTTCACGGAGCCTTTGTTCAACCTTAACAATACAGCTGATTGTACCCCAGACAATCTTCATTTTACATCACTCAAATCATCTCTTAACACAAATTTGTTCACCTCACATTTTTCAGTTTTTATGTTGTGTAAATCATGAAATTAATTAAGTGATGTAAAATGCACCATGAGCGTTTTGCTGTGCGGATACCAGCCCTATATAAGTTTTCATTATTTTTATTATTATATAGAATGTAGCCTACTGGGTGCATCCATGTTTGTGGACAAACTTATGGAAGAATTGAAGATTTTGAGCGGCCTTTTTTCATTGACTTAGGGTGATTTTTGATTTTCTTACATTTTTTTTGAAAGAATGTTGCAACCTGACGCTGCTTTTTTCTTCATATATCATCTCAGTGAAGGTCAGTCATTGCAAAAATGATGATAAGACAAGAATCTGGGACTGAGAAATATTTCCAATTTTGTTTAAAAATACTTAAGAATGTTCTTGACTCTCCATAGACTTTGTACACAACGGCTAAAGTGGCGTCAGAATGCAACATTTCTTTCAATTTTTCTTGTACAGATATCTTTAAATTCCTTAGATGCCACATAACTGAGGACTGTGTGTCTTATCAATTTTTTTAAATTTTAAAAAACTTTTCTGACTAGCTCCCAAGCCAGGCGTGTGCCCCATGGTGGACCTGGGCACCTTAGGCATCTGCTCCCAAGAATGCGACAGTGACAGCGCCTGTGTAGGGGACCAGAAATGCTGCACCAACGGTTGTGGCAATACGTGTATGCCTGCTTATGATCCTGCCGGTAAGCAACATGAGGACACCAAAAAAAAACATTTATTTTGTGTTGACTTTGGAAATAAATTGCCATTTACATTTCATGATTCAAATTCAAATTAAAAAATTCAATTCAAATTCACCTTTTGAGAGTTAATTATTCGTCTATCATTCGTATATCATGGAAATCATTGCTTTTCACAGTCAACATCCCGACTTGAACTACATGTAAAAAAAAAATTGTTGCCTAGTGAAAAATAAATGCCGCTCGGCAGTGTTGTATGAGTCCATCACAAGTCCTTTCAGAAGTCCAGTCCGAAGTCCTTTCATAAAGCCAGTCACAAGTACCTGGATGAACAATGACAAAGGAATGCTTTTGTTACAGTTCATTTGAGTAGCTAGTGACTTGACTTGAGACTGATGGACTTGTGATGGACTTGTGATGGACTTGTGATGGACTTGTGATGGACTTGTGATGGACTTGTGATGGACTTCTGATGGACTTGTGATAGATATGCAGGGACGTGTAGGGACTCAAATACAATGCTGCCACTCGGATATCAACTTTTCCCCATGATGCATGGTTTTGCATCTGTAGCAGAAGCTTTTTTAATCACAATTTACCCACAAATCATTCAGATTGTCTACCAAATACAAATCTCCCAGTTTTTTGTGCAGTATTATGGCAGGAGAGCCCAATCACTGTGGGCTCCGTGGTGAACAAGAGAGGGCACTTTTTGATCGCTTTCGATAGCGCCGTGGACGGGACAAACGCAATTCTGAGGGAGTTAGGGTTGTGACAAATATATTAATTGCGTTTTTTCTCTCCGCCCTCTACAGTCAACAACTTCAGTGAGTGCCCGCTGGTGACGGATGTTGGAGCCTGCGCCGATGAATGCTTCGCCGACTCAGACTGTGGATCAGAGTTTAAGATCTGCTGCTTCAACGGCTGCGGCCATTCATGCATCTCTCTGGGCGATGGTCCACCTCCACCGGACCCAGTGTCTCTTGGTACGAGTTTTTTGGTTTCAATTTGTGGGGGTTTTTTGGGTTGATATCAAGCAGGTTTTCAAAACTAGGCTTCGACTCCAACCTTAGCTTCAAGACATTTGAGACCCCTACCTGGGCAAATTCAGCTCACCATAGGTCCGTGTTCTGCTTCAGAAATATCAAATCTGATAATCTGAGATGAAATTCATAGTATTTTTCATTTTATTTTTGAAATTAAAGGCTTCTGAATAGAGCGAGCAAGTTGACCTCAAAAACCATGCTTAATTTTACAAGAATACAGCACATCCGGGCACGATGTATAGGATCAATACAATGTGTGTGATGTCCTGTTTTCCACATTTATTTTGTGTCCTGACTGGGCCCATCCAGTCGAGGGCAATAAGTGGGTATTCAAAAGAAACGAAAGCGTCACAATTTACAACATATTGAAAATGTTGGGAATTGACGACTATTACAAAATGAAAATTGTGGAGCTCAACTTCCATTCAATCAATCACACAGATAGCAATTGGGTAAATTCCAACGCGGGAGTCTGTGACTAAACTAGTCAGTGCTTGGTACCAAGACGTTCACATAAAAAGTGAACGTGGACTGGCGAGAGTTACGCACTGTATGAAGCTAGGGGAGGATCCAGAGCTGGAGACCAAGCCAGTGTTTCAAAAACACCTATCCTTTGCAAAGGAGTCTAATGTATAAAGTGAATCGTTCATTGAAGTCAAGTTTCTAACATCAGTGGAAGACTTTGGACCACCACAAAAATACTTCAAATGCGACTGACAAAGTATTGTTTAAGTTCTTAAAGGGAAGATACAACATTTGCAAACATCAAAAAACGAAATGGTCAAATGTTCACGAAATACCTTACTGGATTGTTAGGGAATGACAGTCTAAAGCATCCTGTAAAATCGTGGCTCCTGGTGGGCTGACATTTTCAAGAAAAATTGTATTTTTCCAACGCTGGTCGGCTGACCAGCGTTGGAAAAAAAACTGGCTTTTTTTGGTCCTAATTTTTCATATTTAGATATTCCGCAATTCTTTGCAATTGATTATACACCTGTGAAGAGGTACAAGCCTACCAGACTGATTCTCTGACCTTACAATTCCCCAAAGTCTACAAATTGCTCCGTTTAATCTTAAGTGGGGTCAGAGAACCTGACTACAACAACATAATTGGTTTTCTTGGTTTTTCCAGCATCTACAAGCCCAAAACGTGAAACAAGTCAGTTTAACAATATTTGCTATAACATTCTCATCCTCCAAATCCATTTATTTCTGAAAATTGCAGCAAAAGCAAATGTCGTACATTCCCTTTAAATCCATTATCTTTAATTCATTTTTTATCTAACTAAGAAGCATTCTCCACATTTGTTTTTTTTTTGTCACAGTAGAGCAACTCATAAATTGGTAGGAAATTTGGTACACCACTCCTTTCCAGTAATATTATTCTTCATGGAAGAGTTTTTTGGATATTTATTATTAATTTATTTTTGTTTTGATGATGGTTCATTTTGACAGATTGCCCGTACTGCTTGACTGATCTGACAGACCTGCCTGATGACATCACCATGCTCATTTGTGAAGCTGACCTTTGTAAGTATACCCACTTTTTGAAACGTTACCCATGTCTGATATTGAAATGTTATTCCTGAAGACATAACTAAATTCATAAAGTTTTCAGTTTTCAGGTTGTTTTTCTTCATTTCTTTTGTTTGAGTGTTCTTTGCCTAGTAGCAGTCAATATCAGTGAAATTGGTTTTAAAGGTTTACCGTGAGTGAGGTAGATACTACAAAATTCTTTTCCAGATTTGAATTCTTTTTAATTTTAATATGTGATGTCAAAGGTGCCGACGCCACTTTTCTTAGCCCTGTCGAAAACTGCTTTGCATGTAAAAAATCAATCAAACAAAAAATCAATTTTTCAGCCAGAACCACCCTGAATTTAAAGTGTTATTTTCAAAATACAGTTCAATTACGAGAATTACAGTGAATTTTTATTTAAAAAAACCCAAAGAACTTACATAAATGGTTTTGGAACTTTTGTCTGTAGCATGACGGCATGAATATGCACGAACCGGTGAACCCTTTGACGCATCACAGAACATGTCACATACAATTGATTACATAGGTGTAGTTGGGTCCGTATGTACACACGCGATCCAGAACTAGTAAAAAATATACAGTCAGTTGTTGGAGAATTTTTAATTATTGGAGACTCTTAAACTTATATTGATACAACAGACATTTGATGCAAGCGTTAATACAACTGTAGAGAACACCCCAAAAATATTCAACATCACACATTTTGAGTGACGTGACTGAGGAGGAAAAGTTGTCGTTGATTCGCAGCTGCCGTGATTTTCTACAAATAATTTGGAGTGAAATCCTTCATATATTCTGTTGTTCTTAACGTAAGCAGCCCTCAGCCATTGTCCAATGATTTTTTATGTCTAGCTCATGTGTGGCAGTATGTGAGTTCAAATCGTAAGCGGGAATCATGATGCTTGTGTTCTTGGGCAAGACACTTTACTACAATTACCTCTCTCCGCCAGGGAGTGTGAGCAGGTACCTGTGAGGGTAGAGACCAGATTGCGCAGATCTTAAGCTGCTGCTTCAAAACTTACTGCATGGACTGATGAACAGGGGTAATGATTGGGTAATGATTGGGTACTGAATAATGATTGTTATTTTCTCACTTTTCTTTCAGTGATGGTTGTTAAGTGGAGAGCCAAGGATAACAGGGTTCGGTTCCTGAAGGATGTCATCACAGATTTGGACGCGTCTCAGCCCTCCCGCCCCTTAGACATTGAGGAGTCTTGCCCCTGCTCTAACATAGCTAATGGTAAGTCATCACTCAATTAGAAGCAGCAGTATTTCAGATAACTTCAGGAAAACAAGGATAAGTATTTTGGATAACTTTGTTGGACTTCCAGATAGACTAATCTGGTGAATGCACCAAGAAGTGTTTACTGCGCCATTCTCGTACAGATTGTTCACATGTTCTTAAAGTTGAGTCACATGTGTGTTTTTTTAGTCCTGGTAGATAGGGTGAACATTGAATGTATATGGACATCCAGTGTGTAAGTGTGGTATTGCCCCAGTGATGGCTTCGAATGCCGTTTCACAGATCCAGTTCATATTTGAGTTTTTCTTTTGGCTATTGAATTTCCAGTTGGTGCAAACCTGTTTTTCAATAAATGGTGCATGGTGGATGATGCATACCGTACAGCCAGCCATGTTGATCAAATTTCACAAGACATCTGCATTTAGCTTGCAACTTGACTTGCAATTCAGTTTTAATACTTCACTATCTGATCAAATCTTGTATGAATTGTAAATGTAATTAATGTACTTCTCTGGAGATTGGTAGTACAAAAAAAAAAGAGGAGAAAGTGTTTCGTTGCATGAATCTTAATCATATTCATAGGTAGTAATGGGGCACACCCCTGCCCCAACCTGTTACCCCCCCCCATGCTGGACTTTATCAACACCTACCTTTTGATCCTCTGCTTTAGAAATGTATGTACATGTATTGTAGCTCCTCCCCACCCCCCCCCCACCCCTATCCCCAATTTTCAGAAATGTTTGTCCACTTCTGCTTCTGAAACATAGCAAAATAAATAACTTTGTTGTGGGTGACATTTCCTGCAAGTACTGTCTGTTTCCTTGTCTTCATTGCTGATGTTCAGCTGCCCAAAATAAAAAGGAACTAAAAAAAGGTGAAAAGTTCACATTTAGGGAAGTTGAACGTTTCACACCATCTGGAAAACTAGTCTGGGAATCTTGTCAACCAAAGCTCTAGCACTGATCTTTTCTTGCCATGTGGTAATTTGTTGAAAAAACACACAACCATTTCCTTGATTTGTTCCTTCTATTCCCTGTGCCAACTGGATGTATCAAAACCTTCCCCTGTGCACTTGAAACGAATTTACAGGACTGAAAAGATGCGCTGTCCTACTTTTATTTTTGAGTTTCACCACAAAATGTTTAAGTGCTATTTTCTTGAGAAAACAAAAGTTATTGACTTGTTTTCATGAGACAGTGAAGGCATATTGTATCATTGGCTTTTCTTGCATTTTTGTTCGTTCCCAATAATAATAGCACTCCAAATCCAAAGAAGAATGTTCAAAACCTAAACCTGTTGAAGGACCGTTCGGATCAGCTCACACTTTTCGAGAAACCAGTGAAAAACTGTGCACAACCTTTTGATGACAAAGCATGATTTTGTCCATAGCACTCTTTATTCCAAATATCAGTCAGTTGAATAATCATTGGAAACCACCTGCATTTCGTGATCGCTTAAAAATTGCAAGCAAGCCAGACAGAACGATTTCACACGGTGTTTAGTACCAGTACGATCTTTAATCCATGTAAGGTTTTTAATAATAATTTGGTAGGTTACTTTTGGGATAAATGCAAATGATCCTATGGGCTCTGTGCACAAGTACCCCATCAACGGCCAGAAAAGGAGAGTTGGGGGTGACCTAGACTGGTTCCCGATCCATCCATTGCGTATTTCAAATGATATCCAAAGTTATTGGGGTTGGGGATTAGTCTGGGAGACCATTGCAAGTTAACTTTGAATGTATTCGCACGCCAACGATGCCTGACGATCTCGTGCGAAGACATTGTGGCTTGGCTTTGTGCACATTCAGGAAATTAAAAATGTGTGCGTACTTCGCACGCGAACTACAGTGTGCACACACAGTGTCCTGTCCAAAAGGCGCTCAGAAGTGGTAAAAGTGCGCCCTCTTTTGTTGGTGCTCGGAGCCCATATGCCTTAAAGGGAAAATACAACATTTGCAAACATCAAAAAATAAAACTTCCAAATCATTTTGAAATACCTTGCTGGACTGTTAGTGAATGACAGTGTAAAGCATCCTGTAAAATCATGGCACCTGGTATACTGTCATTTTCAAGAAAAGTGCTATTTTTGTATCAATTTCCAACGCTGATCGGCCGATCAGCGTTGGAAACAACTGGTTTTTTTTGTCAAATACTGGCCCCAATTGACCATCGCACTTGTTTGCAATCGATTACAAACCTATAAACGGGTACGAGCCAGCTAGACTGGTTCCCTGACCTTACAATTCCCCAATGTATGTAAACTGCTCTGTTTCTTCTTATATGGAGTCAGGGAACCAGACTACAGGAAAATGATCGTTTTTCTTGGTTTTTATAGCATTTTCGAACCCAAAACCTCAAAAAAGTCAGTGTAACTATATTTGCTATATATTTCCAACCCCCCAATTCCATCCATTTCTGAAAATTACAGCAAAAGCAAATGATGTATATTCCCTTTAAAATAACAGTTATGTTGAAGATTCGCTGGGAGAGGGAAAAAAATACTGAATTGTTGAAGAGCACAGCCAGTGCATCTTTTAGGATACTTCTAACTGCATCCAATCATTTTTTTTTAATGGTCTATCAATTTGTCCTCCTTTCCCGATTAATTCTACAGATGAGCGTTTCATCCTTGTTGGTCAGTCCGACAGAATCATGACTGGCAAGGGCAAGAGTCGCCGAGTCACCTTGGGCATCAACGCTTTCGTCATCAGAAACGATGCCAAACTCAAGAGAACGCTGACTGACATCCGCAGCAACTGCCCTTAAAAAAACATCGCCGGACAATTTGACCGCCATTATATTTGACTAATCACAAGACTCAAAGCACTTAAAATGCTTCATTCTCTTTTGTCCATTTTTTCCCAGTGCTTTTCTGAAGAAAAAAAATATGTATCTTTGCATAAAAAGTGAATTGAAAATATTCAAAGCTCCTTTCAGTGTACGTGTTTTGGGTCAAAGAGCTGTTTGAATAAGATGAAGTTGTACAACAGAATGTTAGCATCCTTATTATGCCTGTACTTTAAAAGATAGCTTTGTACAGTTTCAGAGGGTATCTTTTTAACAGTGCTTTCTAAAAGTAAACCAAAAAGGTTCATTTTCTACATATTCACATAACTTTCTAATACATTAATTCATATTTTAAAATCATGTATTTTCGTATATTAAGCAAGGATAAAAGGCCCCTTTGTAGCCAAAACTGTGTCCATCGTTTTTATTAATATGTACTTAAATAGTCTCACATGTACTTAAATAATTAAATCGATGCTCACCACATTTTATTCTCTATGCAAAGTCTGTATTTTTACTTTACTTATTACTTATTTGAAAAAAATATTCAAGGTGCTAATGTTGCATATAACAAAGGCACTTAGTTACTTAAGCTTGATGATCTACTTTTACAATTGTGTAGCTTTCTTTGTATTGTCATGTACCTCAGCAATTAGATGCACACGTTTTTCTCCTTCATGCACAAGTATTTTTTCCTTTATGTTTTAACTATAAATAACACCATACATCAAATTTGGAAGAATTAGTGCGATCCATGAATGTGATTTGTTACAATTTCTTTTCTATATTTAGTGTTGATTGTGCATTTATTATTTTTTTGTCGGCTTATCAGTGTTTAAACTCCACAAAGAAACGATAGATGTGTGTTTCTTTTCGTTTTGAAAATGTGTTTTTAGATGTAACTGTTGTGTAACTTGTTTATCATTGAATGTAATTAAATAAATATCAAGCATTTTTAGTGGGGAAAAAAATACAGTGTCGTTGTGATTCCTATGCGTCACTCTGAGTGATTTTAAAAGTCGTTTGCAATAATTTATGAGAGAACTCTTTGAGTAATTTTCACTGGCCAGATGTACACTTGTCTTCACACGATTTGTTTTCCAGTGTTAAGAGTTTGTTTGCATGTGTTATATGTTAAGGTCACACAACATGTAATAACCAAATGTCATGAAATAACTTTCAAAAGCCTATCGGTTCATACAAACAAAAAAATAAAACGTCCCTATTTTGCACAGGAAAAACCATAGCTCCGTTGGGAAACTCGTATGCAGCAAGATTATGTGACGGAGGGACCCCCCCCCTTTTTGTGTTGGTCATTGTGTTACCAGAAACTCAGGAATATTCTTTTGAGATATCGGGGGGGGGGTTGCTAGTTAACATAGTCTAGGGTGTGTATAGGGTATAGGGACATGCAGGGAGGGGGGGGGGGGGCAAAGGGGACAACATGATTTTTTGAAAGATATACTTTTTCAGTAAGTATTTCCATAAATGGTTAGAGAGTTCTGACATCAACCCAAAAAAAGAAAACCAGCTCAAAAACAATTACAATGCGCCGTGAACATCGGGATAGATTTTCCAGTATGCTCAATATTATAAATGGTAAGTTTTGAATAGCGCTCCCATTTGGAAGAAAGGTACAAGATAAGCCCCCCCCCCAGCTTTTTTATTTTGCGGAGGCCAAGGGTCTGCATTTCTGCACGGATGTGCGGTTGCCCCCCCCCCCCCCCCCGACATCAAAAGCTGGATACGCTGGACATGGGGGCCACCCTCTGCTGGGTATAGGGAAACTGCCAGACACAATTCCAATGCAATGCAGCCCCCCCCCCCCTACATTTTTTTTTTTTCAAATTAAAAAAGAAGAAGAGGAAGTAGATACTTCAAAATTGAATTTACAACGCTGACGTAAATTTCCATGATATAGCTGAAAAACAGTAGTTACATCAAATTGCAAAGGGCATCCTCCACAAAACTGGATAGTCAGTGTTCTTTGAGATTCACTGGTGCTGCGTGGTGTTGTTGACCTTTTAATTTAACATGCTGGAAGCCTATCATCCATAAATCAGTTAAACAGGGCTGGCGAACCAAGGCTAGTCGCACCATGGTCGCACCCAGGTCACAGGTGTACAAGTTGCTCAATGAGGCAAGTTTCTCTGGTGAAAAAAAAAAAATTCCATGATGAATTTGTACTGTGGGGAGACAAATGTGTTTATTGCGGGGGGGCGGCAGAAGAGTTACTGTTGCATGCCACTACCGAGGGATGAAAAGCAGACGCCCTTAAAGTGTCGGCGGTGGATCCAGGACTTTTCAAAGAGGTTCTCTATGGTAGAAGGTTGATGAGGCGTTGCAGTCAACGCAAAATACCAAAGTCATGAAGCAATGAATCAAGATTTGCAGTGGCGGATCTAGGGGGTGGGGGTGGGGGTTAGGAAGTCTTACCAGGCTTTGGGTCGCAAAAAAAAAACACACAAAACTTACAGAAACAAAGTAGCACCATATGGAGGTTTTCCTACCTCTATTATGCACGGAGAAATAGAGCAAGGAACTGCTCTATGCTCGGTAGCACACGCCTGCTGAACCGCCCCAATGTTTTATTTCTCCATGATTGAGCCAAAGCTGGCCCACTGTAATTTGCTATACTGCAGAGTGCAGGGGCGGATCCAGGAAAGTTTGCAGGGGGGAGTTCAGGCCCGTCAGATAGGTTACAGATAATAACCCCTGCAGAATGTCATCTTTTTCATTATTAGTATAATATTGTTATAATCATTTTTGTGTGTCAGACCAGGAGGGGGGAGTTCGACCCCCAAACACCCCCCTTCTTGATCCGCGCCTGGAGTATTGCCGTTATTCTTGTATTTTGTTCCAGTTATGAAAAAAAGAGAGATAAACATCGGTCAATTTTGAGGGGAGGGGGTTCCCATCCCCACCTGACCAACACCATCCGCCCCTGAGCACACCGCGACTTCGGGGTGATCAAATTAACTATTATTGTAAACTTGCCGGGTAACCTGTTTACGTTCTGTGAAAAAGCTTGCCAGCAACATGTGGCCACTTAATAAACAACCCACGCAATTGTTTATAATAAATTATCAGTGTCTCTTGCAAGCATTATTGTAGACCGCCGAGTCAGCTGCGGTTGTCCGTCGTACCAGTCGGTTCTTGCTCCGTGCAGCCTGAGAGCCGCCGCGCGTGCGCCTCTCAGCACGATCACCCCAGCTGTATCTTCCATTTCCTGTCCCTAATCAGGACAAAGTGAAAGAAACATAATAATAATAATGGTCGGTACTTATTTGGTAAAACAGAACAAAACTCTCGTACCGGTAGATATTCCATCAAGTCCTACTCGATTCAAGGGGGGGAGGGGGCGGAGTTGCATGTTGTGATTCTATGATACAGAATTTCTTCTCAATGAAATATTTCATGCATTTGGACCGGATTTAGCCCATTTATCATCCATATGTTTGGGCCAATCAGTCAGTCAGTCAGTCAGGTGCAAAGAGGACAAACTTCACTAGGCTGGGCCCTCTGACACCGGCAAAACATGATTTTTATATTTTCACACTTCTAATTTTTAACACCACTGGCAAAATGAACTCAACTAGGCCTTCTAGAACTGGTTTCAACAGGAACTTTCACCTTGAAGAATACATAAGATGAAATTACCGAGCTTTACTTTAGTTACTTTTCTCAGTTTCTTCATCCTTTCCCCTCTAAATATTTGTTTTATCAGTATATGTTGTTAAAGATAACATGGTATTAAGTGTTTGTTTTTTTTAAGTTGGAAAGGGTAACAGTAACAAACCCTAGAGTTATCGACCGTACGTCTCAAGACACATGGGTTCCGGTATTTCCAAATCCAAGACTCAAAATATTTCACACAGCACGCATACACACAAACGATTTCGCAGAGTACATGTATGTGGAACTGAACAGTCATAAGATATCCGCGTGGGCACGCGTCACGGGGCGACTGGTACGAAGTGCCGATGGCACGACACTGAACCGAAGGCCACTTGTGATATGATCGATCCTCCTATTTTGGTAAAGGCTGTACGTGTCATAAAACTGGTCCAGCCATCTAATTATGCATTAACCAATACTTTGATGTAAATTTTGCATTCTTTGCCTGCATAGGGTGGAACACTTATGTTCATTCTTTAAATTAATGAAACCATGGATTAAACGAACAACATGTCTACAATTATTTATTACTCTTGGTACTAAAACATTTCTCTCTTTTCCAAGCGGCTTGGTTTGCGGGGATTACGAAGTAATTATAATACATGTACTAGGCCCAACCATGGAGCTATATAGTTCCATGGCCCAGCAAAGGCCAATGGAAAGCCTCTTAGGCCCAAGGTGCTAATTAAAGCCGAAAGTTTTTTGTTTGGACCGCAGCACATCCAACCGGTGGAGAATATTCATACAGTTTTATGTATTTATGCGCAATCAAATTAAAAAAGAAAACCCTTCTTTTGTTCAACTCAGCACATATTAATCAGAAGAACGTTTGGCGGATCAGGGAAAGTTGTGAAATTATTGTACGTGATTTGAATAAATTAATGGAAATATGGATGGATCTACTTTCTCGCTGCGGAGTCTTACATTGAGTTCTGGAAGAAAATCGTCCAATCAGCAGCATATAAAGCCACCAACACTCTGTCTGCACTTTGCATTGGTCGATACCACTACCGCCAAACATAGAGTGCGTGCATAGCGCAAGTGCACACACGCGCACGTGTCCCACCACCCGCAACGGAGCTTGTGCAGCCATCCAGGACCCTGGATTTGGGCACAGTTTCGTACAGAATTGTTACATTTTCCCTGCTTTTACATCCTCAAAGCTGATACCTGAAGGCCACCAGACCAGTACTCTGCAAGAAAATCCAGAATTTGGAGTCCATTTGAGTAAAGAACGCGTTTAATTGATTGATTTTTGAAGCAGACACTTCACGATCTACTCCTGTACTGTACTCCTGCCGCGATTGTAGGCGGTTGTGCTCGTGGCCGCGGTGTTGTGTTTTGCTGTCCTGCATGGTGGACCAAAAAAAGAAAGACTTCAAGATGATCTTGTTTCTCGTCGCTTTTGTTACTCTTCAAGGACTTGTGCAGTCAATGCCAGGGTACGGGCATGAAGAGATAAATGGAGATGAGTAAGTCATTTTACAGAAATTCGTAATTGACAATGAGTGAAATATTTATATTTAATAAAAGTCATATTTATACTAGATGCTAGAAATAAAAGTGCTGTGATTTTTGGTGCATTATATATTTTCGTACTTTTGTGGCATGCATGGTACAAAAAAAAGAGTGGTGATGTTAATCTGCGTTTTTTGTTTCATTGGAACATTCATAACCTTATTCTTTTTATCCTTTTATTAAACATGTTCAAGCATCATTAAAGGGAATGTACAATTGCTTTTGCTGCAATTTTCAGAAGTAAATGGATTTGGAGGATTAGTATGTAATGGCAAATATTGTTAAACTGACTTGTTTCACGTTTTGGGCTTGAAGATGCTGGAAAAACCAAGAAAAGCAATCAGGTTCTTGTAGTCTGGTTCCCTGACCCCAATTAAGATGAAACAGAGCAAATTCTAGACTTTGGGGAATTGTAAGGTCAGAGGATCAGTCTGGAAGGCTTGTACCCCTTCACAGGTGTGTAATCAATTGCAAAGAAAATGCAGAATAACTAAATATATGACATATTAGGAGCAGTTTTTGTAAAAAGCCAGTTTTCTCCAACGCTGGTCAGCCGACCAGCGTTGGAAAAAGAAAATATTTCTTGAAAATATCAGCACACCAGGAGCCACAATTTTTTTGCTTTAGACTGTCATTCCCTTACAATCCAGTAAGGTATTTCGTGATAATTTTATCATTTCGTTTTCTGATGTTTGCAAATGTTGTATCTTCGTCTTCCCTTTAAACCCCTGCAAGAAAAGTGAAGAGTGGAGAGCATGTAACCCTAAACTTTGTCCTGAACTGTAGTCTGTATGCATCTATAGCTAGGCCTATCTATAGCTACCTGTAGGATAGTAGTAGGAACCAGAAGGCCACCCATAAAAATAGAAAACAAAAATATATGTTTGTATCGATATAAGAGAGGCTTTTAAACCTTCAATACTTTCCTTATAGGCCTTCTGAAGTTATTTGTGTGCCAATGAGCTATTAGAATACTGTCCATAACGTGATAATGTGATTTATACTCTGATTTAAAGGCGTATATAGGATCATTTGCTTTTCATGTATTTAGTTCATTTTTAATTAATGATTAACACTAACTAAAAATTCAAAAGAAGAATGTGCAAAGCCTGACCTGTTGAAAAGTTTTCAGCTCAGTGGATACTGCATTTTTTTTTTTAGAAAACAGTGAAAAACCATGTACAACCTTCTGATAACAAAACATGATTTTTTCAACACACACGTGTTGCACCATGGAGGAATAAAAACACATTGGTAGCACTTTTTAAAATCAATTGACTGATTGTTGGAAATCACATACATTTCTTGATTTCTTCTAAATGACAGCAAGCTGGACGGAATAATTGCACTTTGCAGGAGCTGTTTAGTACTCAGTATGATATTTAATCGAAGTAAGCTTTTTGGGATAAGTGTTTGATCCCATATCATGCCTACATCATGCACTTCCTACATGCATATGTACAAGCAATCTTCTTTTTTTGAGGGGAAGGGGGGGGGGGTGTTGGGGGGGGGGCATTGGCAGGTGTAATTGGATAAGTTCCTAGGTCTTTACTTGCATAATCAGGGAGCAAAGAATGTAGCCTTATGCAAGTGATGTAGGCATTAAGTTACCCAACACCTGTGGCCATTGTTTATTTGTCCTACCCAAGGTGCAACCATCAATTCTCTCCATAAATGGGCTCAGGGTCAGGGGTTAAGGCAGATAATAGTTCTTCTTGGCCTAACAAGTCATCTTCTTGAGGCTTTAAAAAATTTTTTTTTAAGTTTTCTGCATAAATATCTTAACCCTAGCTCGTTGTAATAGTTGCTTACTTAGAAACATTCCTGAATCCTTCGATATCTTGTACTGTACCAGAACCCAATGACTCATTTTAAGTTTGCACAATTTCAAAGGGTATTCAAGCATCCATGGTGTTGAACCCATAGAGAAAAGTTGCACATTCCTTAACCCTAACCCCCTAGGCCCTTGTTGCTTACAACCATCCTCAATCCTCCAAAATCCTCCAAAATTTTTCAAAATTTTGCAACTCCGCCTAAATTTTTCAAAATTGTCAGACAGTCCTGCCTCAAAATGCATTCATCCTCAATCCTCCAAAATCCTCCTCATCCCAAAACTTTGCACTCGTGTTTAAATGAAGGATAACCAACGCCAAATCCCTCAAAATCATCAGACAGTCCTTCCTCAAATTGCATTCATCCTCAATCCTCCAAAATCCTCTTGTGTTTCAATCACCATTCATCCTCAATCCTCCAAAATCCTCATGTGCTTCAATCACCATTCATCCTCAATCCTCCAGAATCCTCATTTGATTCAATCACCATTCATCCTCAATCCTCTAGAATCCTCCAAAACCACCAGGAGGATTTTGGAGGAGTGAGGTGGGTTAGGGTTTTTCAAAAATTCTCCATCATCTGATAAAGTAATTATGTGGAATGCCCTCACATCCAGTAGGTCTACAGTCGGTGGGTAAAGCACTTTTTTAATTTCTTTGCTCCAGTTTTTTTTATTGAGAGTCTTTGTGACAAATTGATGTCACAGCTGGGGTCATTTTAGACTAGGCCATGCCTAGGAAACACAGAAGGTACATTAATTACCTCTTAAAAAATGGGTTAAATAACAGAAGTCTAGACAGCAACATCCCACATTTGGCCTTGGAGTTTGGACTGGCACAAATTTGGAGCTAGCTTGTCTGTCCTATGGTGGATGGTACTGTATGATCATCAAATTTATTTGCTTTCTCAAAACCCCCCACACTTTCTTACTCTGGTCATGCAACTTTTCCTTGAGTTAGATCAGCTGATTTCCTCGTTTTATCACTTTTATACTTATGTGTGCCATTAAAATCTGAACAAAGAACAGACTGGTTATTACTGGATAGGCTCCAAGGTTCCTGCTCTTTTAATAACACATTTCATAATTTCTCGCTGGTAATTATTTTCAGGGACATTGTTACCTTCAACACAAATTATGCCTGCTGTGATCTCAATAATTCAATCTGTGGTTTCCTGTCCTTAACATATTAACTTTCTCAACACATGGGTTATGGGTTACAGTTTCTGAAATACCAAAACCAGTGGGATAACTATGTTCTGACTTTTTTCTCTGGAAGTCAGACAAGGTGGCCTTGAAGACATTGCAAGTGTACATGGTGAAATGTAGAGATGTACAAGAGAGATGTGCGTAATTGTGAATAATAATTAAAACAGGCAAGGCTTGGACAACACAACCTTGTTTTTATAGCTCCTTGGTCTTAGTTAATTCTAAATTATTTAATCAGTCAATCAGTGTCTCGGTTATAGTCTTGGCCAAAAACGTCAGTGAACCCTAACCCACCTCACTCCTCCAAAATCCTCCTGGCGGTTTTGGAGGATTCTAGAGGATTGAGGATGAATGGTGATTGAATCAAATAAGGATTCTGGAGGATTGAGGATGAATGGTGATTGAAGCACATGAGGATTTTGGAGGATTGAGGATGAATGGTGATTGAAGCACAAGAGGATTTTGGAGGATTGAGGATGAATGCATTTTGAGGCAGGACTGTCTGATGATTTTGAAGGATTTGGCGTTGGTTATCCTTCATTTAAACACGAGTGCAAAGTTTTGGGATGAGGAGGATTTTGGAGGATTGAGGATGAATGCATTTTGAGGCAGGACTGTCTGACAATTTTGAAAAATTTAGGCGGAGTTGCAAAATTTTGGAGGATTTTGGAGGATTGAGGATGGTTGTAAGCAACAAGGGCCTAGGGGGTTAGGGTTTAAGAGTGATAGTTGCAATGTTCTGTCGCGCCTTGCATAATTGATTTTTTACGTTCTCTTAGTAACATCTTGGTCAATGGGGGCGTGGCCATGTTATGTAAATTGGACCATCTGTATAAATTTGAACAAAACAGCAGTTCCCATTTGCCGCAGTAGTCGTGCCTTCGCGCCCTGAATCACTGCGTCGCGAATGTTTACAACGTGTTTGGCCAGCCATCGAACCATTTCTTGATCACTGGTTGGTTCCCTAGGAAGTTGATATGATGCTGGGTCACCGTCACCGTACGTACATGTATAAAGCCTGTGTGTTTACAACCGTTGGGAGAGCCTTTGAACTTTTTCTCAATCGCTGATTGGTTCGTAGGAAAGCTTACGGAGAAAATAAAGCAAAATTTAAACCACTGATATGAAATGGACAAGACGTTAGTGCGAGTAGGCCCGCTGGTATAATTGTTGTGCCATGAGAGGGCACACTATGTACCATCCACTATCAATCATTAGTGTCTTGGCGCAATACTATGTCTCAGTCAGTCAGAGGACCTAGGATGGCCCTTTTGATCAGTGGTGTTAAAGGGAGAAGGGGTCGGCAACCAGGAGAGGGTGACATAAAAAGGGAACAAAATGGCGTGTATCATGTTTTACAAACGAACAAAAGACTTGCCCTTCACGAGAAAGGATCCAAAATGGCAAGTACTGTACATGTAGGCAGTATTTGCTGTTTGATTTTCAGTTTCATATACATGTACTTGCCGAAAGTTTTAAAACTGAGGAAGTGGTGGATAGGATTGGCACATCTATCATGCCCTTTTGGAAAATTACTTCTCAGTTGTTAAAGGCCTAGGACACAATAAATTTACTTCTTGATCACACCAGACAGATTGGAAAAGCTGATGTGCATTTATGACACTTGTTCGTCTGTCATTCAACTAGCCTCAGCATGATACCCACAGGGGTATATGGATGTTCAGATTGAAGGTTATTGGTGATACATTGCGTCATTTATGGAAAATGTATTGCAGTCTTTGAGGCATGACCTTGCACACGAAAAAGCTGCCATTGTAAGAGGAATCTCTGGGTTTAAAACATTCTTTACCGGCAGTATTTTGCACCTGGTCTTTTGAATGTGAACTGTTGAATGCTAAAGCTTGCAGCCCTAGAAAAATGAAAAAGAAAGAACAAATCAACTTTTGGTTTTGAGTCAAACGATCGTCCTCTTTACGTGTACATCAAACATGAAGACATTCCTGCCTGAACACAGCTTTTATCAATGATTCTCAGCCAGGTGATTTCTTGAATTTGATGTTTGAGTTCAGTACATATCTATTATGAGTACAGCATATCTGCTCTGAAGACTGCCAAGGGCAGTGGCTCCCCTAGGAATTACCCCATGGAGCTACCCTGGGGAGCCCATTACTGGACCAATTTCATGGGCTGTTAACCACTGGATTTCACTTCTTTGGATCATAGTGGTTTTCTCCAATACATGTACTTTATTCAGACAAGTGCTTGTAGGAATGAAATGAAATAACCATGAAGGGCGTCCCAAACATTTGCCGCAGGAAAAGTGATTCCACCTACCAGTACCACTAAGAAAGTAGAGGATTGTTCGCCTCATCGCCTGTAATAATTAAGTTCTAGTGACTAATCTAGACTGTTCCACCTTGCTGAAAATACACCTGTTGAATGGAGAATAGCTGGTGGTCCAAAGGAAAGATTCTTTGAAAAATTTCTGATAAACTAACCACCCCTTCCCAAGTTCCCAATTTTTCCTGCAGTTGGCCTCCTGAATCCTCCACTCTGCATTAAGAACCCAAAAGAACATTCTCAGTATGTCAAGAGGGATCTAGTTAGATAATTACCCACTTGGCCCTACTTACGACAACCCTTCAAAATCCTCAAACCTCCCAGAGTCCCGGTAGATTTTGAAGGATCTTAAAGGGTTGAGGATAAACACAGATGCTACACACAGCCTCATCTCTTTCTTGTTGTGTCTATATTCCACCCTACAGACCACCACCTTATGGCTACCTGGTGGTCTCACCCAGGGTTCTCTTCTCGGGCAAGGAGGAATCCATCTGTGCCACCATCCAGGACACGGATGAACCCGTCGAGGTCACGCTGATCTTCATGGAGAACAACGTCACGGAGATCTCAAGGGCCCCACCATTCGACGTGGAGTTTGGGACAGCTTGTGGCAAGGTGGAGGTAGGTATTTGGTTTGTTTGTTTGTTTACAAGTTTACTGTGAACTTTTTAAAGATCTTGATTTTTTTTCTCCTTACGAATTTTCAACTTGTATGTTTGTTGAGGCAAAAACGCAACTTCATCCCAATTTTGGACGTCTGTAACCCTCTGAAAAGGAATATCGTTTCGGGCACAAATGAAACTGCCCTGTCAGAGCTGAATTATTGTCCGGCAGCCAAAAATTTGATTGTTGTGAGGAAACAATTCAATAACTACACGTCGGTGGATTATTTGGTTTGATGACTCATTCAAAAGTGAATAACCTTTATATTTCCCAAGAGCCTTTGATAAACACTATAGGCTGAATCAAGTGAACGCTTTTAACAGTAGACAACACATTGTAATCTACTCAAGACAATCAGTGCCTGCACTGGTACTTTTCATGTGCGAATGGACTGGGTTTTTTTTTTTTTATCTTTATCAACGTGAACCTGCCCATCAGTTTTCTCTTTTTACTCATTCAAGTGGTTCTTGTGAACTGAGTCCATAGACGATTGAAATACTTCTGTTGTCAGCCAGATTCATAGACCAAAATGTATTCATAATTAAATTAAAGTCTGTCTCCAGTTTCCTTGGCATGAAACGACTGAGAAGATTTCTCTTCCCCCTGGATGGGATGCCAGTGTATCACAGCTTACTCCCCAGCTAATGCCGGTACCCATTTATACTCCTGGGTGGAGAGAGGCAAGTGGAGGTTGTGGCTTGCCCAAGGACACAACATAATGACCAGCTGCTAGATTCGAACCCCTAATGCTCTAATCATGAGTCAAGAACCCTAACCACTATTCATAATGCACAGCAAAACCTGTTTGAAATAAACATCATCTTTGTGTTCTAGATACCAGCTGTTGAAGAGTCTCCCAAGACGGTTATCCTCAAAGCCATGATGAAGAGACTGTCGGCTGCTGAGCCTGAATTGGTGGATCAGAAGAAGGTGGCCATCTTCAAGCAAGGGTCAGAAACCTACGTGCAGACGGACAAGCCAATCTACAAGCCAGGGCAGCCCAGTAATGATCCCTCTTTCAACCAATCAGATCATTTGTTACTTGTGGCGCGATAACTCCTGACCAATCAAAAGACCTGTTATTTAACCCTAAAATGCTGGGGCAATGTTTTTCCATGTAGCATTTTAAAAAAGGTTTGAATCTCCCGAATCGATTATTTTTGCCACTTGTGGAAACTCGACTTAGGCCTGTGTATTAAAATTTCATTGAAATATTTACTAATTAGTGATGTATGATTTATTTCAGTCAAGTTCCGGGTTCTCACATTAGACAGTGACTTGAAACCTGACAAAACAGTGGTAAGTTGATTTCTTGTTCATATTTTTTTTACCAACAGTGATATCAGCTTTTGCAAAAAAGACAAAACACATTCTCAATAATTTGCAGTTGAAATGAAATCATTTCATTTGATGAAAACATTTTGCAATGCAGGAGCAGTAATGTACACTTGGTGTAAATTTGCAAGATCATTTCTTGTTTTTCGTGCATTCATCTCCCAAAGGCTTCTGACATTTGGGTGGAGACCCCATCAGGTATTCGGGTAGCCCAGTGGCTGAACCAGTCCAGTCCGGATGCATTGATTGACTTGGAATTACCCATGAGCTCAGATCCGCCCCTCGGAGATTGGAAAATTGTTGTCGTCCGTGACAGTGAGAGGATCGAGAGAACATTCAAAGTTGATGAATATGGTAAGTGTGATTTTTGTCCCAACTCCTTTTGACATATTACATGTATTTGTTTACAACAATGTTTGTGAAGCCATTGCGAAAGTGTACCTATGCATATAGCAAAGCACAACTGCCTAATGCCTATGAAAACTTAGCATTAAACAGCGGGGTATGTGGGGTGGTTGGAGCATTGGTTGGGGGGGGGGGGATTTAGGGGTGGGGGCGAGGATGGCTGGCAACGGCCACATGTTGCCTTTTTTTACCAAAAAAAAAATTCAGAAATACAAAATCACCAGCTCTTCACATACTTTACTACCCCCCCCCCCCCAACACTTCTCACTCCAATTTTACAAAAAGAAAGTATCTAAAATAATTTCTGGCTGCTTTTCAGAAAGAAAAACCCCTCTGCTCAAAAACCTGGATACACCTTTGAATCCTAACATTAAGTAGGTCATGCAGGCATACTCAAGTTTGATCAACTGATAATAGACCGATATCTGCAAAACAGTTCAGTAGACCCTAAAAGTTGGTCAACTCCCAACATTTTTTTCAAAGGGTTATGGGAAGTACGGCCCACGTGGCAGGAAGTGAAGTCCTTTTGACTACCAGAGTTCTTTGGCTTCTTCTTTTTTTAGGGCCACATCTGGAAAAAAGTTTCAATTCTCTTTTGGGACCCTGGACATGTAGTTATTCCATAAATCTAGGTCTGAAGGGTGAAGGTCGATAGTGGGACAAATAAGGGTCGGTTGGGTTGAATCAACTGGCCGACCAGCTGACTATAGGGCATTCCAGCCGGAATTTCCTTGGGGAATTGCCTTTGCATTTCATATTTTAATGTTCAATCCTTGGCTTGGAGGGAGAGTGAATAAGAACTGGTCCTGGCATCGGTGTTAAGATGTCAAAAGGTATCTTGACCTTTGCTGTAGGGATTTGATCACAAGCTAATGGATTATAGCTTCTTTTCCTTTTTTTAATAAAATTTTGCGTCATTTAATTATGAACTCCATTGGGCTTATAGTACAAACCAACACAAACCTTTGCAAATATTATGTTGTGTGAGGAAAAATTAAGAGCTTTTGATATTTGTCTGTTCCCCTGTCATTTTGCATTTGACTTTGAGGGAAACACTGCTAGTGTTGAAACATCAGGCCTTTTTTTGATTTTTATATTTCAGTTCAATCCTGTCAGTAAATATAGTTTGCAGCAGTTTTGTATGTTTTTCTTGTTTATTCAAAAGTATTACCACACCTACACCTACTATGATAAAAGTAGAATCCAGTCATTTTTTCTTCTTTTAAGTTTGTGTAGTGGTTCTGTGGTAGAACATTTTGTGAGGGTAATGCTTATATTTTTTCCTCCGATTTGTGAGGTCCTCATTATCAGAAGGTCAGAAGAAGAAGAAATTGTGTGGAACATTGTGTCAAGAGGAAAGGAATTATTGAGATTGCATTCACTTAAAACAAATAATTTGGGACTTCCATTCACATTCAGCTAACAGCCTTGGTCAGTTTTATTCAAGACATTGTGAAGGACAGATTATGTAATATGAGATTACCAAAGCAGATGTTGTAATTCTTTTATTTCATGGTTGTGTTTGCAGTGCTGCCAAAGTTTGAGATAACAGCCGACCTCCCGCCATTCATCCTGACCAATGATGAGGAATTTGAGGTCCGCATTTGTGCAAGGTAATCACTGCTTTTAAATACTATGGTCTACCATGCATGCAGGTACATGTATAGTTAATGCACCAATCCATTGTGTTGGCCTTGAGCAGACAAAGTTCCATAAATTTGCAGCACGGCAAGTTGAAAGTTGAGCACGGGCGGATCCAGAACACATTTTGGGGGAGGGGGCCAAAACAGATTTTAGTCCCCCAAAACAGTGGGTCCAAAATATTATGGTTTGGGGTCTGGGGTCCGCTCAAAGGCTCCGAAAAAATGTGTGGATTTTAGATGCTCTGTGGTGGGGTCTGAGGCAATTAATTTCTGACCACTTTAATCAAATTTTGTTGAGGAAAAGATGGTGGTGAACGCAGTGCCTGTCTTTATGGCGATGTCACTTAAAGAAAAAAAATGGGATGGTTTCGGGGGGGTGGGGGCCCTGGCCCCTGTTGCACCCCCCCCCCCGACCCGCCTTTGAACGCTAGTCAGTGGAACACCCCAAAACAAAACAAAAATGCCCCCAAAATGTCTCCAAGAACGTCTGAATTAAATTCAGCTGCAGACTGAAGTATCCATGAACTCCAAATCATAGATTTTTAGGATATTCTCATTCAAATTTTTTCAATTCACTTGTGCTTGCCGTCATAGTGGTTGGAAATATAACTGTACAAGATGATACAGACGAAAGGACAAATGAATAATGACTGTAATGTCTCAGACATTGTTGCAGGAAGATGTACATTCAATGTAATGCATTCAAAATTGCATTTCGTACTTGTCAATTGGTGCTCTAAATGTCTGATACGTACATTTGTAAATCGTCACCGTCACCACGAACTGACACTCATGCGCGCGTAAGTGCGCTGCACGTGCCCGTATTTACAGAACCGAGATAGTTTGGGTTTCACGAACTGACATCCTCCACAGTGCGGCACTTTTAGAGCGCACCCCGTACATTTTCGTTTTCACGAACTGACACCCAAGCATGATGCAGCAATACAGAATGGAGAAAAACGGTTTGAAAGGACTGAGAGGAATTTAATCTATCCGTGTACTTGTGTGATTATACAAATTTTTGATTAAAAAGCATTTCAATTGGTAAAATTAAGATCAGTGTCAGTTCGTGAAACAGAAAATGCACGGGGTGCGCTTTAAAAGTGCTGCACTGTGGGGGATGTCAGATTATGAAACCCCAAATATCCCGGTTCTGTAAATACCTGTTTGTGGCGACGGTGACAAAATGTAAGTGTCATTCAGCTTGAGAGAGCCATTTGATTAAACGACAGTCTTAAGTTGTTTGTTTTGTTGCTTTGTATTTTTGGGCAGGTACACTTATGGACAGCCTGTAAGAGGCTTGTACAGTGCAGACATCACTATCGATGAAGAATACAGATCGTGGTATGGCAACATTGAACCCAGGCCAATCCTCCGATTTGAGTCAGCTGTAAGTGGACAGTTCTTCCTTTTGTGAACTCAGCTGAAATAAATGCAAAACATAAATGTAAGGTGTTCTTGCAAAATTAGACAAAGCTGGGCACTGGCAGTAGTGGAGAAAAATGCAGAAAAAAAAAAAAAAAAAATGAAAATGGTGATTTCTTATTTTCAGATGTATCAATATTTGTAATCTTTGATAATGTCCACTATACAGATATTAAAAAAGTATAAAAATTATGGAATGAAAGTGTTTTAAAGGAAAATAACCGGTATCTTGCATTTCACGACTAAAAAATAGTTGATAAATGCTAATTTTAAACAGCAAGGACTTGACAACGGAATGCCAGATTAAAGTGCAACAAACAGTTTGGTATTTAAGGGGAATTTTTCTCTTTCCTAATACCCTTAGTTCGAGGTGAGTGAAAAAGCTAAGAAGCTAAAAACCAACCGTCACCACAAATCTTGAAATTTTTAACACATTTTTAAAGGATGAGACTGAGGTGGAACAACGAATTTCAATAGGAAGCGAGTTCCACGGAATAGGTATATTGTGAAGGCATTGCATTTGGCACATAAGATGTGAAAAGTTGTAAGTTTTCTCCTGAACACTTTATCTACAAGTAGATTAATCACGTTTATTTTCTTTGCCGTTAAAGATTCATAAAATTTTGGGCCAATGAAAGCACAAAACATGCCACACAAGCTACTCCAAAACAAAGAATTGTCGAGACTTGTTAGATTGTTAAAAATTTGGTAACAAAAACATAAACTCAACAGTTTCCTTCTATATTCCAGTGAGGCAAGGTTTAGCATTGACGGCCTCTGAGGATAATCCAAGTAGTCCGCCATATTACAGTTCATTGCGTCTTGTTTAAGATAGTCCCTTGTAAAATCCGGCTGGATTGCAAATCCTTGTGGATTGATTCCAAACAGGACAAGCATATTCTACAATCAGCCTACATAATGCTAAACATAGCGCCAAGAGAATTAAAGGGAAAATACAACATTTGCAAACATCAAAAACCGAAATGATCAAGTTATCATGCAATACCTTACTGAATTATTAGGGAATAACAGTCTAAAGCATCCTTTAAAATCGTGGCTCCTGGTGTGCTGACCTTTTCAAGAAACACTGTATTTTTCCAACGCTGGTCGGCCGACCAGCGTTGGAGAAAACTGGCTTTTTTCAAAAAAAAAGTCATATTTAGTTATTCTGCCTTTTCTTTGCAATGGATTGCACACCTGTGAAGGGGTACAAGCCTGCTAGACTGATTCTCTGACTTTACAATTCCCCAAAGTGTATTAATTGCTCCGTTTCATCTTAATTGGGGTAAGGGAACCAGACTACAAGAACCTGATTGGTTTTCTTGGTTTTTCCAGCACCTTCAAGCCCAAAACGAGAAACAAGTCAGTTTAACAATAGTTCTATAACAAACTAATCCTCCAAATCCATTTATTTCTGAAAATTGCAGCAAAAGTAAATGTTGTTCTTTCCCTTTAAAAAGTTATGTAGATAAAGATGGGTTCAGTGATGCCTACATTCCCAGGTAGTCACGTACCCTGTCCTTCAATTGGGGGAGGGGGGGGGGGGGTTAAATATGAGAACCAGATGTTACCCTACAGACATGGTCATTAAAATAGTTTTATCTGAAGAAACATGCAGGTATCCAGTTAAAAATCACGAATTGCCATACCTGCTGGTTCAGTCCAGACTTGTCAGTGAACTATCTGCTTGAAGCAATGGCTTACAGATTAGAAAGTCCCCTGAGATCTTTAGTTGACCATGAAACCGACCTGTTCTACAAACTAAAAACCATCCGACTTGTGGAAATTTTAAGATGCATTCCTTGTGCTCTTTAACAAATTTGATTTCCTTCTATTAATACATTTTCAACTTTATATTTCAACCCAAAACCTCCTTTTTTTTCTTTTTTGAATGTCTGCAATCTTCTGAAAAGGGGTGTTTGTTTTGGGCACAAAACAGAGCCGCTTTGCGAACAAACTGGCTTCTCTGTATAATACTGATTGTGGGGCAGGAACCAGCCTACTCCGCAATGACTGCTTATGGGGTTGGAACCAGCCTACCCAGCATTCCCACAAGAACAAACTTATTGTCTGGGCAGCCAATAATTTGAAAGTGTATAAAACAATGATTCAATAACTTAACATGGGACGATTTTTGCAGTTGATAACTGTATTGCTAGATAAATAGCAAAATAGAAAAGCAATTTATTTTTGGAATGAAATTCGAAAAACAGCACAGGGAATGCAACTTTAAGCTCATTGAATGCTTACATACATGTAAATAAATGAATTTAACAACAAAGAGAAACTGACTAGGAGAACAAAGATATTTACGAATTGGGACACCGCCAACATAGGGCTGGATAGCTCAGTTGGTAGAGCACCGGAAAGGAAATACGGAGGTCGCAGGGTTCACACCCCGCTCCAGCCATTTCTTTGTTCAACTTTTCACAAGTAAATTTAGACGTAAGTATTTGCCCCCCCCCCATCCCAAAAATTGCGTTTATTTCATTATCGATTTTTTTAAGGGGAATCAAGCAATCAATTTGCCTAGAGATTTCTTAAACATTCAAACCATTAGTAGTTTTCACAAACCAAGCTTGTTGTTATTCAAATCTTTTATTTGCCAGGATACTGGAGTTTCAGGATGTGGCACCATCATAGTCTCTGGTGAGGCCATGCTTCTCAACTACAGTGACTTTTCCATCTGGTCCAGTAGGCTAAAAGTTGACGTTAATTTCACCGAAGAGGCTACCGGTAAGCATAGAGAATTTTGTCACTTAATTGTTCATGTTTGGCTTTAAATGTTATCACTATAATTTTTAAATACTGTATATTTCTGTTCTTTTTTTAATTACATTTTAAATTTTGGTTGTATTTTTAAATTCCCTTTGAATTGAATTTTTTACTGGTTTGTTTTTCTTTAGAAAAAGTTGGTCTGGATATTTATCTGGTCATTGACGATGGATTGGTTGAGAAATGAATAAAATGGACATAATAAATAAGTAGGGCTTACAACAGGGGTTGAAAATCAACTTTGACTTTTGCTCTCTGGTCTAAAATACATTTTTTTTAAAAGCATTTAATGTTCAAACCAAATAGAAGTACTTTAAAACTTGCACCTTGTTGTTAAGGATTTGTTACTTCAGGGCGGAAAATAGATTGAGTGCTCCGGGTCTAATGTCAAAGATTATTAAAAATTGAGGCTTTGAAGACGGCATTGAAGTGGTTTAGGAATGCGCTCCTTTAGAAAAAGCACATTGTGACCTTCATTGGAAAGTTTGTCAAAGATCCCTACATGTAATGGAGGGTGGCACATGGTACCCTTTGACTTTGTGCTACGATGACTGAATGATGTGACACTGAAATGCTCTTTTTTGTCAGTTTCCTTTTTTCTTTTGGGCTTTCAACATTCCTTGTTAATCGCAAGATCCTAACCTTGTGTGGGTGTGTGCTGGTACATAAATCAGCTGTCGGTGTCCTTGGTACTGAACTTGTGTGCAACGGTGACTATTTTTGACCTGCTCTGATGTGCATTATCATTGAGTGCTAAAGTGTAGACAACATTGTGTAATGGGGGACCCCCACCCCCTGTCCCTGGCCTGTTTCCTCCCCCTTTGACCCCACCCCACAAAACCACCCCTCCCCACCAGCCCCTACCCCCCACTCTATCCCTTCCCCCACTTCACCCCTGCACTGACCCCAACCCTGCACCCACTCCACCACCCCTACTCCCACAACACCCGAGACCCATCTCAAGCCCAGCCCACCCCCAAGCCCACCCCATCTCCCATTTCCCATCCCCTATCACTCATCCCGGCCCCACCTCCATCCACCATCTCCCACCCCACCCCTTATTCCCATCCCCAAATTCAGAAAATTAAATGAGAGTTTGTGTAAACGAACTTGTGTTCCCTCCAAAAAAAATGAGGGCACAAATCTGTCTCCCCAAGCCTCCCTCCTTTATATTGTGCCCTTGTTGTGGCCTCTATAGTTTACTGATGGCCTATACAGGTACCGGAACAATGTAGTGATGGGTAGGTAGTGCATTGGCGGTCTTCATTGTCAAGGAAACCATTGCGCTGGAAAGATATTTGACATAAGCATTGACTGTATACACAAATCTGGGTTAACAATTATGAGCCATTATGTGTTGGTGCCATGTGCATGCGCAGTGGCACTTTTTAACATATCTTTGCTCCCCCACTTTCAGCTGTTGAGACAATGCTGCAGCAATGAACATTCTGCCACCATTGCACCCACTGTGGTTCCACCGCAGTAATGCTATCTGATTGTGGTGGCCTGATATTCTATAAATCCTTATTCACCTTTTCCAAATTTAATGTCTTTGCTTTCAGGTGTCACACTGTCCGAGACCGTTCTAAGCAAATCAGGAATTATCACCACGGACCCTCTGCTCATAACATTCAAAGGACCGACAACATTCAAGCCTGGTATGCCCTTCGATGCGTGGGTGAGTGCTATCAATACTTGAGTGAAGTCATTTCAAAACTCTGTCAATCTGTTAACTTCCCCTGTCTTCTCTAAATTCAAAATATTATTAAGTTAAATTAAACAAAGCAGGGTTCCACTTTAACGGTAGCCCGCTACCAAATGCTAGTCAAAACAGCGGTGGGCTTGTCAAATTATTCTTAAGTAGCCTGGCTGGCGAGTCAAAAATTATTGGGATACGGGAAAGATGAAAGATCAATTTGTGTCTAATTTTATTAACTGTTTAGGGTTAAGTTATTAGATCTGTTCATTACAAACACTAACTTGATTGCCTCAGGATACAAGTTTTACATGTATGCACATTGTTTTTTATGAGACACTGTTTAAAAGAAGTCTGTTTCGGCAGCCCAGCTAGGTAGTGAAAACAAAAGTGAAGGTCGAACTTGCAAAGAATTGACTGGAGTGGGGTATGAATGTACAAACTCTGGAACCCTGTACTGGTGCTCTACCAACTGAGCTATCAAGCCCTATGTTGGCAGTTCCCTGATTTCTCAATGAAGGGCGCTAGTCAGAAGCCATAAACCCATGTATGCCATGCAGCCAGGGATCACGCCCAAAGTCACGATGCTATAGCAACACTGGCGATAACTCGGAGAGGATACAGCTTTTTATTACAAAACGTCAAACAAACCACCAAGGGGAACTGACTAGGTGTATTTATACATAACTATAAAATTTAAAAAAAGAGAAAATCACTTCAGGAGAGTTTGAACCTTCCGGAGGCTGCAGGTTTCAAACGCCACTCCAGTCGATTTCTTAACGTTCAACATCGCCGCATACTTGCTGACTTGCTGGCAAATGTTCTTGTCCACTTCACTCTTGGTAAATTGTTCATATGAAATGCCAATTAATCAAAAGCATCCTTCACGCTGTCCTAAGTCGCTGTGTTGGACCCGTGTCAAATACAGAGATTTGGGGAACCTGTTTCACACTAGCAAGCTGGCGCGGTTCTAGAGCCAATATTTTTTTTGGGGGGGGGGGAGGAGCTAGCAGGGTGGATCCAGTAATTTTTTTCAGGGAGGTGGCTGAAATGTAGACCTGTTATTTTTTCTGGACACTTAGACCTCCAAAAATCAATGGGGGGGGGGGGGGGAGGGGGGAGGGGAGGGGGGGGGCTCGTGCCATATTTTCAATGGGGAGCACTGATAAATCCTACAATCATGCAAACTATGTTAACTAAAAGTGTACAAATGCATCCTTCTCGCGACTATTTAATTAGGGGGAGACCCGTTCGCACGTACGTCGCATCATGGAGCTATGGTCACATTCTTACATTTTGCTAGTGCATTTTTTTATGGAATTTTTTTTTTTGGGGGGGGGGGGCTAGACAAAATTTGGGGGGGCTAAAGCCCCCTTTGGCCCCCCTGGATCCGCCCTTGGACCCATGTTGAATTCAAAACAGATAGGGGACACAGAAGTATGAAAATTCCCTAGAGGTTGCTGCAGATTTAGAGACCCCGTATAAAAAGAAATCCAAACAGCCAGAAATGTGTCAGTTTCTTTTTTTTCTTTTTTTTTCTCAGGTTGTTGTGACGTATCCAGATGGCACCCCTGCATCAGGTTTCGAGGTCAAGGTCAATGGCATGGCAGACTACGAGGATATTTACAATGGTACCTTCACCTCCTCGGAAAACGGCATGATCCATTTTGTCATGGACAATATCGACATTGACACCAGAGACGTGACCCTCTTTGTGAGTTGAAATTTTGGAAATGTCCTCTTATAATTACTGGCTATTAACTTGAAATGAACAAGTGACCTTTCTTACCGCATGTAAAATCTACTTTTGAATTAAGACTCAAAATGTATGTGGCACCAGGCCCCTGAAAGAGGCCATTTTTCTGCACCTATTTGTCCTGCACTTAATCATCTGTCCCTATTCATTGCGTACTTTGCCAGTTGTCAATGTTTTAATCGCAAAAACCTTTTGTTTTCCCAGGCTACCGTGGAAGGCTACGCAAACGTTAGACCCTACGATCCGGAAGATGAAGACTACTATAAATACCATTACATCTATGACCCCATAGGCTACCACAATGCCGAAGCAAGCTACTCCCCTAGCGGCAGTTTTGTCCAGGTCGCACCCATCGACGGCAAGTTGAGCCCCGGCGAGGAGCAAGAATTCACCACCCACTTCACGGCCGACCCTGAAACGGTGGCAGACCTCAAGTGGTTCTTTGTGGTGGGTGCGAATTTTTTTTTTAATAAATTTATTCGAATTTCAGTAAAAATGTGTGTGAATTTAGGTCATAGTATGTTGCTCAATTACTTACATATGTTGCATTTTGTGCACTCAATAACCATCACCATTCATTGATGTGCAACCGATTACAAACAAAATGTGGACAAAATAAATTTGGTAAATTGGGGCCAGTGTTTAAAAAAGTCAGGTTTTGTTTTCAATGATTGTCAGCTGACCATCATTGGAAATGGCACAAAAATGAAAGTTTTCTTGAAAATGATGGCACACCAGGTGCCATGATTTCACAGGATGTTTGAGACTATTATTCACTTACAGTCATGTAAGGTATTTCGTGATTACACCTCTTTGTTCCGACACCCCTATGTTCCGACTGCACATAATTCCTATTCCTAGCCCTAACCCTAACCCTAACCGGGAGTAACACAATCTAGGTTGTCGGAACATAGGGGTGTCGGAACATAGAGCAGTCACCGTATTTCGTAACTGGTAGTTTTGTTTTTTGATGTTTGGAAAGGTTGTATATTACCTTTAATCTCAAGAAAACTTCGATGCTTAAAACACTCTCATGTATCTATATCTGTTGATTTCCAACATTAATGCAGTCAATGGAAAATTAATGCACAAAACTTTTTGCCTGCCTGAAACAAAATGGAATGCTGGTCTGTATCAGCTGTGTTAAAGTAACCTTGGGACACATGTTGGAACTTATGTCATCTTGACTAACAGCCAGAACCAACAGCCTGGCTGAGGACACATACAATTTCCTGCTTCTCAAGGTTAAAAGAACAAGAACAACCAGTGATGGGAAAAAAAAGTGAAATTCATTCCTAACAGTTAGTCAGAGATAAGACCAGGGACTGAATTCCCTTAACCCAGTGTAGTCTTCGCTTACATAAAACAAGAAGTGTGGACAGCTGACAGGAAATGAGAATCATTGGGGACAAATTGGCAGGACAGCGTCGCCCTCTGAGAAATTTGGATTTAAAATTTGATTTTAAAGACATTTCCTGTAGAGGTTGTTTAGTTTGTCCAACAGAGATCACCTTAAATAAGTGAATAGTTTGCATGGGCGTCGCGAGGGCCCCCCCCCCCCCTCCGGAAAAGCAAAAAAGAAAAAAAAAGAAAGGAAAATAAAGAGAAAAAAAGAAAGAAAAAGAGGGCGAAGTCACAGTGGTGTAAATTTAATGGGTTGGGGGGGGGGGGGGCAAAATGTCCCTGCCCCTTCTAAAACTGATAAATCGAGAATGTGTTGAGAAATACAGGCATGTTTTGGCAAAAATATGTTTTGCCCCCCTCTAGAAAAAATCCTGGCAATGCCCATGATAGTTGTTCAAGGAAACACCAATGAAAGATATTACGAAAAGGACGGAGGTTACAGTATATTCAAATGTTTCAGAAAACCTTGAAATCTGGTTTAAGAGAAGGGATTTCAGTATAGAAAATTATAGTATATGTTTCGTGTGTCTCATGGTGTAGAGGATGTCATCTGAAAATGGCAAATGACATTTTCTGTCCGACATTGCTAAAGATTTAGTCCAACAATGCTAAAGATATTTTAAAAGCCCAATTGATCTTAACACGGACTAAGTTTTCATAAAGCAGTAAAAAAAACTTGGTGAAAATGGGAAATGCCAGCTACTTGCACTTTCATTTTGTAGATTGCTTTTATTAGCTTTTAGTGTATGTCATCTGTTGGACCTTTTTGGCTGTGTTGTTCACATAATTTTCATAAGAGTGAATTGTGATGAATAAGGTTCTTGACATTCCTCTTGTAGTTCATGTCACGCAGTGAAATCCTGACCGTCCCAGTCACTGCTGTGGAAGAGGCTGCACCACGCAAGAAGAGAGATATCATATGTAAGTTGACCACATTTGAAGCTGAGTGCAAAATGTTCTTTTGTCCTTCCAAACAAATTGGAAGGTTTTTCAATCATTTGTTGGGAGGTAGCGCCCAGCCATTGTTATTTGACGTGGGGCTTGATGCACCATGAATCAGTTAAAGCCACGTTGGATCGTTTGCAGCTACTTAAAAAAGTGCCTACTGATTTAATGACAGAAACCTACCTCAAAGTGAACACAGAACTGGTGGTATCAAATACCCTGTGAAATTAATCCACCTGAATTGATATCATTTGGTAGAAAATAATAATTGAAAGTGGTTTCAAAATAGGGTGTCGGTGGGCACATTTTTCAAGATATTTTCCACAAATGGTTTACTGTTTCTTCAGGGGTTGTAAGTTCCATACCCTTGATGAAAGTACCCTTTTGTTCATCATTGTGGTTTGTCATTCAGTACTGATTTCTGGAATGAAATTATGAATTTTGCTCAAACACAGTCCCCTACCCTGAAACCGAGGTCAACATCACCCAGCCTGGCAGCCTCTACTCCCGCAAGGACAAGTTCACAGTCACCTCCAAGATGTCACCAGAGGTCAAACTGCTGGTGTATTACATCCGGCCTGATCAGGAGGTTGTTGCCGACAGCATTAAAGTGGACGTCCAGGAAGTGTTTGACAACAAGGTAAGTTGGAAGTTCAATGTAAGGTTTTTTCATGACGCGATTCAGGTCATTCACATCAGTGGAAGAGATTTAAAGATGTACTCCCTTTGCTTTTTTTGAGTTTGACCCTGATTTTTTTTTTTCAATTAATCGCTGTTTTCCTAGCAATATAAAGGTTATTCGCATTTGAATGAGACAGTGTACGAATTGCATTTTCTCTTTGCAACATTTGAATTTGTGGGCCGACAATACTTCGGCTCTCACATGGCAGGTTGTGCACAAAATGAAAGCCCTAACTTTCCAGCCAGAGTTGCTGACACCTAAAAAGTAAAAACATACAAATGGAACATTCGTTTTTAAAAAAAAATTTTTTATTAGCATGGGATAGCACGGGGCATACATCTTTAACCTGCAGATTTTTTTGGCATAAGTTGTTGACATGGATGGTCAATAAATTTTAAAGGTCTGAGGGTTTTCAATGAAGATAAGGTGTAGTATTTGGAAAAAGAATACAAAAGTGTTTGCAGATATAGTCAAATGGTTCTAATTTAGCACAGTGTGACTTGGTCTTTGTCCAAGTCTTGGTTATTTCTGTAATTAAGTATAAACGCTGTCGTGAGGTAGAAAGCACAACCAACAAGATGAATCAAATCCAGCCTTGGACCAAGACTAAGGGTCACCAGGATGCACTTCCAGAAATGATGACAGAATACAAGCTGCTGTTAAGCTAGACTCCAGACAAGAAGTAAAATTATCCTTCATGTTGCAGGTTTCAATGGCCTTTGCTAATGACGAGGAGACGCCAGGAGGCAAGGCCCTTTTGAAGCTTTCGGCAAGCGAGGGTTCCCTCTGCGCCGTCGGTATCGTGGACAAGAGTGTGTATGTCTTGGAGGACGACAAGTACAGAATAACCAAAGATAAGGTAAGCAGTGGACTCGATGCACAAGTGCGCCCTCAACAGTGACAAAGCTTTTGGGCTAGTCACTATCTTAGAAATTTGAAAAACAAATTGGGGGGGGGGGGGTGTAAATTATTAAGCACAACTATGTGCTAAAAATCGTTTTGATATATTCAGTACTTTTCATTGAAATTGGAAAAATAGGCCTGGCTACGTGCATTTTTAAAAGTTGTAACACTGGTGTTTGCAATATCTGTCAATCTTTTCAAGCCTCACGAATATTAATACGGTTCCTATCCATTATGGTGTGCAGTAAAAAATTGCAGAATAGCCTCCTTCACGAGTTATTAATTGATAAATATCACCCTTTTTGCCGGCTTCCATTGGTCAATACCAACCCACGCCAAGTCACACCGAGTGACTCTAATGAAAATGCTGATCTATGCGCTTCGTCATTGTTGCCCCCAATCAGCCAAGCTGAAAACCATGCATGTGAGTGAAATTGGTCGGCAAAAAATCCTTGTCGTAATTTCCCTTGGAGATAGTTCAAGGTGTAACACAAGCGTTTGCATCAACAGATTAAGCTGAAATTCAGAAAATTCTTAGATGGTTTAAGTGTTCAACTACTTGTGAAATAACAACTTCAGGAGATTCCTAGAAATTGAGATAAATATATAGATTTGGGGACGTTTTCGAATGATTTCTTCCTGACTTGAAGGTCAGCTTTACCAGTAACCAGTATTGACGTTTCGGCATTGATGACGGTGATTTTTTCACTGACATGAAGTTTAGAATTTCTTCTTCCGTTATAATTTAACGTTTCAATCATACTGAGCATATTTTCTGAGAAACACAACGTTCAAAAGGCCATATTTTTTGGTGTGCATGAATTTCACTGCTCTGTTATAGCGTCTAGGTACGTAATCGGATTAACTTTCTTTAACAACGGGGATGTTCAGGCCTTTGCATCCACAAGGCTGTGTAGTTACGATATCTACCAAACTTAAAGAACACATCACAACATTGAGGAAATTTGTGCCACATCACTGTTGCATATACATGGAGCTTAATGCTCCTGGAAAGTACTAAAAATGTGCCAGTACATTCCTACAGAGTAAGGAGGTTATTTTGTAGCAATACTGCCTCTTGAGAATTTGGGTTGAGTCAAAATGAAAGTGACTGAATTAGAAACAGCATTTTGAAATTATGTGGCTCGCTCCATTTCATACAAATGACATAGGGTCAAAGTGCATGTTATTGACTTGTAACTGTAAAATTTTACGTAATTTACTTGTACTTTAATTCCCAAGCTATGTCTATTTGAATAAAAGGATCACAAACTACAGCTGTCTACCACTGATCATTTACCGTTCTACGAACTCATGAATATTCATTAAATAAAATGAAACATGGACGTCTTGCCATCCCAATGAATGACCAAGAAGTTGCAAAGGAAAGCATACAAAAATCGCCATCATTATTGCAGAAAAAAATGAGTTGACTTGTTCCTCATATTCAAAACACAAAACCTGACAGTAGAAGTAATGTTTCAGTCTTGTTTCAAATGATTAAAATCCCACAGGTATATAGACTGTGTTTAATCTGTAATTCTCACTCAGGTCATTAGCTTCCAATGGCATTCCATGGACAGCTGTAAAGATTTTTGGTAAAACAGGCACAACTTCTGATGGCATGGATCAATTTCAATAACTCTTTTTTTTCTTCAGATGAGTGGATGAACGTGCTCTTTTACGACATACTTCATTTGCGTATCAAAGTTGATTACTTTTTAAGATTTTTTGTTATTAATCTGGGTCACCTTCTTTTTGATTCGCCCTGTAGGCCTATAGCCTAGGGAGCTCAACCTGCAAATTAACTGTTGCCTCTTTTCCATCAGGTGTTTCAGAAAATCCGGGAGGACCAAGATCGCCACACTTATTACTGGCTGCCCAACCCCAGCGACCACTGCCCAGATGAGTATCCATGGTGGTTTTACTCTGGCCTTGACAGGAGACGCCGCAAACGAACCAGTGTGCCTTATCCTGGGGGCTTCGGCACATTCGAGGACTCTTCACAAGCTTTTGAGGTAAAGACTTTTTTCACGTGGATTCCTTTTCTTTGGATTCATGTGATTCATGGTGTTTATGTGGCGTGTGGTCTTGGGCAAGACACTTTACTACAATTCCTCTCTAAACCCTGGATTATAAATGGAGTACCTGTTTGGGTGGAAGTCAGATTGCTCTCCCAAGTTTGACACATCTGGGTTCCCACAGTCAAGGAAAAATCCTGGAAAACCTGGAATTTAAAGCTAATCGTAAGATTTCTGTGAGAACCCCAACATACATTTCACTGCCGCTGACTTACAAATTAGTAGCATCATGATGCAAAGTATTGTATGAGTTGTTCAGTAAGTGTGATATTTGGTCTGAATCTGTTTGTAATTCACTTATACAAAGTCGTCCCTTTTTTCCCCCTGAATTTCAGGACATGGGCCTAGTCTTTATGTCCAACCTGAAGGTGGAAACGCGGCCTTGTAACACCGGTAAGAGAATAAGAGAGAAATAGAAAAGTATTCATTTGATGACCAAATGAATGTAAAACTCTTTGAGGACATTCACGGATGCAAACGTGAAGCGGATTTGATATCAGGAAATATTCGCTGCGAAATTTGCAGGAGTAGAAATTTGCAGTGTGAATACCCGCCAGTGGCGTATGGGGGGGGGGCACCTTTTGAAAGATATTTGTTTCAGTAACTATTTTCGTAAATGGTTAGAAAGTTCTGACATGAAAAAAAAGAAGAAAACCATGCCCCGAAACCAAAACAATGCGCCATGAAAATCGACGTATATTTTCCAGTATGCATAATAACGGTAAGTTTTGAAGAGCGCCCCCTTTTGGAAGATGGATACCCCCCACTTTTTTATTTTACGGAGGCCAAGTGTCCGGAGAAACATTTTTTTCTACATTTTTGTGGGTGCGGTTGCCCCCCCCCCCCCCCCCCCCCGACATCAAAAGCTGGATACGCCACTGATGCCCGCCGTGATGTCACACATTTGCATTTACGTTTGCCTTTGCTAATTTTCCTGTATGAAATGGATGATAAAACAGCTAACTGCACATGAGAAACTTTAAAGTACCGTTACAAATTGTACTTTAAAGTTTCTCATGTGCAATTAGCTGTTTTATCATCCATTTCATACAGGAAAATAAACACAAACAGTTCTTTGATTGGTTAATTTGAGTTTCTCTTGACACTATGGACTCCGTGCACGAACAGCAGAATGCGCTTTTCAACCACTTTTGAGAGCCCTGTGAACGGAACACACCACATGCTCATACGGTGCAATTAAAGTACGCATGACTAATTTTGTTCTGTATGCGCACAATATCACAAACCCGTAGCGTCTTCATGTGAGCTAGTACCAGGCGTCATTGGCAATGTGTTCAAATATCCTCACAGTGGTCTCAGCCAGCTCTCTATTTGTAATTGTTAGGGGGGGGGGGGGCTCGTTGGCCACTGGCAGTCTGAGTAGCTTTCATTTGCTGTGGAGTTAGCATGGAGGGGGGGGGGGGGGCTGAGGCCCCTGCACTCCCCGCTGTTTCCACCAGTTGGTACTTATGCACTAGCACCATATGGTTTGGTAGGACGCCATAATGTGAGACTCAAACAAGTGTATGTATGCTCAAACAGGTGTATGTATGCATTCTTCAAGCCATTCTGACAGTCACAGATTGGTCTGTGCATTGTTATGTCAAACAGGTGGATTCCCAATACTCTATGATAGCGTTGCACCTGGAGCTGAGTTAGACCGTGACGCTGTAGCTTTTGAAAATGAAATATCAGACTCATCAGCTCCGACCGTCCGCAGCTTCTTCCCTGAAACCTGGCTGTGGAAACTGGAGCGCATCGGGTAAGGGCTTGGAAGTAAATTGAATGCAACCAAAAAAAAAAGGAAGAGGCTTGGTAACTTTTGAAATACATAGATTTGCTGTGTGGTGTCTTGGCTCTATTTTAACCCTTTAGCACTCCTATTAAATTGTAGGACATTTAATTAACACCTCCATGAATCGATAAATCCATAGAGTGCTGGGGCGGTCTGGGGTGGTTTGAGGAGTAAATGGCAGGGCAGTTGCGGACACTTTCAGGGCTAATGGGTTGAGACACTGCCATGGCACTGTAATTATAATAACAGTTGAAAGAAAACACTTCATGAAGTGGAATCAATGAGGAAACTGAGGTCTTGAAATAGAGGAAAGTAGAGATAAGTCCCCCTCAATTAAAAAAAAAAGGTATTTTCAGAGACTTAAAAAAGAGGCTGTTGAAACGCGAGTAATTTCCAAAAGGAATGCAGGTTTCCTTTTTTTTTTTATTCAATCCTTGACCTTCCGATAACCCTTGATTTATGACCATTGACCTTCCACAGTGACATGGGTGAGGCGGAGCTGGACCTGGACGTGCCCCACACCATCACAGAGTGGGTTGGCAACGGGTTCTGCTTGTCGGCCGAAACTGGTCTCGGGGTGGCGGACACGGCCACCCTGCGCGCATTCCAGCCCTTCTTCGTCTCGCTGACCCTGCCCTATTCCATCATCCGTGGGGAGGAAGTAGGCATCAAGGCCACGGTCTTCAATTACTTGTCTGATGAGTGCATGGTGGTAAGGCTTTTGCCATACAAATTTTCTTTAGGGTTTTTTTTTTGTTTTGTTTTTTCTTTTCTAGAAACCCTAAATGCCAAAGTCGTCAAAATTTAAAAGCCTGCTTATTGTGAAAAGATAGAAGTCGACAGGACAAGGCAAGCCCAGTGAAGTTGGTCCCAGGGCGCACAAGTCAATTCAATTAAGTCGCTGCAAGTCTCTTAGTGCATCTTGTGTACACAGTGGGCCGGATTTAGCCAATTCATAATTGGGTAATCCTATACCATAGCACTGCCTGGCTCTCTTCACCAGTCAATAACCAGGTTGAGTCACAAGTGACGGGGAGTCAGTCGGTCAGTCAGTTGGGTACAAAGAGGACTATATGCTATCCCCTCTGTGACCAGCAAAAGTCAGAATCCCGAGTTGCCGCTTGCAACGGGACCAAACAAGGTCATTGTTCAAATCAGATGGCAGGGACAGTACGTAGCATCGTCTTAGAATTGGCAGTTAAAGGGAACACACAACATGTGCAAACATCAAAAAACAAAACTACTAAATTAGTATGAAATACTTGCTGGACTTTTAGTGAATGGCAGCCTAAAGCATCCTGTAAAATGGCACCTGGTGTGCTGCCATTTTTCAAGAAATGTGGAATTTTTGTTATCAATTTCCAATGCTGGTTGGCTTAATTACCAGCGATGGAAAAAAATGGCTTTTTTTCAAATACTGCTTCCAATTTACCTTATGTAGTTAGTGTCAAAATGTGTTTGTAATCGATTACGCATGGATGGGTACAAACCAGTTCGACCGGTTCCCTGACCATACAATTCCCCAACGTCTATAAATTGCTCCGCTTCATCTTACGTGGGGTCAGGGAACCAAGATTGTTTTTCTTTGTTTTTTCCAGCATCCACGAACACAAAATTTCATGCAAGTCAGTGTAACAAAACTTTTTATAAAATACTAGCCCCTGAAATGCATCCATTTCTGAAAATTACAGCAAAAGTAGATGTTGTAATACACTAGTGTCGATTAAGGTGCCATATCTGGGAATGTTAAGGTTAAAGGGGGTGTTTATAGAAGACAGACGGGTTTAATTTGGTTAATGGTAAGCCAAACATTCACTCACTTTATGTCCATTATTTCCTTTAAGATCCGAATATCACTGATAGAATCAGACATGTTTGTGGTGGTGGACAACACGTATGAATACAGGGAGTGTGTCTGTGCCGGGGCATCCAAGACAGTCGAGTTCAAAGTGAAAGGGCTGGCACTCGGCGAAATGGACATTGAAGGTATGAAAGGCCAGGTTGTATGTTACACAAACGAATAATGTTTTCTAAAGTTAAACAAAGAAATTGATTAGAGTGAGGTTTGAACCTGCGACCGCCAGAATACCGTTCCGGTGCTCCACCAACTGACCTATCCAGCCCTACGTTGGCGGCTCCCTATTTTGTCAATGTCTTTTTTGAACTTGCAATAGTCAGAAGCCATAAACCCATATATGTATTCATTCTCTACTATGCAGTTGATATGAAAATGACACTCATTAATACTTTTGGGTATTGAGAACAGTTACAGTAAACTTGTGCATTGTTTTCTATCCTGATGCCAATCCCAGTCCATGCTGTGTCAGTTGCTGATGATGAGGTTCTTTGTGGCAATGAGGCTGGCATGTTTGAACAGACGGGACTCAGCGACGGCGTACGCAGAAAACTTCTGGTTGAGGTAATGTTGCTGTGCAGTATAACGGCAGGGGGGGGGGACACATCAGTGTAACTGCTTGTCCACTTTTAACTTTAACTCCCTGGCATGATTGACTAGGAACCACACCCATCCTGGCAAATTCCAACACCATATGGGAAACTGCACACACATATTTCTGACTTTGATTCTGGAGGTGTGCCAATCCAATGTAAAAGACTGTCGGTTTAGGGGTACTGTACCATCCCGACAGATTCCAACAAAGCATGCCGTTGGGGATTGTTGTGTTGAGTTCTGTTAGGGTTAATGCATCATAAAGTTTTGCCTCTCCCCTTTGGGATCCCTATAGAAACTGACACTAAGTCTTGGATGTGTATTGTCTTCAGTTCCAGAATCACTCCACTGCTACAGCTTCACGATAACCACACACAGCAATTTGTTTGTTTTGGTTTTGTGAAGTTTACCAAAAAAGGTCTGTATTAACAGAACAAACTTGTAGCATGTTTGTATTGTTCCTTTGCGAGATGATAGACTGAAAACTTTTTCTTTCCTCAATTTTCTTTCACAGCCTGAGGGTATACAGCACGAGTACAGCATCGGTAAATACTTCTGCCCAAGCGGTAAGTTGTTTGATTCCAAACATTCCCTACAATTTTCTTTAGAAGAGAATGAACGTTTATCAAACAGAACCACAGCTCCCATATACAAATTGGGATCAGCACTGATTTTGTCATTGTATATGACATAGATATGAATAGCCACCTAATAACTATGCAAGAATTAAAATCATTTTGCAAAAAAACTATGGTAAAAAGACTTGTTGAACCAGGCAATTTTTGTATTAAAGATTGACGTAGCCGTTGTTTGTGGGTTTTGTTTCTCATTACAGAGCTGCCGTTTTCCTCATACAACAAGAGATTCCAGTTAGCCACACCGCCAAACACTGTGCCAGGGTCCATGAGAGGCCGAATGACCCTAACCGGTAACGTAGTATGCCAACGTTGTTATACAAATAAAAGTCAGTCGTTGGACAGTGTCCCATGACCGCTGTGGCCAGGTCAACTAATTTAAATATTGACACATGCTGACTGTACTTTAACTCATATCCCATTTGTTTTGGGTTTTTGTGTCGCCTACAGGTGACCTGATGGGACAGACCATCAGTAACCTAGACAACCTCCTGCAGATACCCACGGGCTGCGGCGAGCAGAACATGCTGGGCTTTGTGCCTAACATAGTGGCCATGCAGTACCTCACTAAGAGCGGCACACTGACGGATGACTTGGAGAGTAAGGCCAAGACAAACATGAGGATTGGATACATGCGTGAGCTCAACTACCGCCACAAGGTACTGTTTCTGTCACGTTTGTTTGTGGAATTCAAATATTTGGTTTTGTCCATTATTTTAAATGTGCCCAGGCAGGACTTGTTTTAAGGTTGATAGTATAGAAAGATATGCATTGATTATGAAGCATCATCAAAATATATCAATATTACTTGATCAGTTGATATTATTTTGATTTGGAAATCGCCGATAGCAATTTTTTAATCAAATCGAAATATCAAAATGTTTGATATTGTGGAATCATATCAAAAATGTGTCAGATTATCGTCGAAATATATCTCCCGTTTGCGCTTATACTTTGTGTTTATCGTTAAATGAAATGTATAATGAAACAGAACTCGGCGACAACTTGTGCTTGTGACTCAAAATAAAAACATCGCGAAATGCCAAGCGGTGTTACTTTGTGCTCTGCGTTCACTGGCATTCGCGGTTTTCCCAAATGTAAATCTATTTAGAATAATGCCCATTCTGGACAAATTCTCAGTGCTGAGATTTGTTTTAAAAAGTTTGAGCAATAACATTTTTTTTTTAATCAAAGTGTCATCTTTATTGTCTTTAACTTTTTACATGGGATAATCGATATATATCAAATATTCTCGCTATTGGATTTCCGATGTATCGATTATTGAAAATTCTGATATTGACAGTGCTTATTGTTCATCAGACCTTTCTTTAATTTTCTTAATTGACAATCTCATCCCTGTGTGCCATTGAAGTGAAACACACTGTAGATATTCTCAAAGAGCTTGGAATTTCATTGTTTTTGTTATATTTCCAAGTTGCATGTCTCTATAAGTGCTCAGAACTCATTTCTTTCTAAAAGTAGTGAGAAAAACTTATTTTTTTCGAAGTATTTCGGAAGCTCTGAGTAAGGTGTACTTGTTACCAATATGAAATTTCCGCTTTTTATTAATTTGTTTTGTGCAATGACTTTTGTGGCCTCAAAGCTACAGTAAACTCCGGCTAAGACAGCACTCTCGGGACCAGAGAATCTGTGACGACTTACGCGAATGTCGGCTTCTGCTGCAAGTCGTCATTTTGCTGACTTACACAAATACACAAATTGAATCATGGAGTGAACAAAATAGATTTAATTAATGGCCTATGCGCATCTGTATCTGGATCATGCAAACAAGATTCGTGGTTAAAATTCAAAGGCTTTGATTTACCCTGGTTTATTTCTATATCCTCAATGTTTATCATCACAAACAGGCTGTGGTATTGATCACAGAAAGTCATGCATGTACATGTACGTACGTACGAAGCAAGGACGACGCGGCCGGCTAGCATTAACAGTGGTACGATATACAGATCGCTTGCATACTGTACGTCCATGTACATGTAGTGTACATTGTGCACGTACGTACAGTCACGAATTAAATTTGTGCATGGTACTGGTACAATAATGGGACCCCAAAAATGAACAGAGCGCATGCGTGCAGTCGAGAGGGGGTACTGGTATTGATGTGCTATCAGGAAAACCCCTTTTTGATCGCGCACGTGTAAGCGAACGATAAGTGTACACGTGCTGGCCGATGCATCAATCACGGGCTGTGCCATTGATAAACAGATGTCAGTTAGCAGTGTGTGGGACTTTTCACTCGACACTTCTTGCAAACCGCAGAGCACGATGCCGACTTATACAGAGGAATATTTGTGGTTTTCAGGAAATGGGACTTTAAGTTGTACCTTCCTTTAAGAAAAAAACCTGGAATCCCAGATTACAGTGTCTCAGCTAAACGCTGATAACAGATACCTCTTGTTTTAGGATGGGTCCTACTCTGCGTTTAACGATAATGACGAGTCGGGCAGCACCTGGTTGACGGCCTACGTGGTGAGGTCCTTCGCCCAGGCAGCCGATTTCATCACCATTGATCAGAATGACCTGGACGTGACCATCGACTGGCTGAAAAAGCAGCAGAATGAGCGTGGCTGCTTCAATCGTGTTGGCCATTTGGGCCACAAGGCCATGGCGGTAGGTATTGTGAAGAATTTGGGTTCGATGCAAATGCTTTCTGTTGTTGATTTGAGTTTGTACCAGTTGAAAACAAACAGATTTCTAAATCTCTGACAATAAACAAATTTGCTTTGCACTTCCAACTTATAAGTATGGACCAGCCTTTGCTCGTCTTCTTTATTTCCTTACTTCAGTCCAACAACTGACTCCAAGTCTCTGTCTTGATTCAATTTTTTTTCCAAAATCAATAATTACTTCGAATTTAAACTATTGTTATTTTTGAAATATTTTTACCTGAATACTTTCCAAAAACTAGCATAGAATTTCAAAATAATTATACATACCCAAACTAACCCCGTCCAACAGTGCTTAAATGATAACATCATCTGTGTTTATTGGTCAAGTCATTTTGTCACCGTTTTCACGAAGAGCCACATATGTCAAAAATAACCATTTTTTTCGATTTTGATTTTTTTTCAACCTTTTGCTTTAAAACAATGTACTTAACCATTTTGACATGTTTCTGTGAGCAAAACATCATTAATTTCCAAGTTACATTAATGTTGCAAGGGGCAGAAATCTCGATAAATGCATTTTGCGTTTTCACGAAGAGCCACATACATTTTTGCCCTTTGAACGCATACAAAACCCATTGCACGGAAATACGTAAAAGTAGGTCAAATGAGATTCCGTTTTCACGAAGAGCCACATAGGTTTGTTACATTTTCAGCTGTGCGCGCGTACTCACGCGCGCCTATGGAAATGCACGTTGAACGGAAAGGGCCAATATCTCGGAAAACTGACTTTGCGTTTTCACGAAGAGCCACATATCTTTACTAATTAATTTTCAACAATTAACTGCTGTATTCAGTCTGATTACTGTGTTCATGTAAAAATTCAGCTCTCCTAGAATCGTGTGATGGTTTTCTTGCTGCAAAAAGTTGTTGCAAAGTGATATTTTTTGCAGTTTTAAAATATGTGAAACTTCTTTTGCGATTATCTTGAAAACGCTTTTTCTTTAAACTCCACATATGTGGCTCTTCGTGAAAACGGTGACGATTTGAATGATTGAGGGATTTTAAATTTGACGCATCTCTTTGACCATGTTAATGTTAACCTCAAAGAAACACTCTAAATGAGGGTTCATGTTATGTGTCTCATTCAATTTGTTTATTTTTAAAACATTGTGTCTTATATGCAGGGCGGAGTCAACAGTGAAATTACACTGACGGCCTATGTTCTCACTAGCTTGTTGGTGGCAGGTGTGGCTCCTGAGGTGAGTTTGGTCTTATTGTTGAAATAATCGGCATTTTTTTTTTGTTCAATGTTAATTATTATGCAAGCAGGGTTCACAAAATCAGACGATAACAAGAAGTCTCAATTTTAGTTTAAGAAAGAACAAAAACAAAGGCAGTTTCAGCTTAATGGGAGTTATTCTGATCCAAAGACTCAATCCAGCCTAATATTTTCTGCGAAGAAGCAAGATTTAGAAGGCCGACTTAGTGAAACAGTTGATTTCACAACTCAACAGAGAGGTCCATTTTGTGCAGTGTTTTTTTTTTCTTTACCTTCTGCTCGTGTGACCCACTTCGAATTCCATGTGGGCAGACATGTGGATTTGGTTTCTGCAAGTGTCTTGTGATTGTTTTTAACTGAAGAATACTTTGGCATTTCCCTCTCGCCTCTAAAACTACTAAATGTCTTCATATTTCACAGATTTAAGCCCTCGGGCTCAAACAACAGTGCCGTGCTTTTTCTTAAGGTACCCCTGGTGTCATTAACAGAAATAATAAAAACAAAAGAAATTTAAAAACAAAAGACTTCTTTTTCCAGGATCCAGTCATCCAGAATGCACAAAGCTGCTTGGAGTTGGAGTCGGACACTCTTTATGACACGTATGCTGCCGCCCAGCTGGCCTATGCCGGTGCGCTGGCTGGTCACCCCAGGGCGCAGGCCGCCATCAACTTTCTGGATTCTCTGGCAGTGAGGGAAGGTAATAAGCCACCGGCTCTTTAAGTGGCTACGGCTTGCAATAACACATGTGCCTATGAAGGCAACTGGAACCACTCCCCACATAAACATGTGTTACTGCCAGCCAGCTATAGCCAAAGACTTCAGACATAACCTTAGTAAGTAGGCAGTGTCCAACCCCCCCCCCCCCCCTTAGTATTCAAAAATTCTGTCCAGAACTGCAGCAGATTTGTCCAGATTGTGTGGGCTGAATATCGATTGTGGAACTGAAGCAAATGGAGCACGGTTAAGTAATCTAGGAGAGTGTACAACTTGAGTTGACGGTGATCCATTTATGCGGAAGCATAATGCAGGTTGTGATTATTGTTGCCGATGTAAACAAAGGCATGTAGCATTCATTTGTATGTGAAGAATTTTTGCTAGGAAGGTACCTAGCAAAAATGCTACAGGGAAAAAGTGTATAGGACAGTGTCTCTTAGTTTTCTCACCCTAGCGAGAGTGTTGGCTAGTTGTTAATGTTTGTGATTCATGATCAGAGGCTCAGAGGTTCGCATCCTGCTACTGGCCATATGCTGTGTCCTCGAGCAAGCCACTTTACTCACACTGGCCTCTCTCTACTGCCGGGACCTGGCATCTCATCCAGAGGGAAATCAGAAATGTCCTCAATTGTTTCATGGTATGGAATCCGGCTTTAAGGGCTCAGACCAGACTTAACCTACTCCTTTCCATTGCAGGCAATGTGCAACACTGGGTCAGCAGTCGTGATGATGCCGCGGACTGGGACACCTACTACCGTGCTTCCAAGCAATCCCAGGAGATAGAGATGACAGCCTACGCCCTGCTGGCTTTCATCCAGCATATGCCCCCAGAGGATGCTCGTGTCTTTGGTATTCCCATTGTTCGCTGGCTGGTGGACCAGCAATCCAGCCGTGGGGGGTTCTCCTCCACACAGGTGAGAGATGTTTTGCTGTGGGCAGGACCAGGATTATCATAAAGGGGGAGACTGAGCTGTTGATACTTAGTGTTGATTTTTGCATAAATGGAGCCAATTGAGGTTTTGCATCCACGTGACATTATCATGTGAACAGTGCAAGATCCGCCATTGTGGACGTCTAGCGTCCTCAATCAATCATACAGTACATGTCCATTGCATTATGCATAACGTGCATGTTTTGCAGTATTTGTCACTCTCAGTATTCAATTTTTCTCCCAACGCTCATTGGTTAACACCCCAAAATTCAACATAAACTGAAAGATGATGAAATAAGCCTTAATTTGGTATGTGTCTCAAACACCTTAGAGAGTTATGAGTATATTTTCCTGCATTTCGGAAGTTATCATATTTATCACTGGGGTCTATGGCAGTTTATTTACTAGTCTGCAATGGCAGCTAAAATGCTGTCAGTAAAAAGCGTGTATAATTTCACTCTGCAAAAGTACATATACACCCTTACTGGCTTTCGTTAATTATACTTCACATTTGTGATGAAATAGTGGCGGTACAGGTTCATGTATTATACATGAGGAAATTGAGTGATTCATTCAGAACTCGTCACAGAATAACATACATTCCTTCCAAACGTCTGCGCCCAGAACTCTTCTGAAAGTATTAAACAAAAAAGGAATCGGGCAATTTCTGGAAAAAGTTTAAGCCCCATTATCTTGATGATTTCATTTTTTTGAAGGATTCCTTTACAGCTTACAGACACTCTAGCTCAGAAAATATTGAAAGTGAAACTACAGGGAATCTAGTCTAGGCACAGTGGTGGATTTTGAGGATTCAGGAAAGTTTAAAGCAAAAATGAGCGAGCGACAGTTCGTGTTCACATGACATTCAAGACAAATTTATAAGAAAATTTAAAAGGGAATATTATATCCCCTTCTCTTTTACAGGACACGGTGATCGGCCTGCAAGCGCTGGCCGCCTACGCTGGTATCATCAATCAGGGACCAGTTAAGATGAGGGTGGAGGTGATGGAGCGCGGCCGCAAGGTGCGACAGCTTGAGCTTCTGGAGAGGAACAAGCTGGTCATGCAGGAGGTGGAACTGAACGTGCCCAACTTGTACACCCTCCGGGCCAGAGGGAAAGGATGTGGCTTGGTGCAGGTTAGTCATTGTAGAACTTGTGTCCTTGGGCAAGACACTTTGTCATGATAACTGCTTCTGCTACCCAGGAGTAGAATGTGTGCAGTGCCTGCGAGAGAAGGGGGGATATTTTTTTAATTTGCTGCTTTTGCCTGTAAAATGGCAGTAATAGGGCTGCATAACTCCCTATGGGAGCTGAGATGGTTGCTAGAATATTTATGGGCCCATGTAAGGCCAAAAAAAAAATAGTTCTGCTTCCGATTACATGCCTTTCAAAAATAGGGTCGGTCGGTCGGAAATTTTTTTTTTTGGCCAATTTTTGTTATGCACATTGAATGGGGTATTCAATTATATGCGAAGTTTTAGCCTGAACTATTTCTATTGCACTACGAAAGCTATACACGAAATGGCAACAAAAAGTGAGTAAAACCTACCTTTAATTATTGTCAATATATTTACGTTCGATAATTTCAAAAAATAATGGAAAATTCAGGCCGTTCGCACCATATGCACAACGTTAGTCAAGACACGGGGAGCTGGCCAAAACTCCGAGGTGTGTGATGCGAGCATGTGTGGCGAGCGGCCCACCATGGGCCGACAGACCTGTTTTTATGATCAACAATTTCGGGAAACACGCGGCATGTATCACTCCCAAATACGAGTAGTGCAATCTCAAAATGAACTCTTGAACACAGAAAATACATACACAGACAAGCTAGATCAAGCCTGTAAATTAACTTGCAAAATTGTTCTTTCTCCATCCGTGTTTTCTTGGCATTTTTACGATGTGGAATCCGACCAGTTGACAGTGGCCTGCACTGTACTGATAGCGCGCTTTCGGTCGCATCGCTATGGACTGGTTACCGCATTTTGATTATGTCTTCTAAATTGGCGCGGCGGGAACCAGTCGTCGCCATGTGATTATAGTCACCGTGACATCGAATTGCGAAGTAGTTATATCGTGAAGCGAATTTGTAATAACGGAGGTTTCTTTTGAAAAAAAGCAAATGTAAGTAAGAAAACAAATACAAGCATTTTTGGATGCAAAAGGGTTGTTGAGAGGTATTTTGTGAAGACAGAAAAGACAAGATTTTATTTTTATTTATTCAATTTTTTTTGTTTTTGTTTTTGTTTTTTTTGTGGAATTGCCGATAAAATTTTTAGGGTCGCAGCCTAAAAATAGGGTCGGTCGGGTAACCGGAAGCAGAACTATTCTTTTTTGGGGCCTAATCAGGGGTACTGATGATGTAGTGTCCTGAACACCATTGTTGGTTGATATGCGTGTTTTATGAATATTGTGTCTGCATCAACCCAAATCTGCATCTTATATATACTTTTCATTCAGTTTACTGTGTACTACAACATGCTACCCGTAACGCCGCCTGTGGCTCCATTCACTCTGACAAAGAGATCTAGAAATCTGGACAACGACTGCAAGAAATTTGAAATTAATTTGTGTGCAAGGTGAGTTTGACATGCAATAAAAAACAACATGTTTTGAAAACCCTTTTCTTCAGTTGTATATATTGCAGAGTGCAAAAGGATTTGTAATATACAAAAACAAGAAAAAACTTAATAAAATGAAATTGATTTGATTTTTAATGTTTGATTGTATCTGTTTGTAAAGCTACACCGGAACCGGTGGTGCCAACATGGTACTAGCCCAGGTGAAACTGGTGACTGGCTATGCCCCGGACCCTGCCTCCATCAATGACCTGAAATCCCAGACTAAGATGAGCCAACTGAAGCGTGTGGAGACGGACGGCAAGACCCTCAGCTTCTACATCGACAAGGTCGGTCGTTTGTTAAAGTGTAGAGTGTTTGGGTTCACGCAAAACATTAGCCCAGTAAAACAAAAGAAAAGACAACTTCCGTCAACTCTGAATACTCTGATGAATAAATAGATGTTACTTTTTCAGTTCTGACAATGTGCTATTCTGTATTTTCAAAATCGTCTCTCGGTCAATCATTTGGGTTTTTTTTTCAAAACAATAATTTCTTTGAATTTTACTTTTCGTATGCGCACATGCTTGCAGCCAGTCACGCGAGCCGCATGCAATGCGCCTATAACCACATCTTTCCTGTCACCAAGACTTGGCTTGCCTAGTGGAGGTAGACCTAAAAGTACGACAGCAGTTTAGGACATTATTAATACTACGTGACTCAGTCAGTCAGTCCGTCCATCAGTCAGCATTGCCTTTAAGAGTCTAACAGTTGTGATTGTATTTTTTACATCTTCAGAATCTGCTTTCTGAAATTGGCAGACTACCGTAAAACCAGGGAACTTGATGAGGACGCGATGTTTCATCCAGTTCACAGGACTAGATGTTTGATTCAAGCAGAATGTTTCTCTAAACAGTTTCTGTCAAATTGTTTTTCTCATGGGTTTGCCATTTCATTGATAAGATTTCTGCATTTAAATTAACATTTTTAAACAATTGTTTGTGTCGCTCAGGGCCTGGACGAAACACCAGTCTGCTGGGACTTTGTAGCCACCAAGGAATTCAACGTGAAGAACGCCAAACCAGGAACGCTGAACGTGTTTGACTACTATGAGAAAGGTGAATATGCTATACACACAGGCAAACGAGAAAGTTCGTATTTCTGTGACTAGAAAAAAGGCCTTTTCTCTTCTCTGTCCTGTCATTGCAGCAAGTAAAATACAAAAATCGCAGAACTCACGAAAAAAACCTACCTTTTTTTCTCAAGACTGTATGACCTTGCTGAAAATTCATGGACCAACTAGCAGGAAATACGACTTTCATGTGATATTAGGCAAAACTCAGTTGAGGATCAGACACAATCGGTTTGCACCAAACGATATCTTTTTCTGGTAACCTTTTCTTGTCACGTAAAAGCTTTTGATGCCAGCCAAATGAGTGTGTGCATTTCTTTGATTGGTTCTGGTCATTAAGGATCCATGTAACCCTCACCCTCACAGATCCTTCAAACTCTACCTGGGTTGGGTTTGGAGGAGTTTAGAGGATTGAGGAGATAGAGCGCATGCAGCTGGTTTAACCTAACACTGGGCTGCACATGGCCCTAAAAAAAGAATTAAAAAAATATTGAATCAGGTTTTTTTTTGCACGGTGTTACTTTTTTGAAGATTCAGAAAGATTTCTATATATAGTGAGTTATGAGTTCACGTGGTTTGAGAGGCATTTTCCCGTCAGTATATATTTTTTTTCATGAGGGAAAAGGAAATAAATTGCTCGTACAAATAAAATTCACCATCATCTTTCCAACAGATCTGGCCATCTCAGACTCGCTGGAGTTCATTTGCCAACCAATGGAAGAGGAGATGCCTGAGCCTGGCACACCAGGTGAATCCCCAATAGACCCCGACATCCCCCCACCACTCCAACCCGATGAAACCCCGCTAGACCCCGAAATATCCCCACCACTCCCAGATGAATCTCCACTAGACCCAGACTTTGGAGTCATCCCTCCGGGCCAACCAGACGAAATTGACCAACCAATTTCGCCGGGTAAACCGGCTGTAGATGTAGATGGGGATCCGATAGAAAAACCGGGTAAACCCGGAAAGCCAGTAGATGACCCATCTGCTAAACCAGAAAAGCCTCCCATTAAACCATTAGTTGATCCAAATGCTAAACCAGAGAAGCCTCCCACAAAGCCAGTAGTTGACCCAACTGTCAGCCCAGTTCAACCTACTACTAAACCAGTAGTTGACTCTTCCGCTAAACCAGATATGCAAACTGTTGATCCGTTAGTTGATCCGTCTGGTAAACCATATAAGCCTACTGTAGAGCCAGTAGTTGATCCAACTACTAACCCAGATAAGCCTACTAATATGCCAGTAGTTGATCAAACTGCTAAATCAGAAAAACCTAGTGTTTTACCAGAAGTTGATCCATCTGTTAAACCAGATAAACCCACCATTGAACCAGACGTTGAGCCTGCAACAAAACCAGAGAAGCCACCAGTTGTTCTGGAAGCGCCAACAGCGAAACCAGATAAACCAGTTGTTCCTGAAGAGCCAACAGCAAAACCAGACAAACCAGTTGTCCCAGACGTTGAGCCAACAGCAAAACCAGATAAACCAGCTGTTCCAAAAGAAGAGCCAACAGCAAAACCAGATAAATCAGTTGTTCCAGAAGAAGAACCAACAGCAAAACCAGATAAACCAGTTGTTCCTGAGGAAGAGCCAACAGCAAAACCAGATAAACCAGTTGTTCCAGAAGAAGAACCAACAGCAAAACCAGATAAACCAGTTGTTCCAGAAGAAGAGCCAACAGCAAAACCGGATAAACCAGTTGTTCCTGAGGAAGAGCCAACAGCAAAACCAGATAAACCAGTTGTTCCAGAAGAAGAACCAACAGCAAAACCAGATAAACCGGTTGTTATTGAAGAGCCAACAGCAAAACCAGATAAACCAGTTGTTATTGAAGAGCCAACAGCAAAACCAGATAAACCGGTTGTTATTGAAGAGCCAACAGCAAAACCAGATAAACCGGTTGTTATTGAAGAGCCAACTGCAAAACCAGATAAACCGGTTGTTATTGAAGAGCCAACAGCAAAACCAGATAAACCGGTTGTTCCTGAAGAGCCAACAGCAAAACCGGATAAACCAGTTGTTATTGAAGAGCCAACAGCAAAACCAGATAAACCAGATGTTCCTGAAGAGCCAACAGCAAAACCAGATAAGCCAGTTGTTCCAGAGGTTGAGCCAACAGCAAAACCAGATAAACCAGTTGTTATTGAAGAGCCAACAGCAAAACCGGATAAACCAGATGTTCCTGAAGAGCCAACAGCAAAACCAGATAAACCGGTTGTTATTGAAGAGCCAACAGCAAAACCAGATAAACCAGTTGTTCCTGAAGAAGAGCCAACAGCAAAACCGGATAAACCAGTTGTTCCTGAGGAAGAGCCAACAGCAAAACCAGATATACCAGTTGTTCCGGAAGAAGAGCCAACAGCACCACCAGATATACCAGTTGTTCCAGAAGAAGAGCCAACAGCACAGCCGGATAAACCAGTTGTTCCTGAAAAGCCAACTGCAAAACCAGATAAACCGGTTGTTATTGAAGAGCCAACAGCAAAACCAGATAAACCAGTTGTTATTGAAGAGCCAACAGCAAAACCAGATAAACCGGTTGTTATTGAAGAGCCAACAGCAAAACCAGATAAACCAGTTGTTATTGAAGAGCCAACAGCAAAACCAGATAAACCGGTTGTTATTGAAGAGCCAACTGCAAAACCAGATAAACCGGTTGTTATTGAAGAGCCAACAGCGAAACCAGATATACCAGTTGTTCCGGAAGAAGAGCCAACAGCACCACCAGATATACCAGTTGTTCCAGAAGAAGAGCCAACAGCACAGCCGGATAAACCAGTTGTTCCTGAAGAGCCAACAGCAAAACCTGATAAACCGGTTGTTATTGAAGAGCCAACAGCAAAACCAGATAAACCGGTTGTTATTGAAGAGCCAACAGCAAAACCAGATAAACCGGTTGTTCCTGAAGAGCCAACAGCAAAACCGGATAAACCAGTTGTTCCTGAGGAAGAGCCAACAGCAAAACCAGATATACCAGTTGTTCCGGAAGAAGAACCAACAGCACCACCAGATATACCAGTTGTTCCAGAAGAAGAGCCAACAGCACAGCCGGATAAACCAGTTGTTCCTGAAGAGCCAACAGCAAAACCAGATAAACCGGTTGTTATTGAAGAGCCAACAGCAAAACCAGATAAACCAGTTGTTATTGAAGAGCCAACAGCAAAACCGGATAAACCGGTTGTTATTGAAGAGCCAACAGCAAAACCAGATAAACCAGTTGTTATTGAAGAGCCAACAGCAAAACCAGATAAACCGGTTGTTATTGAAGAGCCAACTGCAAAACCAGATAAACCGGTTGTTATTGAAGAGCCAACAGCAAAACCGGATAAGCCAGTTGTTCCAGAAGAGCCAACAGCAAAACCGGATAAACCAGTTGTTCCCGAAGAGCCAACAGCAAAACCGGATAAACCCGTTGTTGCTGAAGAGCCAACAGCAAAACCAAGTGAACCTTCCACTGCAACCACAGATCAAACTGCAGGTTCTCCAGGTGAATAGTTTTCCTGTTGAATATTTAGATGACATTTTGAACAAGATTTTGTAGCTCAATTTATTTGGGCTTGAAGAATGACATATCGACAGTCAACCAAGTAGTTGATAGTAAAAGCTAAGTAATTAACTCATTAGTTTGTTAACAGTGAAACAAATCTTGAGCTAACCGCAACCAAAGTGTGTTGGTTAATCCTGTTTATGTGTGCATAAATCCTTTAACCGGGTGCCGCACTGGTTGAGCCAAGTAATTTCCAGTTTGATTTTTGTTGACAGAACCAACTCTGCCAGGTGATAACTTGTTTGTTTGGTTTCTTATTCCGAGTAGCGTTGACAACCAAAGCTACATTGCCAACAACAATACCAACAACAGTGCCAAGGACAGTGCCAATGACAATTCCAACCACTTCTCCAACACCTGTTGTCATCATAGGTAAATACAACAAAGTGTTCTAAGTTCAAAAAGCAAATGACACTATAGTGCAGTAGTCCAATGGTTACAGAATTCAACCCATGTGTGACAGTATGTGGGTTGTGGGCAAAACATTGTATTTTTCGATTGCCTCTCTCCACCCAGGAGTATAAATGGGTACCAATGAGGGTAGAGACCAAATTGCACTGATCTTGAGGTGCCGCAGGACAGTGGTTTTATGGCCTGAAGAAACGGGGGAATACTGTGAAGTGCTTCTTTTAAACTGTTACTATTAAGAGCTTATACTTGGGCTCTTAATTTTAAACATGCCATGGTTTGATTATGCAAATATGAACAATGAAAGCATGATAACTTCCGTTGTATAACATGTAGAAATTAAAAGAAATTGTATATAGCTTGTCATTTTAGTATTCCTTCTGTAAATCGCTTACTCATGTCAGTGAGTCATTTTTATTAAACCTTGGCCACCAAGCCTATTTAATTGTCCACTCTGACCACGCATTTTTCATTTATGTGCATTTGCCAGATACTATCTGCATCCTGTATCCCGACATCTGTGACTTTGGCGTATGTGTGGATGATGAGACTAGGCCTTCCTTCTATTATTGTGATTGTAACCCTGGGTTCACCGAAGTCAGCGGCCATTGTGTCCGTAAGTCTTCCCATTGCTGTCTTCCAAGAAAATTGTCTGTGCCAAGCTATTTTCACCTGACGACACTTAAAGGGAGCATGATATGAATTTAATGCTGAAACATATTGTGTGCAAATTCCCACTCCTCTGATTTGTATGAAAACTGCAAGACATCCCTTTATTTGGTGAAAATTGAGGGACATCACAATTTAGCTCATTAATATGGAAACTTGTATCAGCGTACAAATAAGAAAGCAACCCCCCCCCCCCCTTTGGCAATTTGAAGATTGAGCGCTTTACAGGCCTGTTCATCAGGCTATAAGACCAGTTATTGCAGCAACTCGCGATCAGTGCTTTCTAGTCTGTACCTTCTGAGGTACCCATTTATACTCATGGGTGGAGAGAGGCAATTGCAGTAAAGTGTCTTGCCCAAGCACACAGGCAACCATGTTCCCTGTCAGGGTTCGAACCAACGTACCACGATACGCGAGTCGAACACCGTAACCATTAGACCACAGTGCTCCACAAATGCAGAACCAGTGCTTTAAGCACTGGTTCTGCATGTCGTTTGGACTACAAAGTTTTCTCAGAAATGCAGACATATTTATTGCCAAAAATATGTATTTTTCCAACCTTTGATTGATGTCACAAATTACAAATTGAAAAAAAAAGTGTTGCTGGGTATCTCAATGAAATAGTCCCTAAGATGTTTCCCAATACAACTTCTTGATGACCCAGATTTTGCACATGGTGGCTTGAGTCCAGATTTATTCCAGAATACATTTTTGTCTCCACAGTTGCAACAACACTTCCACCTGCAACAACTACAACTGAAGTTATTATTGCAGGTAAGTCAGAATTTACCAAGACGTATGAAACATGCACAAAACTCAGTTGCCATCAACAGAATGTTGGCTTTGATTTAGAACTGGGGTGTGTTCCAGTCACGTAAATGCAAACATGACTAACTGAACGATAATGTCGTTTGAAAAAAAATTAAAAACTATTGTCAAAATGGCAGGGACCTATTTGCCAATCCTATAAATGTCACTCTTCTGGATAGTAGCTGAAAAAGCCTGAACAAATTTATTGTGACTGGGAGAGAAATGTTGCCAGTAAGATGCGACTTACTGTGGATGTGGTAAAAACTGAAAATGCCAGTAACAACACGATTGTTACATTCATTGCCTTGTGTGTGGGGGCCACTGCTGAACACATAGCAAAAGACTCGGGAAGACTATTTGCATTGGTGGAAACAGTAGAAAATAATTCTGAATACAGTGCATGTATTGTTTTCATGCTTTTTACTCTTGGCATCTGGTTCAGACCTTTGGTTTGAGCAGTGGCAAAATAAAGCTTATTGTTTCCATGGTGTTGGCACAGATACCTATTGCAACTTGTACCCTGAGGTGTGCGGTGACGGTGTCTGTGTGGACGACGAAAGCCTGCCCTCAACCTACCGATGCGATTGTGAGCTTGGCTATGAGGAGGTTGAAGGAACATGCGCAGGTGAGTCACAAGGCGAAAAAAAAGTTCCAACTATTGCAAAAATGGAAACATTAGGATTGCTCAAGATTTAAGAAACTTCCCAAACACCTCATGAAGATGTTATTTCCGAAACGTGATATACGCTGTTTTGTCTCCTGTTTTGTTCCCTGTTTTGTTCCCTGTTTTGTTCCCTGTTTAATAGAATCCTACTCTCTCATGGCTGCCCAAAAGCAATTTTGATGGCTGTTATTACTTAAAACACAACAAGGCAAAAACTGAAGTTTAGAAATGGCTGTGGTACCTGGTACTGTTTTTATTCTTTAAAGTTTAAAAACCGTGCAAAATAGTCGACTTTTTCAAATGGATGTGTTGTGTTTTAGAAATAAACTCTTCACATGTTTTCAGTCTTTGATTTGGCCCATCAACAGACCAAATTTTTGGCGATCAATTGCAGCCATAATTCATGTCGTCCATGCGTGCAGGAAAGTATGACATGCGTGCATGTAAGTGTAACGCGTGCAGCTGGAACAAGCAGGTCGGCATTGGAGATGTGTACGTGTTGTTGCCTACGTGTGCAGTGGGAGGGGCTTAATGGATCGGTCCATTGTTCTTGAAAGGGGTTAAGCCTACAGTTGCCAATACCAAAACTTATTAAATTGATTTGAAAAATGTATTCAGTGAAACAGTTTGCACTGTGATTGAGAATTAATTACTGCAGAAACTGTCTCACAGTGTGGCACAGCACTAATCAAGGCATGCTGTCAATTCTATCACGAAGGCCCCCTTCAATGGCGAAAGCATTGTGCTAGCTAGTGTACAGATATTCCATGACAGGGCAGTTACTTTGTACAACAGTGTGTGCAATGGTTTCTCCATTGAAGGCGACATCTTGAGTGTACAGTGATCACGAGTCTGGATTCTCCAATACCTTCACTGGCAACTTTTTTGTAGAAGGGTCTATATACTTGCTTACTTTATATGTGACTTAAATACTGCATATGCTTCTGGTAAAGAAGTCAATATTACCTGTTATGAAAGAAAATTTCATTTGCACCGAAAAAAAATGTCATTTTTTTAAGGGGCGGGGAAGGAGGAGAGGAAGGGGTTTGATATTTTTACATGAGGAGTAAAGGTAACATTTGTCTTTCTGTGGCATATTCAGATGTTGATGAGTGCACTTTTGAGGAGAGTTGCCCGGGTCTCAACAGTGTGTGCACAAACTTTCCCGGCACGTACGAGTGCAACTGTGAGGAGGGCCATCAAGAGGACAGCGAGGGCAACTGCTTCGGTAAGAAAGGCACCTGATTGGCTCATTTTTGTCAAAACCAACGTTTTGATTGATTGGTTGAGACCAGGCCCGGATTATATAATAGGCACAGTAGGCACTGAGCCTAAGGCATCTGAAAAATTCAGGGTGCCTATGTATGTACAACACTGCCTTAAACCATACGCATCCACACACAAGAAATTGATTTTTTTTTTTTTTAAGTTTTAGCGTCTCTCTCTGAATTTTTGATTTCATCAACTGACACTGATGTAGCTGCATGCACATGCAAGTATGGAATTTACGTGGACTAAAAGTTTGTCGTTCTGAAGCAGATGGTGCCAAAAGGCTTTTTGAGCTACAGTTTAGCTGGGCTTGCTTAGTACAGCTTAGCATCAACATGAAATGCGAGGCTCCAGTGCTAACCAGAGCTATGAAATAGGTGCTGGTGCCAAGGGCAGAGTAAGGCCGAGGAACACTGGTGCCAAGGGCCTATGGAACACTTGATCCAGAGACCATTCGATCATACGCTACAGGTTTGAGCACATTTTGAAAAACATAAACGTCGAGCGTACTTTGCGCGGTGTGCGTGCAAACCACGGCGCCACTACGCCCGTGCAGTGTGTCCCCAATGTGGCTCTCGAAAAGTGATCACGTAGTACAATCTACGGTTAATGCATGAAGTCCATATTGTTTGACTAAACGTCTGTTGAACCCATGCTTGTTAACCACAGTTTAACTAGCCTAGTTCCAAATTTGGCTCCACCCTACCGAGGTTATTTACACCACTGTTTACTATGAACCAAGCACATAATGTACAGCAGAGAGCCAGGACAGGGAATTGTTCCACCATCACGTTCTGACCATTATTTTGCTAGGAAACGTCTTCTGTCTTTCTTATTTTGCTAGAAAACGTTTTGCATGTTGCTATTAGTGCATAGAAGTAAAGTTATGTCATGAATCAACTAGTTCACAAATAACTAGTTAAAGCTATAGTCCATCATTTGCAGCCATCCGAAAAGTAACTGGCGTAATTATTGTTGAAAAACATACTTAGTTGAAAGATAGTAAGGGAACTAAACTCCCTGTGAAATTATTCTTTCTGGGAAGCTGTCATTTTGAAGTAATCAACGAAAGAAGGCATTTCCAACGGTGATTCTTAAGAAGCACCGTAGGAAAATTTAAATTAGTAGTTCGTTTTGTTATTCAGCGCAGCGCGCGCAAGTATTGGAACGACGCACACGCGCGCGTTTGTTATAATTCGTCGGATCAGTGCGCGACGTCGCGTATAACTGCAATTCAAAACATGATTCAGTAACTTTTGATTTGAAATTGAGATCTTAGAATGCTGGTTTTTCTCGGAATGTACAGCTGAAGCTTAGCTGAAACTTTATCAGGTTAGTTGCTTAGTATCCTTTATTAGATTTTGAACTCTTTAGTTGCTTCAAACGAACAAAATGCACAAATTACAAATGATGGACTATAGCTTTAACCAATGGTCCTCGATAGAATGTTCTCACAGATTTCCATCTTTCTTGTACATGTACTCTAGCATGTCCCATATGCAGTGACACTCTCCCCAGCGGGTTTGAGGAAAAGTTCTGTGCTTCGGACTACGGTGAGTGATTATTGAAAATTGCTGGAAATGCCATCAAGAGATCAGCTTTTGAAGTGACCACTTTTGGCGAGGGGTACTTTCGGGTTTTTAAAAGCATAAATGCATTAAAGAGGTTGTGGAATGCTCGAAGACATTTCCGTCATTTTTCGGGTATATGTAGCCTAAGGTGTGATGAAATAAAAACGACTATTGTTTCTGTCATAAAATGAGTACAAAAGGTACTTTTGAGAGCTGTTTTTGAAGTCCTGTCATGCCTGTTTCGACCCGAACGTGCAATTTGTGTAAAAGTCTTTGTTGCGGGCAGCAAACAAAACACAGTAAATCGTGACGTAATAAACAGGACTCCCGATGTAGAGTAGCATAAACGAGTCCTGTTTATTACGTCACGATTTACTGTGTTTTGTTTGCTGCCCGCAACAAAGACTTTTACACAAATTGCATGTTCGGGTCGAAACAGGTCCTGAAAAATAGCTCTCAAAAGTACCCTTTGTACTCATTTCATGACAGAAACAATAGTCGTTTTTATTTCATCACACCTTAGGCTACATATACCCGAAAAATGACGGAAATGTCTTCGAGCATTCCACAACCTCTTTAAAGAACTATTTGACAATTAGTTGAAAAGATCTTTATAATGTAGAGCATAAACATTCTCACAACTATCCCATCAAAACTTTTGGAGGAACAAAATTGTGTAAACACGTATTTATGTTGCAAAAAGTTACTGCTGCATCAGATGTACAGGGTTTTCAATGTTTTCTCTGCAAATGCAAGACACATTGTGGATTTTCTGTGACCCAAACATATGAAATATTGGCTTTTTATCCCATCTTTTTGTCATGCCGTTAAATAACGTGGTCAGCTGGGATGAGGATTGTCAGTTGGTCGTTCTCGTTTTATTTCTTTATTAATTGTTCTTGAGATGACTCGTTTTTATTATTAACTTATTGGTGTCAAGGCCTTGTCTTTGTTTGTATCTTTATCTTGATGTATTTTTTTTTTGTAATGTCAAGGCCCCAATTGAGTAGCTTCTGCTGGATGGGTTAACCCCATTTAAGATGGTTTTAAATAAATAAATAACTGGAAATTTATTTTTAACCCAGATTTGTTGTGTTGTAGAAATGAAAGAAATTGTTTCTGTATGCTGTGAGATACAAATGGTCCTGAAAACATTTAAAGTCGTTGACAACATGAATAAAATATCCACAGAGGGGCAATTTTTTTTTTATAAATACCACCTCTAATTTGTTTATGGGAGTTGAATGACATTATGTTGCTGTAACCTTTTGGTTTTTTGTTTGTTTTTGTTTTTGCCGTCGCAGTCTTTGGTGCCAAGAAGAGAGGTGACGGTACGCTTCGTATCCTGCTTGACCTGAGGATGGCAGAGAACAAAGTGTCCGAAACACGTTACATCAAACCGACAGTGAACCCACAATGCATCTGCGATGAACTTACATACGGTTGGTCACATGACGCGGGGCTCTAAGATGGCCTGGCGTGCCTTTTAAAAAAATTGATTTCAAAATTGTGACAAAAAAGTTTCTATTGAAGATGTAGGTTTGGTTTATTTCCGTGTTATTGCTCAAGGGCTGAATCACATTTGTAGTTAACCAAAGAATGATAAATGCAAAATAATAACTTGCATCCAAGTTCTAAACTTGAAGTCGTCATCAATGGTGTGGTAAAGTCCATCACAAGTCCAGTCACAAGTAACAGTGGATGAACAATAACAAAGGAATGCCTTTGTCAAAGCTCATTTGAATAGCTTGTGAGTTGATATGAGTCTGGGGGGGACTCGTGATGGACTTGCAGGGACTTGACGGGACTTGTGATAGGCTTGACTGCAGCACTGATTGTTCTGAGAAAGTGTGTTTTTTGCGGTATAAACCTACTTGTGTTCAAGAACATTCTATAATGTGTGCCTTGTACGGCTCACAAACCTTCCTTTTACAATATGCCACTGGTTTACTAAAGTATGGTATTCAAGAAAGCTTCATTGCCTAATATGCTCTCAAGCTTTAGTGAAGGTATCTATTTTTCCATTCTCTGCGTCTACCGGGCAGCACTCCTCATATTCCCAAAAGCAGATCACAATCAAGTCTGATTAAAACTCAAAGAGTATTTCTATCGATGTTCTCTTCCCATCTTTTCATGTCTTAACAGGAGATCGAGTCTTGATCATAACATCCATGGACAAGGTGGCGATTGAGACAATGCGAAGGAGGACGATGGAGACCGTAGACCTGGGCGGGGCTTATATCGTCCCACTCAAGGGGAGTACCAAGGGCCAGTTGGTAGATGCCCGCACGTCCAGCTGCCCTTAAAACAACAAGTACAGATGAAACACTTCCGACCTCTTCTCAGTTAACACGACGATGTTTTTTTTTTTCATGTGTATCAGCATCATTTTATAAGTAGATTTAAAGAACTCATGATTGAGAATTGTTTTTCTTGCCATTTCTGACATAGACACCGGTTTGTTCTTTGTTGTAAAAGAGCATGTGAACTGCAAAGTTCTTCATGAAATCACTTGATGTTTATGCTTTTGCTTCTTCACATGAAATAGTCAGAACTTGCCTTGATGTGAAAAACTAAGTTTGAATTGCCGTCAAAGTACACCGTTGTTATATTTACATATTAACATTTTAAGTATTCACCTCAATTTGTTTTTACCTACATTCGCGAAAAAAAAAAGCTTTTTAAACGATTGCATACAAATACATATATGGTAAAAGCTTGGACAGCTCGTAATGGTTTCAAATAAAAAAAAATTGCCAAACAATGGTGCTAATATATCCTGTAGAAATTAATGTTTTTATTCCTGATTTTATAGATGTAGAAAAGCATGTAGCATTAACGGACTAGTGTTTTTTTGGTCTTGTTACATTTTTAAAAGTTTTGTGTCCGCAGCTGTTTTGAGAGTATCTACCAACTTGCAGCTTTGAAAGGTTTAATCATGTGTAACCAAATTTGTAAAGAGAATTTCCAGGCGATTTCGTCTTGAGAATGATAATATTTCAAAGACGTACAAACAATTTGATACTTCAGCTGATAACTAGGATATCGTTACACCACATTATGTTCATGTAGTTTTGGGAGTTTTTTAAACAGTTAACAATGTTATTTTTTGTGCATGTGATTTACTTATAGTTTTTTTTTATATATAAAATAGCAATTGTGGATTTGTGCCAATTTGTAACTTAGATGTAGTTAAGATTCGTATGAATCCTCGGTTGTTTTTGTTTACTTAAGAAGGCCTCTTGTCAAAGGAAAATTCAGCTAGAAACAACAAATAAAGTAAACGATTTCAATCAATAGAAAACTTGTGGTTTTCCTTTATTTATTATCAAAAGTTTATGTCATTAAAATAATCCCTTTTCCTGGACAAACCAAAGTGTAGAAAGAAAATGATTTCTCTTTTTTATATAATCAACTTTTTTTCTGTGCACCGCTTGATTCCATTAAACACAAGAGAAAAAAATCACCATTTCATTTCGAGAAATGGATATTAAAATGTTTGCCATTGGGATCCTTTTTGGCTTATAATATTCTACAAACTGAGAAATTCCTCGGTGTCTGAGCACAGAGAACATGGGAATTAACTTATCGCGGTAGAATCAAGTCAACTATGAAATATTGTCCAGTTACATGATATACAAATGGAGGCGGAACACACAAAAACAGAGACGGACAAAACTTAACGTAAAATTTCACTGTGATCTTTCAGCAGGGTAAAAAGAATGAGGTATTGCAAGTATGGCTTTCACAATTCCTTTTCTGAAATTATTTAAAAAAAAACCCTGTTTTAGTAATCAAAATGTCAAGATTGATTTCTTGTCAAACAAGCAAAATACAGTAAACTCCGGCTAAGTCGGCACTCTTGGGACCCCAGAATTTGTGACGGCTTGCGCGAATGCCGACATCTGCTGCAAGTCGTCATTTTGCTGACTTCATTGAATGGTCTTTTGCACACATGACTCATTGCACTAATTGGCTTCGATTTACCCTGGATTTAATGCTTGGGTTGAATCCAGCAAATTAATCCTCAAATTTCATCATGTTTGGGGTATTGATAGTGGAGACCATGATACATATGTACGTGCACAGTAACCAATCAAATGCGTGCGTGGTGCGGTAGATACGTACGCACGCACTGACTGCAGCACGCAGTAGTCATTCAATAAGACGACCCCTAAAATGGACAGAGCGCATGCGTACAGCCGAGAGGGGTTACTGATTGATATGCTCACGATGCATATGCGGTGTATGCAGTAGGACACCCTTTTTCGACACCGATGCATGCAGCGATCACGGGCCGTGCGAAACCACTTTTCACTCGACACTTTGCCAACCGCAGTACAGGAAGTCGATGCCAATGCGTGATTTGTTGAATGCCGACTTTAATACACAAAGGATTTTGTAATGCTTTTTATGGAAAGGGGACCGAGAGTAACACGATGACTTGAGCAAAATGGTGACTTATAAAAGCCGACTTAGAAATAAAAAATTCGATGGAAATGCATTATGGACAATCGGGACTTTAGTCAGACGGCCGACTTGAGCGATTTGACGAGTTGTACGATGTCGGTTTAGCCGGAGTTTACTAGCTAAAAAGAAGAAGCCAAACAGTGGCCAAAATAAAAAGAAATCTAAAAATTCAAAAGGAAAATCTGTGCTTTGCCAATACATGTACAAAATAAGGGACCTGTTCCATGAGATGCCCTGGAAACGATGTAATATCCAGACGCCACTTCAGTGATTGTGTACCAAGTCTACGGAGAGTTAAGAACATTTTCAAAGCATTTCCTAACAACATTGCAAATGTTTCTCGTCCCAGATTCATGTCTTTTTAACATTTTTGCAATGATGTGACATTCATTGAGATATGTGAGGAAAAAAAAGTGGCGCCTGGAATGGATGCAACATTCTTTCTGAAGGCAACCCCCCTTGTTACTTTTCTCAGAGTTAGTTACATGTAGCTGTGATAAAATAAACAAAAATTGTATGTTACAATGCCATAGACTGTTTTAGGGATACCGATCAGGATATAATGGCATGACAGGGATGTGTTTCTATTGCATAAGCCCCCTGAGATTACTATGTGACCACAGGGAAGTCAGTATCCATGAAACAGTCTATCTCTCAATGTGGCATTCCTTATATCTAACTGACGTAACTAACTGCACAGCAGCAAAGATCACAAATTTTGTTTATTTTTTTTTTTGGGGGGGGGATGTAAAAGCCATTTCTAAGAATACCACTCTGCACTCTCTTTTCCCCCTAAATTAACTGTATTTTGCAATGATCCATACAAGTAAAGAAATCTGGATATTATACATTTCAGCTCTAACAACGAATATTGGTTAACTGAAATGCTTTTGGAAACCTGTTGGTTCTTTTCAAGGCCCTTCTAGATCCACTCTGATCCAGAACCAGCTAGACTACACAGGAACAGTCAACACAACAGATGCTTGAAAACGTCATCTGGTTCCCCCCCACATCACTTCAATACGTTCTCTTCTGGGTGCTGATATATAATACTGCAAAACCAAAATCAGGAGAGAAGTTTGTTAAGTTTGGGTTTAATTTATTCTACAAAAAAAAAAAGACAGACACAACACATTGGTTTTACACAGAAGCTACAAAAACATCTTTAACCTTCCCAACTCTATCAAAATCCATCCCTTCATTTTTAAGAGATTTTGGCAGATAAGCATGTACAACAAAATCTTATTTGAGCTTCCTAACTAAAAACCCTATTATTGCAAATAACATGTATCTAATTAGCTGAAACCGAGTCACAACATGTGTGTATATCAGTGCATTCTGGAACTCTGCTTGTTAGAAACAGCCTATCATTTGTGCATACCATTGTTTCCCCTGATGAATGCGTCTCCGTATTTGTTCTTCAGTTGGCCGTTGACATATTCCTCCGTTTGCTCCAAGGCAATATTCATGTAGCCATCAAGGCAGGCAAGCACTCCTGTATAAAAGGAAACAAAATTAGTTCACACATTCAGAAATTTGCTGAAATTTGTTTGAATGATCACGGTTTGAAATATGCTGTCTGGTCCAGTGGTGGATTTTGTAGGATTGAGGAAGGTTCTCTGCAAACAAGGCAAGTCTAGTAGAACTGCTCCCAGAGTGCACAAAATTATATTCCATTGATTCAGAATGGATAGTCACTGGAAATGTTTTCATACATTGGGTGTAGTCGTAAAATTTAGGATTCAATTAAATACTGTGTATGAGAGTCCTAACAGTTAACGGCAGTAAAAACATGCAATACAACAAAACAGACTGGCACATGAAACAACCAGTCCAACATCCTTTTATACTAAAAGTTTTCTTCTTCTTCATTCATTCGCTTTCATGATGACTTGATGAGTTGCATCTGGTGTTCAGTCTTTATTTCTACAAATTTCAAAGTCATACCACAGGACTACTGAAGGGTCAATCTTTTCAAACAGTTGGACATATACAAGTCGTCTTAAGCTTCAAATTGAAATCACTTGGCTTGACGCTCAGGTGCAAAATGTTAAAGAAAAGCCTCCTTTAAAAATTGAATTGAGACTTGAAACTTGGCTGGTGAAATACTGAGGACCTTGTCTTTGCCTCATAAAAATTAATTTTGGAGAATTTTGTCGGCTCAAGAGTGAGTCAAGTTGGCCTGAATTAGTTCTGCATGTTTTTCTGCACTCAAGGGGCCAGTCTGGGGTAATTCCATTTCAAACTTGTTAGCCAATGTGGAACTTAAGCAAGTCTTATTCACAAGGGACCATGGTGTCAGTCAGTCGGGTGCAAAGAGGGCTATGGGCTGGGGCCAATTTCACGGCGCTGCTAAGCACCAAAATTTGCTTAGCACCCAAAAAAAAGTCTGGCCTTTAAAAGAAGGTTACCAGCTAAAACTCCATGTGATGTATACTGCTCATGATTAGTATTCAGCTGTTGTTTGCCTTAGCATGAAAATCACATGGAGTTTTGGCTGGTAACCTGCTTTATAAGCCAGACCTTTTTGTGCTAAGCAATTTTTGTGCTGAGCAGTGCCGTGAAATTGGTCCCTGGTCTCTCGGGGACCAGCAAATGTACCTTTAGGAGTTTTGGGAAATGAAATTCTTACCTCTGTAATCAACTCCCGAGTTGAGTTTCACGACAACTGGTCTGCCAATGATCTGCTTTAGGAAGTCACTCGGTGTCTGTTTGCGACTCATTGTTTTCAGGTGTTTGGAAGAAACAAAGATTTCCACAATTTGACACAAACCCTAGGTAAATGATTGGAAAGAGACAAGATTTACAATGGTTGTCTAGCCTCTAGTCCCAGTAACTTGGACACTACAAATCGCCTTTTTGAACATTTCGGACATGGTCTGGGGATAGATTATCAGACATGGGCATCTGGAAATAGTGGAAGAGACCCAACCATGTCCACAGAATTACTAAATACACCACCTGAGACACAAGTAGAGATTGATGATTAAGATAGACTAAGAGGTAGGCCTACTTAAGGTTTACTTACAGTTACAGGGATATTGTTAAAGGGAATGTACAACATTTGCTTTTGCTGCAATTTTCAGAAATAAATGGATTTGGAGGATTAGTATGTTATAGCAAATATTGTGAAACTGACATGTTTCACGTTTGGGGCTTGTAGATGCTGGAAAACCAAGAAAACCAATCATGTTCTTGTAGTCTGGTTCCCTGACCCCACTTAAGATGAAACGCAGAATGTATAGACTTTGGAGAATTGTTAGGTCAAAGAATCAGCCTAGCAGGCTTGTACCCCTTCACAGGTGTGTAATCAATTGCAAAGAAAATGCAGAATAACTAAATATGAAAAATTAGGAACAGTTTTTGAAAAAAAGCCAGTTTTCTCCAAGTTCCAACGCTGGTTGGCCGACCAGCGTTGGAAAAATAGTTTTTCTTGAAAATGTCAGCATGCCACAAGGAGCCACGATTTTACATGACGCTTTAGACTGTCATTTCCTAATAGTTCAGTAAGGTATTTCGTGATAATTTGATCATTTCATTTTTTGATGTTTGCGAATGTTGTATCTTCCCTTTAAAGTCATCATGTAATAATATTGGGAGGCTAATCATCCTTCATTGTCCTTACTCGCAGCTGGTATGCTGAATTGCGAAGGACGCGGCTACATTACGTGGTTGGGCCGCTGGCACGTAAAGGCGCCTATGGCTGCCGGCCACATCGACCCATATAGGGCCTATGACCATGGAGCACAGCCTGAGAATTGAGATTGGAAAACCGGAGGGCCTGGCAATGCCTGGCATGCCTGGAGAAAAACCCTCATGGCACAGCAGGAGAGAACAAACGCACAACTCTACTCACATTTGATCCGCAGCCAGGATTTGAACCGTGGTCACCTTGGTGAGAGGCGAGCGCTTAATTACGCACAAGCCACCCAATATTATAATGCTTCCCACATCATGTCATTGCGTCACATTGTCATTGTCTAGACATTGTCATTTTTGTGTGTGGGACAGGGAGAAATGTGTGGGGCACTTGTGAAGGAAGGCCTGCACAGAAATTCCGATTTATTTCCCCAAAATGTCCGGTAATCCTTACTTTTAGGACACCTCTATTTTGTACGAGTTCTGTTCAAAACTGACTTTTGCAGATGACTGTCCAGTACCAAAGTGACTTTTGCAGGCTAAAGAAGTCTTTTTTCTTCAGACAAACTCATGTTAGTTATAATTTTGAAAGCACTTTCAAAGAAAATGTAACTTTCCTACCTTTTTTTGCAGTTCGCCATCTTGCTTTTTAAATTTATTTTCTGTTTGTCATCGTCGTCTTTAACCCCTCATAAATCAAAACCCTGCCCTCTTTCTACAAAATTAAACCTGCTGATATTCAAGAGGTGTCATTGCCAAATGTTCAAATGTGTCAATAAATATCAGAATGTCACTTTTGAGTGTCATAGTCAGCTGTTTTGGTGAGTCTTTTAACCTTATATAGGAAAGGGGTCCTAAAAGTAAGGATTACCAAATGTCCCTTAACGCAACGCAACATGTACCTTCCATGCTCATTAAAGAATTATATACAAGTTAATCATAAAATGTACACGGACTGCTGAAAAAAAATGCTTAAATTGTGTAAAAAGTCAAATGAAGCTGGCCCTACCGTACCTTCACTCCGTTTTCCTCAACCTATTGAGGGCGCTGTACAATTTTTACGCTAAAAATTATTTGCATTTTTTTAAAGTCATCTTGAAGGAAGGGAACATCAACAGAGGGCTCACTTTCATTAAGCTTCCTTTAAGTCACATGTTAAATTTTGGCCAATGGTGATGAGTTTTTGGCCTTACCTCGCTAAACGGACCAATCGGAGGAAGCGCTGCAAGCGGCTGGTTCAAATGGTAAAATTGCAATTTAATTTGGCGATCACATTGCGAGACCGACCACAAGAAAGCATACCAGGCACAGCTAGTTGTTGTGAAGATTCAGAATTTTCCCAGAAATTTGCCATACCGAAACTATGTCGGCGGCCAAAGATATTTATTATTCTGACAAGTATTTCGATGAAACGTTTGAGTATAGGTGAGTAAATAAGAGTTTATTCTTTCCTCCAAAAAATTGATTTAAAAATATGCTGTCCCATCGATCCTTATTTAATTTTTGAAATTGTGTGGGGCCCTGGGGGTGAGTGTATTTTTGCAAAATATCAATCATGAACAATTAATTTAGGCCTTAACTGCTAAATTACTCTTTCATCGTGTTCTGCATGTTCATGTCTTTCATGTCTTTTTTTAGTTTCACTGTTCACGTGTAAATTAAATCATGGTCTTCTCTCTTTGTCATGTCTGTGATTTTGTGAACTAGGCAGTCGTCATGGCAGTAGCAATGTGGATTTTACAATTTGACAAAATATGCCTAGCCTACAGGCTACACATTTTTACATAGGCCTAATTTAAACAAAACTTGGAAAGATTCCCATATCTGGCCATCACTTATTTTTCCCTTAAATGACCTATCAGCCATCAGAAAGTGATAATATGTCCTAGTAAAAAGTCAAAATTAGCAGTGACAAATTTTGAATTTTTACTGAGAAAACACTTAGAAATTTTCAGACCAGTCCCATCAGCCCATACTGCCATAGGGTTTGTGCACAGGGTGAAAAATGATGGCCAGATATGGGAATCTTTCCCAAAACTTTTCGGAGTTAACCATGTTTAATTAATGTTATTGTTAACTAATTTTTTTTTTTTATCAAACAAATTTGTTACATTTTATAAGTTACCTACATTTTTAAACAAGCTTTTTCGTATATTCTTTTCAGTATTGTGCAGTGAAACTGCCTGTAACTTTTTGGAAAAAATGTTGCAACCTGACGCCGCTTTTTCTTCATAATCATATAACCTGGAAAATGACGCACTATGGGGAACTCGCAAAAACTAAAGACTCTATGGAGATTAACTAACCAAACTAAATTAAACTCGGGATCTTTGAAAGGAACGGTCGCGAGGAAATTGAATTAATAATAGAGACACAGACACAAATTCTAGATTTCAAACCAAAAAAACACAAAAATGATTTATTTACAAGAACTTCAAAAGAAAAGCAAAATGACCAAATAATACTAAAGCCAAAACCATGAAAATCAAGACTAAAACCATAAAACTAAAACCAAAAATCAAGAAACTGAAGACTTAACATGCTTAAAACTAAAAACCTGAAACCAATACAGTGTGTAATAACTTAAGTGGACTTTACAATACAAATCAATGACTCTAACAACAGACTAACTTCAAGCAGAATGACACCACTCAAGTCAGGAGGAACTTGAGCTTATATTTTATAATGAAAAAGACTGAACTGCACGCTGCTGGTCTGAATTGTGGCTCGACCATGTGGCAGCTTATAATATAGTGGGAACATGTGGGCTAAAATAAACAAACAGGGGGCACACTACCAACAAGGAGGGGGGGGGGATCTTAAGTAAAACTAAAATGATTTTCTTTTCTAAGGGGTCTACTCCTAATACTTTACAATGAATACTTACACCTAAAGCTTGGCCCTGCTACAGTCTCGATGAAGGTCATTCATCATGTTCATTGCAAAAATGATAAGACATTTTACTTTTTAGGAGTGCAAACATCCTTTGATAATACTTTAACTTTCTCTGTCATAGCCCATAGACTTTGTGGAGGAGGTCTGAGTGGTGGCTTTGAAGTTGTAACTTGTATGGAATTCTTTTCAACTGTTCTTGACTCTCCATAGACTTTGTACACAATTGCAGAAGTGGCGTCAGGTTGCAATATTTTTCCAACTTTTTCCTCGCATCCACTGATTTCCTTGTTTTTTACTTCTCATCAATGCCATTACAAACTGAAAACACTGTACAAAAAAAGTTGTGTGTGGTTTGGAATTTCCTTTTTTCCCCTAAATTCTCAGCTGCATGCCTGATATACTGGAGGTTCCTTAAAATTCAAAGTCCCCCCCACCCAAAAAAGGGGGTTTATTGACTGGTTTGCACTTCCTACATTCTGAGCGAGAGGCATGATGGAAATACCTGGAGCTAGTCTAATTCAAATCCCAGCTTTATACATCCCCCCCCCCCCATTTTGGGTCAAATTTCATAAGGAGCTGGGATTTCCCAAGCTATTCCTATGAGGTTTTCTCATAATGGCCAAGAAGAATTTAGGCCATTGGGAAGGGAAAAGGCATAGTCTTTTGTAGCTACTGATGTAATGTAAAATCACAACAACTTTGACTTAAAGTGTCCATGAAATAAAGTTTTCTTAGTAACATATTTTGTGCGACTTTCTGCTCCTCTTATGCTTAAAATGTATGAAAAAAATTTGACATCCTTTTTTGGTTAATTTTATTGAAAAGTGCACTTCTATAAACATTTAAATGTTCCATGCTTTTCTGGACAACTAAAAATGCTGTTTTCAGAAAGACACTGTTCAGTTTATGAGGCTTTTCTGTTCAATTTGTGAACCCAAAGATTTGTTTATTATTTGTGAGAAGTTTGCTTTATCGGCTTAATACTGCCATTTAGTGACACAATGACAATTCACCAAAGAATGGAACATTTACGACAGAAATATCAAACATTCTGGCAACTTTTGGTGCTGAAATAGCCTTGACAAATTGACATTGAGCTTTCTGCCTGAAATGACATCACACTGTTGCTCATGAATATGGAAATTGGTATTAGCATAAAAATCAACCCCAAAGGCACCAAAATACCCTTGAAAATGGCAAAACAAAAATTGAAAATAAGGTTAAATGGGACACAAAGGTGCATTTCCCAGGAATGCATTAAAATAAATTAAGCAATATCTGCGACAGATAGATGACGTTTAGTCTTCATACCAATGATAGTACATGTACACATAAACCACACATCTGAATTGAAGTAATGAAGTGGCATCGGAGATTCAGAGTGCTTGCCATGTACAGGTAAATGCGTAGTCTTTCCTACAGTGGGAGGCGGTAGAAATCAGTCGTAGTTTCCTTGTTTGTAATGTCTTTCTTTCTTATCACCAGGCATGTCATGCTGCCCAAGTCGATAGCCAAGATGGTCCGTAAGGGTCACCTGATGACTGAATCAGAATGGCGGGGTATTGGAGTACAACAGAGCCAAGGATGGGTGCACTACATGGCCCACGAACCAGGTAAGTCATTCATAGAAAAACCCAGCTGTACTGTGATAATCGTTTGTTGTCTTGTCTACTACAGAGCTCATATTTATCAACCAATGGAATTTTTGTGGGGGGAGGGAGCCTTGAATCACAGAACACTATTTTCAGTTGAAAACAAAATATGGATGACCTGATTGTTTTGAAACCAGCATGATTCATTCTGCACTGATTTTGAGCACACGTAGTTGGCGTGCAGTAGACAACTTGCCCTCCCACTTTCAACCCCACTATAGACTCATTGCACTCGGAAGTAGGGCTGTCACAAAATACTGAATAATAAGTCAAATACTCAATCATCAGTCCTTCTGATTTGAAAATCACAGGTGTGTGGAAAAAGGCACACCTGGACTTTTCCAGGCGTGTGGTTTTTCTAGGTGTGTGATTTTATAGGTGTGTGATCTGTGGTCCAGGGAAATTCAGGCGTGCAATTATTCACACTTCTCAGGAAGCTTTTAGGCGTGCTATGGCATGGGGGTGTGATCGCACGCCTCAAATCAGGACGGACTGATCAACTGAATATTACAATATTAGCTTTTTGCCTTTTTAAAAATTTGGAAGGAAAAAAACTACTCATAGACACAAATGAGAAATGACTGATGTCATAATCTTGTTGCGACCCTTTATTGTCGGGTACCACTTTTGTCCACATCCCTTCAGCAGATTAATTTTCTTTTTACAGTTATTAAATAATAATTGCAAAACACTCCAGCACTCCATATCAATCGCCGCGAGCAAATTTTATCTGGCACACTCTTCGTGCAACTTTTTACTGGCGCAGCACGCAGTTGCAGCTGGCAGTTTCGAATATCTGATAGTGGGTTCAACACAGTTTTGAGTAATCAAATACTAAATTTCTAATTTCGAAATGGACAGCCCTACTCACAAGATTTCTACATGGAGGGACACACCACACGCGACGTATGCTCTTGTTCGGTATGTGCATGTCAGCATCTTATGGTGAGTGACAGGTGTCATCGGCACTGCTTTCAAAAGGGCCTCCCAGTGGTCTCTCTTCAACTCTCCCTTTGTAACCATTAAGAGGGTACTTGAGCAGAGAGTCCATACCTATTTCCAGCTCGTCATTTTCTGATCTCTTTTGTTTCAGAGCCTCACATTCTCCTCTTCAGAAGACCTCATCACAAACCCCTGTCAGAGGTTCAGAATATGGTGCAATCATAACAGGCTATCTGGAGCGAGCCCTCTTCCGCCCCCAACATGGCTGTCCCTGTGTGATTTCCCGCTTCGGGCACCGATCCACACTTGTAAAGTGTAAATATTAAAATAACCTTGTAAATATTAAAGTAGTATAATTCTCTGTTGTCTGGTTGGAAAGAAGTCCAGCACAGTGACAGAGTTAGTCTGTCCTCAAAATCCCAGCAATAATTTATTCCACTCATGATGAAATGTGCTAAACCTGTCAAGGATCAGGAACATGTATTTGGTATTTGCACAGTGTTATTAAGCTTTTGATATTACTCACTGAAAGTTTCGATTTGAAATGGGTACATAATGTATAGTAATTAAAAAAATGTACATGTATTGTCATCAGCATTAGCATACATGTTGATGAAAAAGGAAACATATTGAAGCAAAGACCAAATCAAACAGTGCACAGTAACCGGCATGTATGAAACATTCCATTTCCATCCATACATGTGGCAATAGAACCATCCAGTAAGCACTGCGCGTGCTTCCCTCCGATACCACACCTCACGAATATCAGACTTTTGTGCATGAATGTCGCACATAAATCACGGCTGTGATTGGTCAGAAGGCTGGGCTTAATGGATTGGTATATTGCCGAACCTAGTTTATACTGTGTTCTGTCAAATTTTTGTTATAACCTTGTTATAGGCCTAAAACAAGAGCTTGGGTCTGTTGCAAGAGTTTTGGGGTAAATTTATGGATCCTAGATTTTTGGGGGTCATTTTGATTTCTCCATTTACATTTTGATCCATCATTGATTAGTTTTAAGAAATTCATTTTGTTTTTATTGTAATTAAGCTATATTATTTTGACATCTCTCCTTTTTTTTTTTTTGGCAAAATGCAAATGTGATGCAATTTTGCATGCACACAGACATTCTGTTTCCTTTGTTCAAAATTACAATAACTTACTGTGTTAATCAGTACCTCAACTAGAATATGATGCAAAAATGCTGCCTGTAACTCATTTACCTCACCATGTTAGGTTATTTTTTTTTTTTTACACTTTTGTCTTTTTGGTACTTGTCAATTTGATACTATTGTATAAGCACTTGTCTTAGAGAAACAGTATTTTGTTGATTTACCTGTACCAGATTTCACATTTGTGATAACAATGTTGAAGACTCACAGGAAGAAGTGTTGATGGTATTGGTACATGTATTGTTTTTTTCAATAGTTTGTATCCAAATCTCTAGAGTGATATGCGAAACAATGATGTCACTATCTGAAAAAGATTAATGTTTTTCTTTCAATTGTCCAATGTTCAAAGTGAAAGATTAATGATATGCCTTTGTTATCAAAACACTTTGTCTAAATTCATTTATCAGAAGAAATTCCATTTTTTTTTGGTACAATGTAATTGAATAAACTATATGTATGTCTGTTTATCACCATTTCAAGTTTCCTGTCACTATTTTGTTTTTGGTTTCCAAGTTGGGTTCCTTTTAATCCAGTTTGTAATATTTCTACTATATTTCTACAATGTACATTTGTACACAGAATGAAACAAAAATCACGTCTTTTACGCCTTAGCAAAAGCTGAAAATAACCTTTGGAGGCATCTTTTTGAAACAGGTCTTTTTCTTACGCATGTGTACCTGTATCTGGATGAACCTTCAAAGAACACCATATATAATCACTTGTACAAGCCACCAAGAAAACCAACCGGACAATTAAAGATAAACCGTACATGATAAAATGTAATACATGCATATATTGCTTTATTCAATTTATAATATAAAATGTCAATTCTGTACAGTGCAGAAAAGTTATCAGTTTACAAAAGCCTGCATAGATATTTTGCTGTACATGTACACATTTTTTGTTTACTGTACAGGTTCAGACATACGCACACATTTGGAAACCTATTCTGACCTTTGACCTCTTCTCCAAAGAGCCTACACTTTTACATTGTTAAAAATGTATACATGTACACGTATACTGTTTACATATTGCCATTGTTAAATCTGCTGCTTATACTGTACATATTTACATGTTGGCTGCATCTTAGCAGAAATACAATATTCACACACTGGACCATACTGGACGGAAGTTAACCCCATATTGTGTACATGGACCCTGTTATAAAGCAAGTGTGAAATAAATACATTGTACATGTATTGTCTGGATAAAAATTGGTAGAAATATTCTGTATAAAGAAATGCCCAAAATACGTTTGTTCTGTAAAAAAAAGAAGATATGAAAAAATAAGAAGTGGTACCCTGATATGATGCACACAGCTTTGAATAAATGAAATACACAATGTATCTACTAATCAGATATGGTCAATATGAACATGCCCTTTTGGTGTCTACATTTACTGCAATATTAGCTTCTATGTTGTTCACTGACCACTGAAAAGCAAGTATGTGATTCTGCTATAAAAATCCAGCACAGAAAATTAATTAATTACCCAAAGTAACAACAACAACTGGGTCAAATTTGCACCGCTATTAGCTCCATGATAAAAGGTACAGTCGACTCTTGTTAATACAAACAATGTTAATACAAATTCTGGTTACATGTATATCAAACATTAAGCCTTGGTTCTAGCTGTGCATATTATGTGCACGATGAATGGGATTAGCACTTAATACAAAATGTTGATATAAGTTTATAACAAACATTGTGGCAATGTCCGACTGAGTTTGTATTAACGATGTCGGCTGTACATGTATCGCTTTGCCAAATAAACCAAGATAATTGATATATGGATATTCCTCGGCAGTAACTAAATGTCTGCCTCACAAAACTTTATAAAATTTCCCTTTTCCATAAAGCCCAGACTGGTGAAGATTTAAAACTTGGTAACTGGCAAGACACTCAAGAAACAGGGGCATCATCTAATCAGTTACATCGATGATGAGCGGACAGACAAATTCCGAGTGCTTGATTCCCAGTGAGAAGCTTGGGTACTTCCTCTTGTTGACGGTCACTTTTTCCGGGCTGTGTGCCCCAGGTCCAGGTTTCTTGGTGCCGTCCCCAGGCATATTGTTCCTGCCCAGCATGGAATACAAGGGCTTCTTGTTTTTGGTGACGTCCGGGTGCACGGCGTTGTGACTTCCTGGCCCAGGGGTCTTCGACAAATCCTCCAAGTACCCGCCCACTTTGGGCCGGCCCGTCATGGAGTGGCTCGCAGCTGACTTCTTGTTGGGCACCTTCGGCCCGATGAGTTTTGGCAGGGTGTAACTGTTGGAGGCGGGGCTTTGGTCGCGCTTCCTGAATCGGGTGCGAGCGCCCATGGAGTACACTGGTGCATGGCGCTCACCCTGTGGGTGCACCTTCTCTGGACTGTAGGCATACGGTGATGGAGTGACAAATGTATCTGGAAATAAATTCATAAGAATCCATTAATGAGTTACAAGTTTAACAAGTGCATATAGAACATCATTAACACATTAACAAAATCCTATGAGCACAAATAGAAAATTGATATAAAAGTATAAAAGTATACTACAAGGAAAAGAAATCAACTTACTTGGATCTTTCTGTCGGCCCAGGATAGAGTATGCAGGTGTCCCGTCTTTTCCCACTCTTGTGATAGTAGGGTTGATGAAATGTGCTGGCCCAGGACTGATGTCTTTTCCGAACACTGCAAAGAAAAAAGAACATAAATGTTATGTTAAATACTCATTCAACATGCAAAAAGTTTTGCTATGTAAACAAATAAGTGCAGGTTTTTCTTTTGCTTGAAAAAATATTTAGCACAAAGTGGTACATTTGTAAAATGTGAATTCATTTTCTGTAACCAAAATAAACAATTGGATTACATGGCTTGGGCTTCCAAATGAAATTCAAAATTATTAAATCACAATGAAAAGTAAAGGGACTTAATAATAAAACCTGAGCCAACTTACTGGAGTTTTCTAGCCGGTTCCCAAAGGAGTAAGAAGGTTTCATGTGTTTGGTCATGTCATGTTTGTGTGCACCACAAGTCGAAGGAAGTCCATAGCGACCAGGCCCCGGTCCTGAAACAGAAACAAAAATCAGTTAACGTTAATAATCACAAGAACTACAGCCCATGACTCAAGGAGAATCTTGAAGTAAGTATGTTTTTAGGTCAATTTACCTCAGTCTTTCATTCATCAAGCTACAAAACTTGCAAGTAACAGTTTGGGGACATCCGGCATGTAGGCTTGTGCAACATGGAAATCGATCGAGAAATTTCGCGCGGTTTGACTTTGACTTCGTCAAACTGTCTACCTTTGTTGGAAGAGAAAATATCAAATTTATTTCACCAACCTCTCTCTCTTGCAGCAATCATTGGACTTCCATCTTCCTTTAGACCATCTGATTTCTCCATTTTCTTTGTGAATATTTCCAGTAACAAAAAAATCTCCAACTCCTCGGTTTCAGGTCATGCACGTGTAATGCGGTTCATGTGTAATGTTTTTAGTTTATCAGCGTCGTCGGGCGCGCACTCCTAACTACACGTCACTAAGGACGCCCAAGTAAAGTTTTACACAACTTAGCAACAGTTATGAATATTCATATCTTGCGCGCTCTAAATAGCGCCACCAAGAACGTGAAATAATTCAGACAAACTTTGGGTATTTTTTGGTCAAGAGAGGGCGCACGTCCGTCTATCGAACTTTCAAGATGTCGGACGCCGATGATGATTTCATGTGCGATGAAGAGGAGGATTATGATTTGGTAAGTAGGGGAAATACGAGGAAGTAATGTTTTTAGAGGAAACTGATGAAGTGGTTACCCTCTCAACTTTGAAGGTGGTTCTGAGTTGTTGTGTTTCGCCTCACCATGACTCATAATTTTATCATTAAATTCAGACAGTAAAACACGCACGGGCAAACTCGCAAAGGCAAAGTGAAATGACCATGACAAGTTTGCTTTGATGTAACGTTATCAAAACTGTATTGTCAAATTTTTATGGCAGTGAAAAGGGTTAAATTTATGGCAGTTGGTATTTGGCCAGCGCGGGCTTTCTTTTACTTAATTAGTAAACTAATTAAGCGGGCACGGCATGGCACTCAACATGGAAACAATGTTGCAACCTGACGCTATTTCAGCGGTTGTGTACAAAGTCAATGGAGAGACAAGACAATTTTCTTAGACTTAGTATTTCCTAACAGAGTCCCAGATTCATGTCTCATCGTCATTTTTGCAATGACTGACCTTCATTTAGATGATATATGAAGAAAAATCAGCGTCAGGTTGCAACATTCGTTCCCTGAACGGACCCAGTGACTTTATTTGGGACTTAGTTAGACAAGTAGACATTTTTACCGTGACAAATCTTTGTCTGGTTCCGCGCTAGCCCTACACTAGTCACTAGTGTGGCATTGCCATTGGCAATGGTATTGCTGCGCTGTATCCTTTGCTGCACAGCATGCAATCCAATCTACTGAGGAACTACTAGGGGGTTATGGCTAATCTTATATCCAATTTTTCGTGAAATTTAAGCCATCTCTCTGTTGAAGGCAGCCATTTTGAATGTAAGAAGTGATAACCCCAAAGCTGTGACGTCGTGTTTATGCAAATCGATCTTGTCGCTCAGGCACGTGAGTTGCAATGCGACGGCTGTTTCTGGTAAATGGATTCGCCCAGACTGTAGGCCCTTTGGTTGCACACTATCGGTTGAGAGATTGTACAAGAAACAACTGACGCATTGCAACTTGTGCCCCGGCAAGGTGGCGGAGAAGGCAAGGCTTCAAAGCTGTGGTGGATGGCAAAAGCTGTGGGAAAAGCCAGGGATATAGTCTAGTCTGTCAGTGACTGTCACAAACCGCAATATCAGAATAGTTGAGAGGGTCCAACGCCAAGCGGCACGTTTTGTCATGAAGGACTACCACCGGGAATCAAGTGTGTCTGACATGCTGAAATTACTGGGATGGGACACCCTACATGTACATGACAGACATCTCCTCCATCAGGTTGAACTCCTCTACAAAATTCTACATGGCCAAGTAAATGTAACTACTCCTCCGAACAGCGTCCAAAACATAGGATCAAGCTGACATAACCAGACCAATCAACATAGCCTCACCTACAGCCAACCACTCGCCAGAGTTGACTGCTACCTCTATAGCCCTTTCTCGAGAGCTGTTCGGTTTTGGAACAGGCTACCAGTGGCTGCGGTTACTGCGACCACTCTGAAAGGGTTCCAGACAGAAGCTCTCCCAGCTATAAGAGGGATGGAGCTACCAATCTCTCTCAGGACAAATTGACAATACCACCATCTGAATAGGCACCCTTTTAACAGCAAACACAGAGATCACACATGGAATTGCTACTCACCCTCTCCAGGACAGCAGCAATGCTTTTAGGAGAGTATACCAATGCAAGATGCAAGACAGGTCCCTGCAAGTCCCTGATACAAGCTATTCAAATGAGCAGCTTTGACAAAAGCATTGCTTTGTTATTGTTCATCAGCTGTTACTTGTGACTGGAGTAGACTGGACCAGTGATTTAATTACAACTTGCCTTGTCATGAACTCGACTGCATCCCTGAGAAAAAAAGGCAGAGCCAACACCCAGTGCTGGGCCTGCAAGATTATGACAATCGTACACGGCACAGGTAGTGACCAACTGACCATTATTCCATTTGATAAAGAATGTGTGGTTATTTTACGTGAATGTAAGCCCTACCATGCCTACTGTCGAGTTTACAATGTACGAAGCATGGTTACTCATCAAACACTTGCCTACTGCAATGGTGGCCGCTCACAGGGAAACCGGATGGTCACATGGTACTTTGACATCATACAATCAGACCCTTTGTTATTATCATTGCAGGAATACTCAGAAGACAGTAATTCAGAGCCCGATGTAGATCTAGAGAACCAATACTACAATTCCAAAGCCTTGAAGGAGGATGATCCGAGGACAGCGCTGGATAGTTTCCAGCGGGTAAGTTGGACGTTGTCTCTTGGTAAAGATTACGGGTGGCATGGGTGGCTTGTGCGTAAAGCCCTCCGATTTCCTCCCTCCGGAAAAATCAAACACTTTCGATCTGCTCCGTGGTCATATATGGGTCGATGTGGCCGGCAGCCATAGGCGCCTTTACTTGCCAGCGGCCCGACCACGTTGTAGCCGCGTCCTTCGCAATTCAGCATACCAGCTGCGAGTAAGGATGATTAGCCTCCTAAATTATTATTATTAATATTATTATTATTATTAGTTGCCTCACATTATTGAAAATTCTCAACGTCTTCACTTTTCACACCTTTACTCCATCAGCGCTTTTAAAAAAATATTTCATAAATCCTCTTAAACCACTCTGCAGGAACCGTAAGACACAGTCTTGTAATTTTGTAAGAGGCCTCAAGCTCCATGTACAGTAGTTTAGGTTGGGCAGTATTGGATTTTGAGAGTCCACTATATACCATCACAAAAATATTGCGGTATTCGGTAGTATCCGTAACTTTTGTGGGCGGAATATTAAGTTACCAAAATACAAAAAGGTACATGGTGATAGGGAAACTGCAAACAGGCATTATGGGTAGAATGTCAATGGTCCTGCTGGATGGCCAGTAACCACAATTTTCACCTTATTTAGATGGCGTGACCACAAGGAATTTAAATGATTATCGGCACAGTGAAGATCTGGCCAACTTGTTTCAGTCATGCTTTTCTAAAGGGCTTGTGCACACATCTGGTCATATTTAAGAGGGAAATTTGCACTAAGGTTGTCGGTATTTCGGTATTTTAACAACATCATTCAGCATTGTTTCTTATCAAGAAAATATTGTCACAACAGGGTTTTGTTGAAATATGCTCCAAACCTACAGTAATAGACCAAAGACATAATGACTTCACACTTTAGCCCTGTCCGCACTGGACTTTTTTTGGTCAAACTAACCGAGACTATGGGTACTTTTCCCATTTTAAGTCCAGTGCGGACAGCCTAGGACGTTTTCCTCTCAGTTACTTTTCCTGAGTCCAGCGGTTACTTTTACTGGCCAACTGCTGCCCAGGAAAACTTCCCACGCGCCCAGGAAAACTGACCGAGTCGCTTTTCCCGAGACGATTAGTCCAGTGCGGACAGTGCGAGTCGGTAAAAGCGGCTCAGAAAAGCGTACATCCGGCCCGAGCGCCCTGTTATGCATACAGAGACCGCACGAACCTGCACGTGCAGTGGCCGAACATTTTGTAGAAACACGCTGCGGTGTATTATCAAGTCCGAGCGGTAAAATCTCGTTAAAATATATATTTCAACAGACAAATACATACACAGAGAAGAGAGATCACATTCTGAGAATTAATTTGCGGAAATTCTCTTTCTCCACCGATGTATGTTATTTTCTACGATCCAAATTCGTCCTGATACGCTACTGTAGTCATGCACGGAACATCATGGTCCGGTACCGTACGTAGGCCGTAGTCACTGGTTCCTGGCCCACATCATAGCTTCGATTCTGTGAGCATGCGATGGGAACCAACGAATACTGATGGCACTGCTGCCGCACGGAACATCGTACAGCTACATGGCTTCGACGACGTGCATCACAAATGCGTCAGAATTATAGGCCCTTTCGTCAAGATTTAGCGTGTCAAGATGAAATAATATCGTGTAAACGATTATGTTATGCATGCAAATGGCGTGTGTAATATTACTGAGCGTATCGGTGGCTGAAAATGTGATCGGCAATTTGTTTTCTGCGTACGGTGAGTCATTATACTGACACTGTGACAGCTTGGTTACTTCTCCCACGCGGTTGGGGTAAAATTTCCCGTGTCGAAAGTCCAAGTGCGGACAGTGGTCACATTTGACCATTTTTCATTTTACCATCGTCTCAGTAAAACCTTCCAAAAAAAAAGTCCAGTGCGGACACGGCTTTAGTTTACATATTCTTAGAGTCAGGTTGGCGTAGCTGTACTTTCCTTGCCTTCCACTGCTGTACTTTCCTTGCCTTCCACCGCTGTGACCCGGGTTCGAATCCCGCCTGGGCCAATATGTGGATAGGGTTTCCAGTCCCTGCCTGATGCCGTGGGTTTTCCCCAGAATATTCTATTGGGGTTTTCCTCCCACCTCTAAAAAACTGAAATTTCTTCTAATTGTCTCCTCTCTTCAGGTTTTGTCAGGCTTGTGAGCTACAGTGCCTCGGGCGCTTGTGAGGAATCCTTGGTTTCATTACCAGAAATAAAATAATAAATATACCCTACTTATGGGAGCCAGGTGGGGGACAAGATCCATCAAGCTCCAATAGAAAAAGCGGATGTAAACAAAGCGTCAGAAGGTTTATTCAGGCTGTGCTCTAGCAGTCCTCACATTTTGTACATCAAAAGCACCACCTTTAACTAGCTGACCTTTCACCTTTGACCTTAGGTGCTGGACTTGGAGGAGGATAAAGGGGACTGGGGTTTCAAGGCTCTGAAGCAAATGATCAAAATCAACTTTAAATTGGTGAGTCTCAAGTTTCCAGTTGATATTAACATTTACTAAGACATCGTGTTGTATATATGCAACACAGTTTATCAATGTCAAGCCATTTTAAACGGTCCTGCTGTTTGCTAAGCAAACTAAAAATGCTTTAAAATCCCAAGGGTATATTTAAAGCTTTATATTTACTCTACCGGCTTATCCTCATTTAACTTTTATGATATTTATTTTACAAAGCAATAAGGTTGACATTGCATTGCCCAATTGTGCCCTTTTCTTCCACAGTTTAACATTTTTGTTGACTTTATGCAATCTTTTACAACTTAATAATACTGGTTTTTTTTGGGTTTTTTCGGGGGGGGGGGGGGGCAGTTACGGTGGGTGTACTCTAGTTTTCAAGTGTTGTGTTCTTATAGACAGGTTCTTGTTCTTTTAAGGTAAAAAAGAGTAGTGGTTCTTCCCTTTTCCAACCAAAATCCTTGCCCAAAGTGAAGATAAGACTGGTACCAAATACCCTGTGAAACTATCCTGTCTGAAATGGCATCATTCGGAAGAAAACATAGATTGAAGGTGGTTTAAGAAAGTGTGCCCGCGGACACAGTTTTTTTACATTCAGTAGCAGCGGAATCCAGTTACAAGATTCCAAAAATGTGCATATTTTTGTCTGTTTTCTCAAAGTCTATAGTATCCGCTTAGCTGAAATTTCATCAAGTTAGTTGTTATGCACCCTTCTTAAGATTTTGGGCAACTTCTTTCTTCAAATAAGCAAAAAAATGCACATCAATCAAATTTTCTTTTGCATCTTCAATGTTCTAGAAATTTACACCTGTTTTTTTTGTGTTGTGTGTTCAGGGGAATTATGAAGAAATGATGAAGAGGTACAAGCAGCTTTTAACTTACATCAAGGTGAGAAATGGAACGAAACACAACAGATAGGCCTATAGTCATTATCCAATTTATATTAAGCTGATTTGTGTCAACCCTATTTCTCTTCACATTTGTGCTATAAATCTTCCGTAATCGGCCTAAATTCAGGGGGGGGGGGAATGTTTAGCATCCCTGTGGCACATTCTTTGCACTTAAACATAATTAATAATAGTAATAATGTACAGTTCTTATGTGGCGCATTATTCAACAAACTCTCTACAAATGTACATGCTCCTGGTAAGTTGGTCTTAAGCTGTGTTATGAAATGTTCCAAGGATGGGCTGATTTGTATATGATAAGGTAATTTGTTCCATTCTTACTGAGCTGCAAATTGGAATGTCCTTTGACCATAAGATTTGGTAAGAAGTGTTCATGGAGTCAAACGATTTTTTGAGCTGAAGCAAGGAGCCCTTGATGGACTGTATTCCGTTATTAATTCCTGGAAATAATCAGGGGCCAATCCATGTATGCATTACATGTATATAGGTGAGAACTAAGAGTTTGAAAAGGACTCTGAATTTTACCGGTAACCGATGTAATTGATTTAAAACTGGTGAAATAGGGTCATATTAGTGTGTTCGGGATACGAGTCTGGTGCAGTGTTCTGTATTGGGTCATTAATCCAAATCTAAAGTAACTATGGTATTTCAAAACCAGATGTTGGCCTTTGCAAATTTAGGGTCACGGTGTTGCTCATTTGACCGTCGATATTGTTTTCCCAGATTTCAAGCTTACAGGAAAGTAATAAAACATGATGAATTTGTGTTACTCTAATTTCATTGCCAAATGGAATGTTGGAGAGGTGACAGAGGTCCTAACCACTTATGGAAGGATGTAGAAGAGACACAAATAGTTTTCAGACGAAAATGAAATGGCACAGTTTACATTGTGCGGTCACATGGAAATATAATGCTCTTGTATGCAGTGCAAAGTTTGTTGGGACAAACATGGTAAATGTTGGGTAAATGTCTGATGTCTTGCTGTAATTTCTCTGTGTACACTGCAGTATTACCAACCCTAAGCCCCATCAGGTTTTCTTCAGGTACCCTGCTAAATGCAACAATATTCAACAAAACTGAAATGAGAACCATGCTAGGTGCGACAAACTGCAACAGTGGATTCTGTTGCACTGTGCAGTGTATCCATTATACACCAGCCTTGGCATCAAGCAGTTACCCTGCTAAATGCAACCAACTGCAACAGTGGATACTCTTGAATCGCCTTGGCACTATGAGCAGTTACCCTGCTAAGTGCAACAAGATGCAACAAAGCGCGGGGACTTGAGTTGGCTGCTAAAAGCAACAGTATGCAACAACATTTTACAACCGTTGCTTTCTTTTGCATTTAGTAGGGTAATGGGATGCAGTTCAGAGGACACACTGTTTAAATTTGTTTTCGGTGTGCATTCAAAAAATGCTTCATTTAAGATGTCCATCTTGAGTTGGTGTCGATGACGATACATGTATAAGGATTGAGGGTTACTACTGGAATCAAAATTAAATCCCCCTCCGCCAACCTCAACGTTAATGCTCTGAAACCTGGATCCACTAACCTCTGGCCACTTTCTCATATTTACCTCAGAGTGCAGTAACGAGGAACTACTCAGAGAAGTCCATCAATAGCATCCTTGACTACATCTCCACGTCTAAGAACATGGGCCTCCTGCAGGAGTTCTACGAGACCACGCTGATGGCACTCAAAGACGCCAAGAATGACCGGCTCTGGTTTAAAACAAACACAAAGGTAAACAAAGCAAGTACCCTGGAAGATCCCAGCGTTGAGAAATTCACAACGCAGTCTCTTTTGTAACCAGTGAATTTTGCTGTTGTCTTCCTCCCAAGTTTGGGTTGCCCATAACAAAATTGATCTATAGAAACTCATGGGGATGGACGTACAGTGGGCGTCCATACATACATGGTTTCTAGTACCCATCGGTGTCCAGTTCTCAAAGCCACCACAACCTCTTTAAATATTGCCAGGACTTTTGTGTTTGAAATTTTCCTACGGTCGCCAATTTCCATTGTTGAAATTTGTATTACTGTAGTTTAATCCTGATCTGCAATCTGAATTGGTTTTTGATGCAGATTTTTCTCTTGTTTACACTCGGACATCCCAAGTGTCTACCATTTTGCTATGACTTTTTTTCTGGTTTGATTCAATTTTGTTCAGTTGGGCAAGCTGTATTTTGACAGAGAAGAATTCAACAAACTTGCCAAGATCCTTAAGCAGCTACATCAAGCATGCAAGGTAAGCAGTTTTGCTCTAAAAGAGGGTCATAGTAACTACAAGTCCCATTTCATGGTCTCAGAGGAGGTCCCAATCAGGAGGGGTTGGACAATAACAAATAAATACATTTTCGACCATTATTTTGAGTGGCATGTCAGTTGACTTGAGACTGGATGACTTGTGAATGACTTGTGATGAATTGTGAACCCTTGTCAATTACTAAGTAGCTTAACTTGGGCCTATAATTTTACTATACCACTCAAAGCAGTCAATATTTGTGTAGTCAAATGCTCAGTGGGTTGCCACCCGGGCTCTAGTTTTACTATACCACAATACCAAGCAAAGCAGTTAATATTTATGTAGACAAATGCTCAGTGGGTCAGTATTTGTAGTAAAATGCTCAGTGGCTCACCGTGGGGCGTATGTTTGCTACACCACTCAAAGCAGGCAATATTTGTGTGGTCAAATGCTCAGTGGGTCGCCATGGAGGCTCTAATTTTACTATACCACAATACCACTCAAAGCAGTTAATATTTATGTAGTCAAATACTCAGTGCGTCAATATTTGTAGTCAAATGCTAAGTGGCTCACCATGGGGCTTACGTTTACTACACCACTCAAAGCAGGCAATATTTGTGTAATCAAATGCTCAGTGGGTCGCCATGGAGGCTCTAGTTTTACTATACCACAATACCACTCAATGCAGTTAGTATTTATGTAGCCAAATGCTCAGTGGGTCAACATTTGTAGTCAAATGCACAGTGGCTCACCATGGGGCATACGTTTACTACATCACTCAAAGCAGGCAATATTTGTGTAATCAAATGCTCAGTGGGTCGCCATGGAGGCTCTAGTTTTACTATACCACAATACCACTCAATGCAGTTAGTATTTATGTAGCCAAATGCTCAGTGGGTCAACATTTGTAGTCAAATGCACAGTGGCTCACCATGGGGCATACGTTTACTACATCACTCAAAGCAGGCAATATTTGTGTAATCAAATGCTCAGTGGGTCGCCATGGAGGCTCTAGTTTTACTATACCACAATACCACTCAATGCAGTTAGTATTTATGTAGCCAAATGCTCAGTGGGTTAATATTTGTAGTCAAATGCACAGTGGTTCACCATGGGGCATACGTTTACTACATCACTCAAAGCAGGCAATATTTGTGTAATCAAATGCTCAGTGGGTCGCCATGGAGGCTCTAGTTTTACTATACCACAATACCACTCAATGCAGTTAGTATTTATGTAGCCAAATGCTCAGTGGGTTAATATTTGTAGTCAAATGCTCAGTGGCTCACCATGGGGCATACGTTTACTACATCACTCAAAGCAGGCAATATTTGTGTGGTAAAATGCTCAGTGGGTCGCCATGGAGGCTCTAGTTTTACTATACCACAATACCACTCAATGCAGTTAGTATTTATGTAGCCAAATGCTCAGTGGGTTAATATTTGTAGTCAAATGCACAGTGGTTCACCATGGGGCATACGTTTACTACACCACTCAAAGCAGGCAATATTTGTGTGGTAAAATGCTCAGTGGGTTGCCATGGGGGCTCTAGGTTTTTTTTACTATACCACAACACCACTTAAAGCAGTCAATATTTGTATAGCCAAATGCTCAGTTGTTCACCTGGAAGGGCTATAGTTTTACTATAACACTTATAGCAGTCAATATTTATAGTCAAATGCCCAGTGGCTCACCATGGGTTGTACTTATACTACACCTCTCAAAACAGGCAATACATGTATTTGTGTAGTAAAATGTGCAGTGGGTCACCATGGGGAGGGGGGGGGGGCTATTTTTTCAACACTTGAAGCAGACAATATTTGTAAATTGTTTTTCCTACTTTATTTTTACTACTTACCTCACCCAGACGAAAGATGGCTCAGACGACCTGAAGAAAGGAACGCAACTGCTTGAAATCTATGCACTGGAGATACAGATGTACACGGCACAGAAAAACAACAAGAAGCTGAAAGCGCTGTATGAACAGTCACTACAGATCAAGTCAGCCATTCCACATCCGCTCATCATGGGGGTCATTAGGGGTATGTTGTTATGTAACTATCGACCCTACTCCCCCCCCCCCCCCCCCACCCACCAACACATACACCCAAGTCTGTATTTACTGCATTCGTGGACCCCCTTTTGTCCCTCTTTTGTTTGTACTTTGACTTTTTAGGAAGACCTCCCATATGTTTTATACACGATCATCAATTGTGGAACTTCAGGAATTGTGAACCCTATTGTCCTTTGTTGTTCAACGTCCCCTATTGAATGCAAAAACAAACCACCACCTCCAAAGTGCAATTCTCAATTCAGTTAAAAGCTGGGATGTTAGTTTAGATAACATATTGGCACTACACAATCATGTCTGTATGCTTTTCTTGTATCGTAGTTAAAACTGCGTATTTCAAATTTGATGCAAAAATGTTAGAGCTCACTGACAAAGAAACCGAGAATTGCTCAAGTTACAGAACTTGATGTTTCTACCTCAGCGTTTTGCCTTCGAAAACAAGATTTTTTTGTCTGGGATTAAAACATGAAGCTCTCAGAACTACAAAAACTTTTTTTTGTTGCATTTAAAAATTAATTTAAAACAAAGAACAGAGTGCCCTCTTATGAAAATAATGAAGAGAAAGTTTATTTGTGAACCCCTTGTTGTCAGAAAGAGACATCTTTTCAAGGTATTATAATAACCAGTTTGCGCTGGGATTATTTTTGAAAAAGGCAAGGTTTAGCAGCCAACATTTGATATACAGCCAAATGCCACAAATACCGATTCGCAAGAGTCATTTCAACAGTATTTGTACGATATTTCTTACCGCAACCTCAGCCAGATCGTGTTAACATGTCATCCGACGTGAAGTGGTTAAAACAAGTGCTCTGTCATTTTACTTCTATGAATGCACAGTTTCAATTGTATCTTTTAGATCACTTTTGAGGGTCCATAAGTTATTACGAATCCAGAACTGACAGTATCTGCATAAGTTAAGAAGACCCTGGGCCATGAAGCAGGATGGTAGTCAAATCCATCAAAAGTCAAATCATAAGTAAAGCCTCAAGTAGCAAGATAAGGAATTCATTTGTCACGGGTCATTGGAACAGCTTGTAACGTCAGACTTGATGACTAGTAATTGACTTGAGTACAACTTTTGCACTGAATGTCACCGGTTAAGTCGTCACTAGCTTCAAGCATTTACACAGTTGAAACGACATGAAATAACATGGCGCACTTCGAAGCATACCCGACTTTCCTCGCGTAGTGTTGCCAAACCTCTTTGTTGACAAACCTCAAATTCATGCAGTAAAATACTGGTACTTTTACCTTATAAATGCTTGCTATTTAACCTCTGTGAACAATTTCGGTTTCATAAAATTTAATCCGAAATTCAAAAACGGTGGCGTCCGGAAATTGGGCACAAATAGGCGGAGTGTTCCCTAACGTGGCGCACTTGAATAAATCTTGGAAAATTCCAATTTAACACTTAAGATTTTCTGTAAACTTGATAAATTCTGATAAATCATTGTTATCTCTACTTACATACCCAGCCAGATGTTTGTCAGAAAATTATTTTCTCATTTTTCAGGGCATTTTCAAAGGGTTCACTTTGCACTTAAAAATAAAATCGGAAAATCACGCCAAAATAATTTTTCCTTCTGACTTTGTTACGGGTAAATAAACTCGCGATTTATGATCAGGAGTGTTTAGAACTTGATGAAATTTCACTTTCATTGAAATTTCTGTTAAAACTTTTGCTCTAGGTAGGCGCTACAGGCGAAAAATCAAAGTGCGCCACGTTAGGGTACATCAACAATATATCCTCCTATGAAAAATCCCACATTTTGTCTGACCCCAGAATGTGGAGGGAAGATGCACCTGCGAGAGTGTGAATACGAGAAAGCCCACACGGACTTCTTTGAGGCGTTCAAGAACTATGACGAGTCAGGCAGCCCCAGGCGGACGACGTGTCTCAAGTACCTGGTCCTAGCCAACATGCTCATGAAGTCCGATATCAATCCCTTTGAATCGCAAGAGGTAGGAACACATAGCTGAATCAAAAGCGGTTTTGTCTCTCCCGTCCCCCCCCCCCCCTCGACTTAAAAAAACTCAATTATAGTCCAAACCAGTTGACTTAGTCTCATTAAAGGTGGGGTAGATCATTTGTCATTTGTGGGGTTTTTTTTTTTCGTTTGAAGCTACAAAAGTGCTCAAAATCTAAAGACGGGTGCTTAACAAATAACCTGACAAAGTTTTAGCTCCGTGAATGCTGTATATTCTGAGAAAACAATATTCTAGGATCTCGGTTTCATTTTAAAAGTTGCCGAGTCATGTTTTGAATTGCGCCCGAAATCTGCGTCCTGGACATGTTCTCACTCAGCTGATTGCAGCTACGCGATGTCAGGAATGATAGCAAACTTGCACGTGTTTGCATGTCAACGCTTGCGCACACCCATTCACGGATTCACCGAAGTACAAACCAACTACTAATGGTAATTTCCAAAAATGCGTCACTTGATGCATCTTTGGAAGTGGCCTTCATTTATTGTTTTCTTCAAAATGACAGCATGCCAGAAAGAATAATTGGTGATACAGAGAGAGTTGGCCAAAATCTCAACCAAAGTATGGCAGGCACCTGCCTACTTCTTCTTCTTCTTCTTCCAAGCTCTGCGCCAACTTCATAATGTTGAAGACTTGGGCACATTGTTGGGTTCGCAACTTGCGGATGGAATGCGTAGCCTACTATTCTGACATTGAAGACCCAGACGCTACATAATTGTGAACATTCATATGAAAAAAATGAGTGCGCGTAAACTTTGCGAGATGTGTGCCACATGAAAACTGTCAGCACATCTTGGGAAATTTAAGACTTTAAGGAGAGCCATGTGATCATATTTTCTTGCCTTTTTTTTTTTTTAACAGGCCAAACCGTACAAGAACGATCCCGAAATCTTGGCTATGACGAATCTTGTCAGCGCATATCAGAATAACGACATAAACGAATTTGAGAAGATCTTAAAGAATAACCGACGGAACATCATGGATGACCCGTTTATTAGAGAACACATTGAAGGTGAGAGGAGAAACCTTGACAATAAAAAAATCTGTAAAAATTAAAACAAGTTTTTGAAATTTAAAAATAAAGCTTGATGCTTTGGATTTTTGAATTTTTGACAATTTTAACGTAAATATATTCACTTTACTGTTACTGTTTTGTTTATTTCATCAAATTTTCCAAAGCAAAGTTACTATTTAATTTAATTTTGAAATCATTTCTGTGGAATGTCACTACGAAAATTTAAAACATCAGTTCTTTTGAAATTGATACCCTTTTTCAGTACGTGTTTTTGATTAATGTACTTTGTTCATAAATTATTGAACATCTGTTTTTGTTTATTGTGCTCTTTTGCAGATTTGTTGAGAAACATTCGTACTCAAGTGCTTATTAAATTGATAAAACCCTACACAAGAATTCATATTCCCTTTATCTCGCGGGTGAGTACTAATTGCTGTCTTGGGGTGTGTTTGAGTAGCTCACCCGGATTGACTTGGGTAAAAGCAGACGGGCCAGCCACAACAGCTGGGCTAATCAAAACACTAAACCGCTGGCCATCCCGATCCTCTCGTGACGCCTGTAGCCGCAGACGTAGCCACTGACAACACGCCCGTTTCGGATTGGGTCTTAGTTTGAGATTTACTGCTTTTTAGTCAATTGCAAAACTCAAAACAGTTGGGCTGGAATTATAGCCTTTAAAGATGCAATGAACTCAATAAATAATTACTTTTAGACTACAAATAAGGTTGATTTTGGGGTCCACTTGAGATTTCCGCTGTCTGGCCGCCATCTTTGTATGTTTTTAGGAATGAACAGCGCATGTGTGTGACGTACTTCCACCAGTGTCTCTGCTCCTCAAGCAGGGTCTGTGGTGGTTGACGTGACATAGGTGAGCCCCGAGTATGACGTCGGAGCTATTCGAACGGCATGGGACAAACCCAAGTTGATCTGGATGAGCTACTCGAATGCAGCCTTGGATTACATTAGGAATTGCACTTCTTGATTCTTTCTATTTTTATTTTTTGAAAGTACTGAGTGCCTTTTGCGGAATTAATTTGCAGTGACCAGAGTGTTATACTTCAACATCACATTCACGGAGTATCCTTCCTCAAAATTCCAATTTAGCTTCAACATGATCGACAGAACAGAGATTGTATTCGGCAATGTGTCTTCATGACCATGAGCAGTTTGTGTAACTTATACAAAGTCGTTTCCATTTTTTTTTTTTTTGATTTGCTCGTAGTAAGGAAAACAAATTCTGAAGTGCAATATGAAAAAAAATCATTTTGTTTCCCTTTTCAGGAGTTGAACATCGACGTATCGGAAGTAGAAAGCCTGCTGGTGCAATGCATTTTAGATAAGTAAGTTCCTCTTAGAAACAAAATCTCTAATTTTACATCACAAAGTAAGAAAAAAAATGGGCAGGATTTTTCCTCGGGGCTTTATGCCCTAGGAGTTCAAAATTTTATTTAAAAATTTTCTTGGTGAAGGTGCAATTTAATTCATTTAAAATTGTTGCTAACATGGATTAGATCTAATATTAAGAGATGAAGCCTGCCATGTGTCACTCAAAAAGTTGCAACACTTTGCAATAACAGACACAGATAGTCAACTTGTATGTTTTTTCGACCAATACTTACACCCTGGATCTTTTCACATTGAAAAATGGATTTCCATTCATAGCCATAGTACATGAAATGAATTTTTGATTTGAGTTGTAGACAATCAAGTCTTAGCTATTAATTCATGATATTCAGCAATTGGCCGGGATAGCCCACGAAAGTCTCTCGACTTCTTTCCAGTGGGGTCCCTTGGTAGAAGATGTGGAAGGACATTACAGTTTTAGTGGTGGGAGGAAACCCCCAGAATGATATTCTAGGGAGAAAACCCATGTAATCAGGCAGGGACTGAAAAGCCAATCCAGATATTGGCCCAGGCGGGATTCGAACCCGAGTCACAGCGGTGGAAGGCGAGGAAAGTACCGCTACGCCAACCGGATTCCTTCGAATAGCTTGTAACTTGACTGATACTGAACGGCTTACGATTGACTTATGAAGATGTGATTACAAACCCAGCTTCAAACCCACAAGAGGGTTTATTAACCATTATCACTTGTGTTACATTGTATAATGTTGTATTACATTGTATTGCATTGTATTACAATGTATTACAATGTATTACAATGTATTACAATGTATTACATTGTACTAAGTTTATTTACTCATGGAATCCATACAGTGCTGGGGCAGTTTTGGGCAGTAAAAGGACCAATGGGTTAATATTGATTATGTTCCCCCTTTTTCCCCTAACCATCCAGTACAATATGTGGGCGGATAGACCAAGTCAACCAACTACTGGAGTTGGACCGGCACTCTCAGGACACAGCTCGCTATCAAGCCCTAGATAGGTGGACGGTCCAGCTAGCGTCGCTACAAAAAGCCGTCGGCAACAAGATGGCGTGATAATTAACTCCCCACCCCTCCCTCCCCCATAATCTAACCACCAACACTCCTACTAACAACAATGTGTATAGATAAATACCAACATGTATGTGTTTGTTTTTTTCCCCCGTTTTTGTATCAGAATTTTGAACTTTGTTTAACTTTGCAGGGATGAAATGAATTGGATGTGTATTCATGAGGGCTGTCGTTGGAATATTACAAGAAAATTGTGTTTTTTTTGTAGTTTGGTAACTTTCTCCCAAATTTGTCATTGCTGATCTCATAAAAGGAATGTTATTTCCATGGCCAGTGTCTACTATGTAAAAAAAAGAAAAGATGATATTCATCGCTTGCTCCAAGTTTTGTTGTAGACATTGCCTTGAGTACCAGCCACTTTTGGTTCATAACAGGTCTTTCAGTCGGTAACCAGTGCTACATACTCATCTTTAAAAATAATGGAGGATTTTGCTGTAAGAATCCTTCCTAAAATGATACCTGAATACTACTGTCAGATGAAAGTAAAAGGTACTTAAAGTTGCATTCCCCGTACTATTGTCGAGAATCATCTCAAAAATAGATTCCTTTTCTGAATTGCTATTTTTCTAACAATACAAAAGGTCATCACTTTTAAATGAGACATTGACCAGAAATATCAGCCCATGATTAGTTATTGAACTATTAATTAATAATTTTGAATTTTATTGGTTTTCAGACGATAATTCCGTTTTCATGGGGTAGGCTGGTTCCCGCCCCACAATCAGTATCAATAATGTATGGACCGGGAGCCAGTCTGCTGGCAAAGTGGATCTGTTTGTCGGTGCCCCAAAAAACCCAATTTTTTTTTCAAGGCTTGCAGAAGTCCAAAAAATAAGTGAAACAAAAGGGGGGAAAAACAATTTTTGGTTTGAATAAAACATACAAGTTAAAAACTTATTGGTAGAAAAAATTTAAAAACAAATTTGTTGAAGAGAACGGGGTATGCAACTTTAATAGGCAAATGTGACAATTTGCTTGCAGAGCGCCATCTACTATTCATGCATAGAATACTATTGGCTGTGCCATGACCAATTACTCAGAATAGCGCCCTCTTGTGGCTTCATTTTATATATTTTCTTGTGTTAATCTGCCTTTTCATTGTAGACCTTATAAACTTTTGAATATAGTTTACTAGGCAGTGCCACAAGTACAGAACAGGGGCTGATTTCACGAAACTTGTCTTTTCTTGCGACTTGTTTTAGGACTAAAGACGAGGCCCCGCTCTAAGATGGATCTTAACTAAGACGCATCCTAAGACCTATTTCACTAAACCCATCTTAAGCAAGACGCATCAAAACTACCAAATTGATGGCTGTTTCATGTTTGTTTTTATCGCTTGATGAAACAGTCGCTGAAAATAAATGCGCAAAACCAACTTCCCGCGTGCGTGCATAGAACACGAACTTGCGCCAGAAAAAAAATCCTGTACTCAATAAATTTCACATACAAGTTAGTTCTACACAAGATACGATAGAGTCATTCTTGCTCCTCATGCCATCACTTTATTTTAAAAATTCAACTAGGTGTTGGCATATAATTAAATTTTGTAAATAAGCTATTTTTTTATTAAAACTACCCACCTATCAGAAATCTTTTCAAATCTGTTTCTACAGCCCTTGAAACTATAACTCTAGGCCCACACTCGTCTTAACGGCAGTGATTTCCAGATGATATACAAATGAACGCACTCATTAATGAGATAAGACGACCCTCGGACCAATCTTAAGTTAAGACGAGTTCAGCCACGTTGCTTAGGAAGTTAGGACATTTTGAACGCGTCTAAAGTTTGCTGAAATTGAACCTAGGATGAGTCGCAAGTTAAGACGAGTTATCTTTCCTAAGACATGCTTTGAGTTTCGTGAAATAGGCCCCATGTGTCTGTAATTTTTAGAGTTTGCAATTTAGCTGGGCTAACTAGTTTCAAGATTTGACATAACCTCGCTGTGATGTCCAAAAAAATTACATTGTAATTGAATAAGCAACATCAAAACCACTTTAAGTCTTTACCTGTTTAAGGGCATTTTGGGAATTTCAAACTGACAAACTTGTTTTGAGTATCGCAATCCACAAGGTTCCTTTTTGTGTACACAGTTACTTCAGCCACTTAAACATACATGTATTTTATGTTCGGTTTGACAAGTTTGTGTGTGTGTTCACTTTTCAAATACAAACTAAATTGAGTAAATGCATTCGGCAGAAGCAAAACTGTATCTTAAACGACCCTATATTTGTTAGGGCTGTGCCGGGTATTCGAATATTCAATTACCCACTGAATAGCATTCGGATATTCGCTTCAAATATTCGAAAACTGTGAGTGGGCTTGTTAGGGCTGTGCCGGGTATTCGAATATTCAATTACCCACTGAATATCCGAATAGCATTCAGATATTCTGTTCAAATATTCTAAAACTGTGAGTGGGCTTGTTTGGGCCGTGCAGGGTATTCGAATATTCAATTACCCACTGAATATCCGAATAGTATTCGGATATTCTGTTCAAATATTCGAAAACTGTGAGTGGGCTTGTTAGGGCCGTGCCGGGTATTCGAATATTCAATTACCCGCTGAATATCCGATTAGCATTCGGATATTCCGTTCAAATATTCGAAAACTGTGAGTGGTCTTGAGAATATGAAGACTGGCAGACTAGGTGCCTGCAATGGATGCTGGTGCATAGAAAACTTGATCAGCGGCATTACTCATATATTTTTTTTGAATGTTCATTCAGATCCAATGTCAACTAATCAAATACTATATTAAAAAGAAAATGCACAGCCCTATGTAATAAACACTTTGTTTGGTTCAGTCCAAAATTATTGCCAAATGCATTTGCTGCTCTTTCATCTTCTGTACATATTTTTGTGTACATTTAACTGTTTTCACATAATGACTATGTAAGGTAGTAAGAGTGCAGGGCCATTTTCAAAACCTTGATTTCGTCTCAGCTTTGGTTCATCTCCGGTTCCACAATCATTTTGAAGGCACTTATGGCCAAACTCAATGAAAACACTCCACACTTTGACCCAAGAGGATTTTATACTCATGTATATACCCCAAATTCGGTGTCTTATGAAATTAGGACTCCCATTAAATCTGGTCCTTATATGGACTCCAACCCTCACATGTGACCAATGAGTCCGTGTACCATAAGAGTCCAAATTTCACACTTCACCAGGGCCAAAATTAATCAAATCCATAGCCAGAGAAAAAGCAGAGATTTTGAAGGGCAAAAAATTGGAGACTCTTGAGAAAAATGTTACCATTATAGCAACCCAACAAGGCTTTTGCTGTAAAAAAAAAAAAAAAAAAAAAAACCCACCAATTTTAAATCAATGACCTTTATAAAGTGTAGCGATGCAACTGAAGTTGTTGGTGACATGTCAGTGGGCATTTTGAGAGACATTTTGAGACAATTCTTTAGCAAGATTTTAATTCCAGGGGCCAATTTCATGGAGTGTGCTTAAGCACTGGATTTGCAAAGCAGAAAAAGGATACCAGACTAGATGTCATGTAGTTCATGTTGTGTGTGTGTTGCTGGTGACCACCGGATTTTAGCTAATATTGCTTGAATTTGCGGAGCAAATATTTGTCCTGCTTTTTATTTGCTGGAGCTCCGTGAAATTGGCTGTGGATTAAAACACAAAGATTGTGGTCTTGTAAAATGTACAACATATGGAGTTATTATTTTACTTTTAGCCATCGTCAAGTTATAATTGGCAATTGTAAAAGCTTCCATCATCTTGTCTCCCCCCCCCCCCCGTTTAAAATCTTGAATTTCACAAAAAAAACCAATATATCAGTTGCCTTCATTGCCCTCCTTGAAAAATTGGTGCACCCCCAAGGTGCCTCCCTAGAAGTTAAATCCTAGTTACGCCGCTGGTCCTGAGCCAGGTTTCTCAATAATCCAAGGACAATCTGTGAAATGAACAACTTGATTTTGAAAAACTTGATTTTGAGGCTTTAATATCAAGCATAACACCTTTCGTTGGGAAGAAGGGATCCCCACAACCAACTGAGCCACAGTCAAACCCCCGATTTCACAAAAGGGCCTTTTTCAAAATGTGGGCAATTATGGGGAAACTATCTTTAAATGCAGTGTTTTTTTTTTACTTTCTGTAATCCATTATATATGACGCACCAAGAGTGAGACTCATCGTACTAAAGAAACTCCCACGCATCCTGTATTTTCATCCAACATTTATGGCCATCTAGAGATTGTGTTTTCACAGTAGGCGGGGAAGGATACAATTTGTTTTGCCCGAAAAACAGAAAAAGAAAAAAAAAAGAGAGCATCCACAATAAAACACAGTGAATTATGTTTACTTAATCAAGCTATTTTGCTTCATCCATTTGTGTTTGAATTTTAATAATTCAATGGTTAGTCTGAATGTTTATTGTCTGTTCGTTGGTCCTTTAGTCCAACTAAGTCACGCCTGGCATCAATTTTAGCACTTTAGATTGCAATGAAAGATCACAACTGTTTCCATTTTGTTTTTATATTTACAATAAATTAAACCTCAACCCAATTGACTTTTTCTCAAAACCAGGCAGAAATGCATCTGGATGCAAGAGGAACACCAATCAATACTCTAACACGCATAAGTGTGAAGATTTGGGCACAAATTATCCATTCTTGAAGGGGGAAAAAAAAACATTTTTTTACTGATTTTACCTTAATTTTTCGACGAAATATCCATTTTTATAGCACATCTGTCCAGAAATCGATTTGGAATGTGTTCCAGGGCTCTTTAGGAAGCTTTTCAGCAACTTTCAAGCAATTTCATTTTTTGGCCAAAATTTAAAAAAAATACAAGGGGTTAGCCTTACATTTTCAGTCAAATTTGGCCAAAAATTGACTCTTTCTCAAAACAAGGTAGAAATTCATCTGGATGCAAGAGGAACATCAATCAATACTCTAACACGCATAATTGTGAAGATTTTGACAAAAATATTCTTTCTTTTTTTTAAATGAACAATTTTGAGTGATTTTACCTTAATTTTTCGACGAAATATCCATTTTTATAGCACATCTGTCCAGAAATCAATTTGGAATGTGATCCAGGGCCCTTTAGGAAGCCTTCCAGCAACTTTCAAGCAATTTCATTTTTGGCCAAAATTCAAAAAAAGTACAAGGGGTTAGCCTTACATTTTCAGTTAAATTCGGCCAAAAATTAGCTTTTTCTCAAAACAAGGTAAAAATTCATCTGGATGTTAGAGGAACACCAATCAATACTCTAACATGCGTCATTGTGAAGATTTTGGCAAAAATATCCATTTTTTTTTTAGAAAAAAAATGAACAATTTTAAGTGATTTTACCTTTAATTTTCGATGAAATTTCCGTTTTTAAAGCACATCTGTCCAGAAATCGATTTGGAATGTGTTCTAGGGCCCTTTATGAAGCCTTCCAGCAACTTTCAAGCAATTTCATTTTTTGGGCCAAAATTGAAAAAAAGTACAAGGGGTTAGCCTTACATTTTCAGTCATTTTTGGCAAAAAATTGACTTTTTCTCAAAACAAGGTAGTAATTCATCTGGATGCAAGAGGAACACCATTCAATACTCTAACACGCATAATTGTGAAGATTTGGGGAACAAAAATCTAATTTTTAAAGGAATTTTTTAAAACAATTTTGAGTGATTTTACCTTAAATTTTCGATGAAATTTCCGCTTTTATAGCACATCAGTCCAGAAATCGATTTGGAATGTATTTCAGGGCCCTTAAGGAAGCCTTCCAGCAACTTTCAAACAATTGCATTTTTTGGCCAAAATTGAAAAAAAAAACCAAGGGGTTAGCCTTACATTTTCAGTCAAATTTGGCCAAAAATTGAATTTTTCTCAAAACAAGGTAGAAATTCATCTGGATGCATGAGGAACACCAATCACTACTCTAACACACATAATTGTGAAGATTTGGGAAAAAATAGCCATGTTTTTTTTAAGAAACCAATTAACAATTTTGAGTGATTATACCTTAAATTTTCGATGAACTTCCCGTTTTTATAGCACATCTGTCCAGAAATCGATTTGGAATGTGTTTTGGGGCCCTTTAGGAAGCTTTCCAGCAACTTTCAAGCCATTTCATTTTTTGGCCAAATTGAAAAAAAATACAAAGGGTTAGCCTTACATTTTTAGTCAAATTTGGCCCAAAACTGACTTTTTCTCAAAACAAGGTAGTAATTCATCTGGATGCAAGAGGAACACCAATCAATACTCTCACGTGCATAATTGTGAAGATTTGGGCAAAAATATCCATTTTTTTTTAAGAAACAAATTAACAATTTTGAGTGATTGTACCTTAAATTTTCGATGAACTTCCCGTTTTTATAGCACATCTGTCCAGAAATCGATTTGGAATGTGTTTTGGGGCCCTTTAGGAAGCTTTCCAGCAACTTTCCAGCAATTTCATTTTTTGGCCAAAATTGAAAAAAATACAAGGGGTTAGCCTTACATTTTTAGTCAAATTTGGCCAAAAATTGACTTTTTCTCAAAACAAGGTAGAAATTCATCTGGATACAAGAGGAACACCAATCAATACTCTCACGTGCATAATTGTGAAGATTTGGGCAAAAATATTCAATGTTTTTTAAGAAAACAATTAACAGTTTTGAGTGATTATACCTTAATTTTTCGATGAAATTTCCGTTTTTATAGCACATCTGTCCAGAAATCGATTTGGAATGTGTTCTAGGGCCCTTTAGGAAGCTTTCCAGCAACTTTCAAGCCATTTCATTTTTGGGCCAAAATTGAAAAAAAATACAAGGGGTTAGCCTTACATTTTTAGTCAAATTTGGCCAAAAATTGACTTTTTCTCAAAACAAGGTAGTAATTCATCTGGATGCAAGAGGAACACCAATCAATACTTTAACACGCATAATTGTGAAGATTTGGGCAAAAATATCCATTGTTTTTTGAGAAAACAATTAACAATTTTGAGTGATTATACCTTAAATTTTCGATGAAATTTCCGTTTTTATAGCACATCTGTCCAGAAATCGATTTGGAATGTGTTCTAGGGCCCTTTAGGAAGCTTTCCGGCAACTTTCAAGCAATTTCATTATTTGGCCAAAATTGAAAAAAATACAAGGGGTTAGCCTTACATTTTTAGTCAAAATTGGCCAAAAATTGACTTTTTCTCAAAACAAGGTAGAAATTCATCGGGATACAAGAGGAACACCAATCAATACTCTCACGTGCATAATTGTGAAGATTTGGGCAAAAATATCAATTTTTTAAAGGAAACATTTACAATTTTGAGTGATTATACCTTAAATTTTCGATGAAATTTCCGTTTGTATAGCACATCTGTCCAGAAATCGATTTGGAATGTATTCTTGGGCTCTTTAAGAAGCTTTCCAGCAACTTTCAAGCCATTTCATTTTTTGGCCAAAATTGAAAAAAAATACAAGGGGTTAGCCTTACATTTTTAGTCAAATTTGGCCAAAAATTGACTTTTTCTCAAAACAAGGTAGAAATTCATCTGGATGCAAGAGGAACACCAATCAATACTCTAACGTGCATAATTGTGAAGATTTGGGCAAAAATATCCATATTTTAAAGGAAAAATTTACAATTTTGAGTGATTATACCTTAAATTTTCTATGAAATTTCCGTTTTTATAGCACATCTGTCCAGAAATCGATTTGGAATGTATTCTTGGGCTCTTTAAGAAGCTTTCCAGCAACTTTCAAGCCATTTCATTTTTTGGCCAAAATTGAAAAAAATACAAGGGGTTAGCCTTACATTTTAAGTCAAATTTGGCCAAAAATTGACTTTTTCTCAAAACAAGGTAGAAATTCATCTGGATACAAGAGGAACACCAATCAATACTCTAACACGCATAATTGTGAAGATTTGGGCAAAAATATCCATATCCAGAAATCGATTTGGAATGTGTTCTAGGGCCCTTTAGGAAGCTTTCCAGCAACTTTCCAGCAATTTAATTTTTTGGCCAAAATTGAAAAAAATACAAGGGGTTAGCCTTACATTTTTAGTCAAATTTGGCCAAAAACTTATTTTTTTTTAAAACAAGGTAGTATTTCATCTGGATGCAAGAGGAACACCAATCAATACTCTAACGCGCATAATTGTGAAGATTTGGGCCAAAATATCCCCAAAAAAATCAAGAAAACAAAACAAAACAATTTTGAGTGATTATACCTTAAATTTTCGATGAAATTTCCGTTTGTATAGCACATCTGTGCAGAAATCGATTCGGAATGTGTTTTGGGGCCTTTTAGGAAGCTTTCCAGCAACTTTCAAGCCATTTCATTTTTTGGCCAAATTGAAAAAAAAATACAAAGGGTTAGCCTTACATTTTTAGTCAAATTTGGCCCAAAACTGACTTTTTCTCAAAACAAGGTAGTAATTCATCTGGATGCAAGAGGAACACCAATCAATACTCTCACGTGCATAATTGTGAAGATTTGGGCAAAAATATCCATTTTTTTTAAAGAAACAAATTAACAATTTTGAGTGATCATACCTTAAATTTTCGATGAACTTCCCGTTTTTATAGCACATCTGTCCGGAAATCGATTTGGAATGTGTTTTCGGGCCCTTTAGGAAGCTTTCCAGCAACTTTCCAGCAATTTCATTTTTTGGCCAAAATTGAAAAAAATACAAGGGGTTAGCCTTACATTTTTAGTCAAATTTGGCCAAAAATTGACTTTTTCTCAAAACAAGGTAGAAATTCATCTGGATACAAGAGGAACACCAATCAATACTCTCACGTGCATAATTGTGAAGATTTGGGCAAAAAATATCCATATTTTAAAGGAAAAATTTACAATTTTGAGTGATTATACCTTAAATTTTCTATGAAATTTCCGTTTTTATAGCACATCTGTCCAGAAATCGATTTGGAATGTATTCTTGGGCTCTTTAAGAAGCTTTCCAGCAACTTTCAAGCCATTTCATTTTTTGGCCAAAATTGAAAAAAATACAAGGGGTTAGCCTTACATTTTAAGTCAAATTTGGCCAAAAATTGACTTTTTCTCAAAACAAGGTAGAAATTCATCTGGATGCAAGAGGAACACCAATCAATACTCTCACGTGCATAATTGTGAAGATTTGGGCAAAAATATCCATTTTTTTTAAAGAAACAAATTAACAATTTTGAGTGATCATACCTTAAATTTTCGATGAACTTCCCGTTTTTATAGCACATCTGTCTAGAAATCGATTTGGAATGTGTTTTGGGGCCCTTTAGGAAGCTTTCCAGCAACTTTCCTGCAATTTCATTTTTTGGCCAAAATTGAAAAAAATACAAGGGGTTAGCCTTACATTTTTAGTCAAATTTGGCCAAAAATTGACTTTTTCTCAAAACA